ACTGAATCCCTGTTATATTACTGTATAAGATATATTAATTATAAAAAAATATTTTATGCCCCGCTCCCTATAAGACTGCTATTGTTATTATTACATTTTCAAATGTAATATGTTATGATTGTCTTATTCTGTAATAAAATGTTAAGGAAATGTAAATTTCTTTGACATGACATTAAAAACTTAATTAGTATTCGAATGTTGTAATTAGTATGTAAATTGTATTATTTTTTTCGGTTTTGATTTATTTTCAGCTAATTTATATTATGTGGCATTTTAAAATCATTGTAAATTTTAATAAAATAAAAATCAAATAACATATGTTTATTATGGAACATAAGATACATGTATCACTTATTCCACGTCATTGAATTTGTAGGCATCCCTACTCATCGGCAAAGAAAACAGAGGGTGTAGGTAATGTAATGAATAAAGAAAATATACAGCTATCATTTATTATTTATTAAAATCAAATATACAGTAGGTATTTACAATTTTCTTAACCTACATAAGTAATAATAAAAATAATTAAAAAGGAATTTAAAACAAATTTAAGAAGTTTGGTCCCTGTGGTCGTGTGCCTTTATCGCTGGCAGCATTTCCTGCTGTATTGCGATACTTATTTGTTGAGCGAGGAAAACACCAGCTCTGGGATCACCGGTACTATCTACCACGCTTCAACTTAAATCTTTAATTAGCGCCTGTGCACTTGAACACCACGACCCAAGTCTCTACTCCAAAGAGAACAAAATCGAAGTTGGAGGAAAGACTCTTATATTTGAGCCGTTTATTATTTTCCGTCTGCTCTGCGGCCGCCCCAGCTATAAAGAAAATATATTCTTATCTTCATATACTGTCAGTACAGGTTTACTATGTAAATAAGGGGCTCTATCTCATACCAAACATTTTTTACGAAATATATTTTTTTCTGCATAGCAAAAATATAGTATTTTTATTTATGTTTAATTTGTCATATATTTTAGACAAAAGACCTCGTAACATATACCGTAGATATAGTATATATGAAATTAAGAATAAGGTGAGGTTGGAGCGGGTACAAAACAAATTTTTGAGGCACATCTATCTTAGGATGTACGGTGTGTACCCTTTTTACCCACTCATGTATCCGACCTTGTTTATTCTTGGTTCTGTGGGCAACAACGAGCTTAGAGTACGCCGAGAATCCGCGCTTGTGACGTACTTCATGAAATTGTTACATGGCAAGGACAGTAATTCGGCAGTACTTCAGTACATTAGCTTCAATGTACCTCGTCCGCAGTTACTTCATGTGCCCACAGCTAGGACTAACCTTCTGAAAAGGGCTCATGTGATTCGGTGTATTAATTTAGTTAACGAATTGCATAGGTTAACGGACCTTTTTCATTGTCTGTTGAGTGAACTGGCAAAATTTCTATTATTTGTTAGTGCCTATAGTAGTTAGTTCATTTCTTGTATTTTTTATTATGTAATTTTTTTATTCCTAATTAATTTTGTATGTTTGCTTGTTTGTTTCGTCTGTAAATGTTATTCACTTATTTTCACTCTTGTCAATTTAGGGTCGCCTGTGGGCAGGAGTGTTTTTACAAATAAATAAATAAATAAAATGTATGATGTGGTAAAATAAGTAAATGGCAGTATTGGGCCGGAGCGTTCTATTAGGTGGTCTGAAAGGTTGTCTTTGATTTGATAATTCAATAGCCTTCGAGAGCGATACAACGATTCCATACAATTTTTCGATACCATTTTTATAGTATGATTTATCTTTAGCCTGAAAATAGGCTTCAGTTTTGGCGATTACCTCTTCATCAACGCAACATTTCGGTCCAGCGAGCATTCTCTTGAGGTCGGTTATTCTTCGGTTGAAAATTAAATACAAAGTTGAAAATTGTCTATAATACAAAGCCTTAACAACAGACGTAACACACTCAAAAAGTTAAAGTGGAAATGGGCCGGTCACATTGCCCGCGGTTGTGATGACAGATTGGTCAAAAAGGCCCTTAGGAATAGGCCAGTGGGAAGAAAAATGAGGGAACGCCCACGAGAAACCTAGTAAGATGAAATACGTGATAGCGGGGAAATTTTGGAAAATAGTGGCGAAATATGGAAGGATTTGAAGGAGGCCTTTATTCCGTCAGAGGTCATGTACTAATATTAAATACAATTATAACATAAACTTAATCTAAACCTTATTATAGTACTTGAATATAGGCTAACTTCTTTAGCATCGTTGTGTTTTGAAAGTCGATTAAACGAAAAAGCGAGAGTAAAAGAGACAGACACATAAATTCATAAGATTTAACGTGGGAGAAAATGAGATAGGAAGCATTATACAGTGTATCAACTTTAAATTAGTTTAAAGAAAAGTCTAATACTACGAGTACATTTAGATCAAAAAAGTCTAATTTACATACATATAACTAATTTATCATTCAATTCTCATTATCTTGAAACCAAAATTTATAAAGGTTTCACTTCTACCACGTGTAAATTGTTTCACATGTTTTTTTTATTTTAATGCCGGTAATCTGTAAATTTCAATATCTATGACCTGCGTGACTAATCCGTATTTTATGAATAAATCGCATTAGCCGCTAATCAACGTTTATAAGTAGGACGGTTACTTAACGCAGTAAAATGTCGTTGAGGCGAAAGTTGGCGGCGCGTTACCGTTTCGCTTGGGCGCTCGCTTCGGCATTCGGTACTGGTCCGACGCTTGTTTGACTGGATTTATGTAATGCAGCGGACTCATTTACAAGTGTTTTACAACTAAAAGGTTTCTCAACATAAACTACTGGCCAAGTTATAAAAAATGTTTTTTTAAATTTATTCACCAAAAATACATACACTATCCTTACTATTACTAAGCCAATACGATAATGTTGAAAAATTTAGTAGGAGAAACGTCTTGGTTAACGGGGATCTGTGCAACAGACTGGTTCTGGCCCTTGGTATCATCACAAACCTTGGCTTTCGCCGTCCTATACTTAGGGGATAAGTGATCCCCTAAGTATAGAGAAACGAAGTTCTTTATTGGGTTGCCTTGATTTTACCAAAAGCACTCATTTCTCATAAGAGTGCGATCAGATAACATTGCATCAGTGCTATATGACCTTTTTTATTTATAATAATACTCGTCATTATAGTTCCAAAAATTAAAAGTATATTTTGTGAATAATCGAAACGCCGTGTAGCAATTATTTGTGTTCAGACCTAACGGGTTTTTCGGTTCAAAGAGACTTTATTTCTCAAAGAATTACATTTTAAGAATTGGTACGCTTTTTAGAAGGATATTGTTTTACAAATTAAAACGAATAGTATAGAATCGCAAAGATTTATTCAACCAGAACGTAGTACATTCAGGTAGATCAAAGTCCACGACGCAAGGTTACATAGTGATCTGGCAATTATAGTGATTGAGTTGGGATATAGCAGTTGCGTCAGTGTTCTCGTCATAGCTAAGGCCAGAGACTCACTGAGGTTTCCTGAGGGTATAGTGAGACGGGTGTAACCAAGACTGGTTTTTAGGTTACTTTATAATCGAATCGTTAGAGCTAAAGCTGTTAGAATAATTGTAGAATAATCAGGTAATGAAATCAAAAAATACTCAAAGGTAAGCTCCCATTGAAACTAAAGAAAAAGGTGAATTCGTGCTGCCTTGTCTAACATATACGAGCACAAACTTGGATTTTTCAAAACAAAACGATTCGTGCCAGCGTGCGGTAGAAAGTATTATTGGAATTAAATTACGCGACAAACAGAACAGTGAATGTATCTGCAGAAAAACAAAAATTATTGATGCTGAACTACTTATGGAGATGATAGTCATAATACAGACGACATGTTCTAAAACGGTAACGGAATGGACTGGCCCAAAAGGAAGAAGAAACAAGGGCATACCAATAGTGCAATGGGCTGACGAGATCGAAAGGGTAGCTGGAAAAAATTGGATGACGATGGCACAAAATAAAACAGGGGCTGCAACTAAGAATAGTAAATTTATATATATATATATATATATTTTTGTAACGTGTATAATAAGATAAATAAAGGCTTCTTATTATTCAGGTTATGAAGATTTATAAACAGCTATACCAACCTTCAGCCATTCTAAGGAGTTTCAAATTGAATAGAACGTTCCAGAAATATTATAGTTAAGTCTGCTATAGGAACGAAGAGTTTTCTAAAGCACGAGCTAGCTACTTTGTTTTATTTCCGAACAGTGATTTAGACTAGGCCTTCAAGCAAAGAGCGCTTTACTTCGTACTTCATTCAATTTCCGTCTACTTGTATGTACCAAAAATAAAAAGTGTAGGTACCTACTGTGAATAGATAGTTAGAACATCTGCGTCGGATAACATCGGACGTAATAATGTGGCGTCATCGCTCTCCGCGTAACATATGAGTAGTTTGAAAGGAAATATCAAGCAAAGTGGTGACACAGTTTGCGGCTTTCCTCAGGAAAATTTGATATCAAAAGGAAAGTCGATTCACGGCCAATGCATCAGTAATGACGTAATGTCATGCAGGACAAAATGATTACGTGTTTGACAGGAGGAAACCATCTTACATAAGAAGCATGTAATAAGCCAACGTTATAATAAATTTACAGAGACCAGTGTTACTAGTTACGTAAATAATATACGATTTTGTAAAAATAATGTTATATATTTTTGAAAGTTAAACAACAAAACACCTATTAGAATTGATAGAATTAGTTTTGGGACATTTATGAGGGAAGCCGGTAGATACCCGTGCCGGTCTAAGACTACCCATTTAGGTGACTGCAATATTCTCTACATATATAGATGAACATTGTAACTTAATCCTTCTTTAAAGACTTCTAAGCCCTAGTCGCTGTGCTGATGAATTCGATTCACCGGTTGCCTAGGTTACAAAGGCAGCATTTTGGAGGTGATCTGGCTACGCCGCAAAGGCCGGGGTAGAATGCGGAAATCTCCTTATGCAGTATGGTTTCTCACCCGGTTCTCTGTGTAGTAGTCAGGATGCCTGGTGTACGTCGAGTCCCTCTTATCCACGTGGCCTTTGAGTTGCAGGGAATGCGCAAATGGAACTTCCTTCTCGATTATCAAAAAAAAGAAGGTTATAAATACGTCTGTAGACTTCTCTTAGGGGTTGGTCACTATTGTTTGTATAAACTTAATAAGATGTAAGAGCCGTCTAACCATCCAACGACCTTTGCGATTTTCCTATACAAAAGATGTGCTTTCAATTTGGAAGTATCTTGTATAGAGCAGAAGTAAGACTACAAGAAGAAAAAAACATGTGGTGCTACAATTGTAGCTCTGGACCTCAGATACCAATATGTTTTATGATAATTTGTTTTCTTTAATAGGCAAGTAGTTGATCAGTCTTACTTGCCTGTATTGGCTTTTCTGGTCTAAGGCCTTCACCGTACGAGCGTGTGGTAAATGCGCACAAAGAAAGTCCATTGGTGTACTGCCGGGTTCGTACCTACGACCTCAGGGATTGAGTCGTTATCAAACACAGGACAATACAAGAAGTATACCTATTTAACACTGAGCTCTTTATTCGGAAACACGTTAACAAGCATGTCTCCTTTTATAGCTTTATGAAGGTTTACAGTTCAAGGTATAGTTGTCTCGTCCTGTACATATAGCTGAATTATAGTACTATATGAGGGTATTAATAAATAACAGAAAAAATGTAGGTAGCAAAAAAATTTTTATATAAAAAAAAATTTTAAACATTAAATTTTTCTCTTCTACAAACGTGTTGTTTATGGTCCTGAATATTAAATAAACATCGATTTTTGACATATCCCTGGTTATAACATTGGGCTTTCCGTGGAAAACATTTATTGATATTTTGGGTGCTTTAATCGAAATCAAGGTGCAATTAATCCATCAAGAAAAGAGCGAACCAATTCTTAAAATGCCGGAAACGCACTTGCGAATGTGTGTATGGGCGGCGGCATTACCATCAGATGAGCCTCCTGCCCGTTTGCCCATTTAAAAATATGCATGAAGTATTTCGAGTTAATGTCCAGTCGTCAATGAGTGTATAAAAGCGTTGGATGCGATCAATATATCGTAAATGGGATTGCTAGGTCAGTGTCGGATGCGACTGTCATGAGAGACCGTGACCCGGGGGCAGGGGTGGGGGGTGCGCATGCGTTTTCATTCATGAGTTCGTTGTAATAGAATTCCGGCGAGCTCGTCTTATTGCATCCGCATCTGTGCATCTAAGTTGGTGTAATAAAATTAATCGATCTAGATCTAGATGGTCTAGATTTACTTCAGTTAATTAATAACTTAACTAACACTTAATAACAGTTTAAATCGGTTAGAGAGTATATATATTTAATATTCTATATTAATATTATTAATTACTTATAATAAATATTGTAATATTCTATATTACCAATGAGTAAAATATAGATTCGCTTATTATAATTTTAAATACTAGCTTGTATGTATATGTTTCGCGATAACATTATTTTTGTGTCTAATGTTTCCCAACGGGGCCCCACAGGGGGCAATTTTATTGTTAAGGGGGGCAATCGAACACAACGTGGTGACTTCAGACTAACCAAATTGGAACCTAATCTGTGCATCAAGCAAGCAAGCACGGATCTCACTAAATTAACATGATAATTTAATATAGAAAAATCTTTATTTAAATTATTTGTCTAAGACATGTCGGTTTCCTCACGATGTTTCCCGTGACTGTACGAGCTAGTGTTTAATGCGCACATGGACAATCTGCGTATAGCCGTGATTCGAACGCAAGACCTCCGCTCGCTCAAGCTAACTCTGAAGTAGTAGTTTTTTGTATATATATATTTATATTAAAGTATACCACATCATATATTCATATATAATGTTCTACAGTTATAAGCTATCTAATCTAAAGAAGAGAATTATAGTAAACATATATATTTTTTTAAAAGGTCTCTTCACTGATACATCTTTTAACATCAACTAATAAGTAATTTAAGTCTAACTTAATTTATGACAAAAGGGTTGTGGCTCAATTCATATATCGCTGCTGTGTTGTGGGTAACTAGAAAACAATTCTTCCGTGGTACATGGTACATGTTGTACATTTAAAAAAAAATGTTTTAGTGTTACAACTATGTGTTATAAGACATTAAGTATGAGTGAATGTGTGAGTATGTGAATGGGTTTGTATTATGCGCATGTATTTAAGAGTTGTTATGATGGTGCGCTGTGTCTGTGTTAGTTGTTGGACCGCAAAGATCGTAATAAGGCCTCTGTACTGCGAATGTACCAGGTAGCATTGACAATTCCCCTGAGCACTTTGTTTTTGGAATCGCTTTGTAATCGAATGTAATAAAAAACACTAACTAAATAATAAAAATATTGCACATACAATTTTAGTTTTTACTAGTAATTTTTTGCTGAACTAAACGGATTAGGTACCAGTTCCTATTTTAAAATTAATCAGCCCACTACCGAATATATGGAGTTGCTCTGTTTAGCATAATATTGTGTCTTAGTGCTAATCGGTAATACTAATACGTTCGGCCCTTAATGTTACGAAAGTAATAGAGCAGTATTTCATTATAATCTACTTGTGATTATCGCTTGTGAAACTGGCATTTTAGGACGCGATATCGAATTAAATTTTATTTTGTTAAATTATGTTTATTTGTTTTTCTTCAACGTATTATATTATATGAATTAAATTGTTATACTCGGCTCACTGCAGTGAGCTATGGGCTTCCGTCCTGCCCTTCAGGCGATTGACCAGTTGACCACCCCACGATGCCCCAAGCCGTTAGCCGAGGTTCAAGTTTGACAGGAGACGTCCTTGCGCTAGTCGCGGGAAAACGCCCATTCCGGCTAAATCAGTCCAAACTTAGCTGTAAAGGCCCTTAAGGCCAAAAGCGAGATTCCAAATAAAAGTGTGCGTATGTGTAAAAGAGTTGGAGTACAACGAACTGTCTTTTATGTCACAGACCAAAGATGTTGCTAACAGTCATAGAAAAGCGCTAAATTTACCATAGAGTATACAGTATAAAGTATAGACAACTTATATTTTAACACTTTTTTTATTATTATTGGTAACACTTGTAAGTTTTCTCGTACGTTGATAAACTTATCAAAATCCAAAGTTCATAAGGATAGAATCGATGAACTGTGATTCAAAGTATTTGTTACGTAATACCTACTAGATCTATGTAAATGGTTACTTGAGCTCTATACATAGACGATATTGGTATTTGGTTTGATAATCGAGGTGGAAATCCATTTTCTTTTTCCCCTCGTGATCATCCCATTCCCATCGTGTGGAAGTGGGGGTATGTGGAGCCACATCCATTAAAACCCACCTGCATGCATGCTCCTTAGTATTACCATTGTACCAGAGACATGGTACATTCTACGGCGACCAACTGGCGTTATATATACTCAAGTAATTTATTCCATGGGAGGTAGACGAACGGACTATCTAGTGTTTTCTCTTCTTGTGTTTCTGTTCTAACTTTTGTAGGGTACATCGCGCGCAGTCTTTTATTTTATACATTCTGTAATTACCAGTACACAAAAGCATTTGCCTAAGCTTTTTGAGTTCGAAGTCCTCGTGGCAATGGTAAAAATACTGTGAAGCCTCCGGTATCGTCTTCTATACCCGGTCCGCAAAAGGCGATGGAAAAAATTGCCTTAATTTTAACAGTCTAGAAACGGTAATGTTTGAGTAAATTGCACAAGGCAATTCCCGTGTCGTATGCCCTTTGATTGAATGTCTAGAGCGAGCCGAGCTGGAGGCTATTTACAAGGCTTATGCGGGCTGAATTAATGAAATAATGTACCTAAGAATTATATACAGCGTAAACTCCATATAACGACATTCAAGGGACTGTGCCTATTTTGACGTTACAAAGAGTTGCCGATAAATGGAAACAAAAATCTGTATTAGAAAAATAAAGTTTATTTCAGACTAGTGTTAGTAATTACATAAAAACAATTCGTATTTGAACGCTATTGCGTTGTCTGTTATTTTTGTACTGTACCAGTAGTTAGGTTTTATTTTTTTAGTTATTTAATTCATGTCTTGCGATATTGAGTTCGTGATAAAACACATGCAAGCATGCGCAATTTGTAAAAAATGAACAGATTTCTTGAAAGTTCGGTACGTATGACGAGTACCGGCAGTCGAGTTTATTTCTCGCTAGGACAATAAAGCGACAAAACAACGTACACAGCAACGCAGTTTTAACTAATTTCGGCAACTTTAAAAGTACTTTTTAGTATTTAATTGTTGTCGTGATTGAGGGTGAGTGTACTGCTATGTAGAGGGTATAATTGTATGGAAGACAAGCTAAACCAACTAAAGCCGAGTGATTTCGACGCTTTAGGGAGTTTGTCGTTAAATCGATGGACGTTAAACTATATCTTTATTTTATATCGCAATGAGTCTATTTATATTAATATTAATTTATTAGCAAGAATCTTGTACATAAATGTTCTGGTACAATCTAAAGTTCGCATATTCTGCTACACATAATGGCGTGCAAATTTGTCTTAAAAGGAATTTTACATAGAAGTTACAATTATATTATGAGTCATGTCATTATATATAGAGTCGTGACACCTAAAAGCTTTCCATTCGTTGTCAGTATATTGACTGTTATAACAAAACATCCATTAATATAACAAAATGGAGCCATTATCGCAAGTTTCACATTACGTAAATACCTAATAATTTATGTTGTTATCGTGGATATATAATAATTGAGGCATCGAAGACAGCCGGTAATTTGGTTATATTCTTTTTGCAATGCAGTTTATTGAAGGTATCACAATGCTATGACCGAGGAAATGGAAATAAGAGGTGAATAAATAAAAAAGGGTGCGTGTACTTATGTACGCGCGAAGTTATACTTCTTTGGCATTATTAAAAATAGTTTTTGATTGCATGCAAATAATTATTCAATAAAGTTCAGTTTACATTTGAAAAATTTAATAAATAAATATTTATTATTATTCTCTTACATTAAGTGTAGCAGAAATTTTATTATTATTCGAATGTTGTTTTTAAATTATGTCCAATGCCGTAGCATCTTCCGTGGGCAACTTTACTCTGTTAATTTGGTGCCACGGTGCGCGCGCATCGTAATATTTCACTCTCATAAATTTTTCATAACGCGCCTATAGAAGTATAACTTCAAAAATTACTGCTCTGTACACTGATACATAATGAAAAGGTTTTTTACACGCTTTTAAAATTACTCATTATTTATTAAAATGTTTAAGCAATTATAATAAATAAATGTCAATTGAAATATGTAAATATTTAATCGAAATTGACCGTTTCGGAAGTGACTTATTGACATTGAATGATTGTGATTGAATAATTGAAGATCAAGGTTCTCGGTCAAGGTTCTTATGCATACGTTTAGTCTTTGCATAACAGCTTATTAGATATTTGTACAAGAGCGGTTAATTTGCTGGAGGGTTCATTTAAGTAAACGTTCCCGTGGAACCCAATCTTTGATAGAGATATTAGTGTACAGAGTGGGAAGGGATCAGGTACTAAATGATGTGTCATGTGTAAATGAGGTGTAACCTACAGATACGGTTGTATATTATATATATAACACTTTCAAAAAGGTCCTGCTAGCGTCTCGGTTTTTCTTTTGTTTTTTCTATTGTTTTGTTTTTTTTACATTCTTTTGTTTTTCTCTACTTTTTTGGTTATTAGTGTAGAAGTGTATGAAGTGTATGAAGTGTACTTATTGCGTGATGCAATAAGTAATAGTGAGATACGTGAGCAGGGTGGGTAAAGGGAACGTAATGCTAAGAATACGAAAGGGAATGCTTAGGTGGTTTGGCCATGTAGAACGGATGAAAGAGAAGGAGGTGCTAGAGGAGAGACAAGTTAAAAGTTTCCATAACCGACGAGCATGCATGTCATAAAAGTGGACAAAGCGAGAGAGGTATGTCAGGACCGTAGCAAGTAGAATGTTTTGGGGATAAGCAAGGAAAAAGGCTTGAATGTATCGTAATATAAATTAACATAATATGACGTCTATATATTGATTACAAATATGTATATGGTATTTTCTATTAAGTATAACAGTCTCTCATTATACCCAACAAAATGTGTCAAATTTAACTTTTAATCTCTTTTGTCCTCAGACCGGAGTCCCTGTGGGTGTCAGCTGTTCTGCAGACCATCCGGATGGTAGTATTCATGTATGATATCCTCTCATTCCCGGTACACCTGGTGCTGCAGAGACCATGGAGAAAACGGTCCATGTCGCGACGTATTAAGGTAAACTTTTACATAAAATCTTTGTTCTTTTGTTTGTCTCTATTTTTTTTTCTCCATTACACGAATAATAAAAATTGTTAAATTCCCCTTAATGCAGTATTGTGGAATAGTTTGGATATAAAGTTATAATGAATACCTATATAAAATATATTACAACAGTGCAATCTCACCAGATTCTTAAATTTCAAATAAGAAATGTTTTCTAACCTCAACTCCTGTTTTATATTAGCTGCCCCGCGAAATTTTTCGCCTTCATACGATTTTTATATTCAGCCTATCTCTTTAGAAGCAATATACCAACATTAGAATATTTGAATATGCTCATAGAGACTGTTCGCTTTTCCGGAATAAAAACTGATTTTTAGGTTTTTCCGTGCTGTTTCCATAAAAACCTTCCTCAGTTCAGGGAATAAATAATATAAAATCTCGAATTGGTCCATCTTTAAGTTTTGAGCTTAGCAACCTATTTTGCGAATCAAATAGACTTTAAATTTCGAACATAAAAAATAAATTGATCTAAAAAATGGAAGCACACAGCAGATTTCTTCATTTCCAACTTAGAAATATTATTTTCTATCCTCAATTTCAATTATTTATTTTAAAATCGAAATATTCGGACAAGACACTTTTAATGGTGTTAGTAAAATTGACTCTTTGACTTTGTTATCATTATGTAATTAAATGTATTATATTTCATTTTCAGGCACAAATCATAGATTCCACTCCAAACAGCGTAACAGTCCGATCTGTGTCAACGCCTTGCAATCTTCACTTGCGTCTGGTGCGTGACAATGTCACCACCATGGAGGCCATGTTGCATGCTGCGGCCGCCAGATGGCAGGACAGACCTTGTCTAGGAACTAGGACAGTTTTAAGTGAAGAGGATGAACCGCAACCAAATGGACGAGTGTTTAAGAAGGTGAGAGATCTGAAAGTTTGTGAGGTATTTTTCGTAGGAGCAAGTATGTTCACAAATTTCTCTAAAAGTTAGTCATGTCGAAAATTAAGTTCGATGACAGTTGTTGTAGATATGTTTGTTTGAAGCTGGGTAACAACTGGCTTTAATTGTTTAAAACATGAGTTTATAACAAACATAAAATTAGAGGTTGTGGGGTTGCGACGCTGGATTAACAAACAAAAAAAACTTGACTTTAAAGAGTTCGTAAATCTAAGTGATACTCATGTTATTGGACATTATCGGAAGGGGAGTGTTATATTATAATTTATGAGTGTTTTAAAAACTTATGTGCCCATATCGGTTGCAAGTGTGCGATTATTGTTTACATTTTGTTTATGCCTTTAATTATTAACTAATCTCTATATCAGGGATTTTATGGAGCTTCGTAACCGTAACTGAAACAATCGGATATCCGAAATAGAAATATGTGTATCCGTAACCGTATCCGTTTCAGAACTTTCGGATAGTTTCGTATAAGGGCGGAGTCTAAAATCTAAATAAAACAACACGCTTCGACAGGTTTTTGTTAATGGTTTCATTACTGAGAAACATATTTAAAAAGAAAACATTGAATATGTTATGCATAGGTTATAAGCTAATATGTATAATGTACAAAGCTAAGGCTATGTCCGCACAGGCAGGGTTTGCTTAGCGCCTAGAGCCTCGAGGCTTGCCGTCTGGCTACTTGCTAGGTACACGGTGGCCGGACTACAGACATTTTGTTGCATTATTTCAACGGAATTGGATTTGTTACGTGGCAGAACAACTCATTGCCTGAAAACAGAATCGAACGCCATACCTGATATCATTCGTTAACATTAACTTCAGATGAAAAAAAAACATTATCTGTCCATGAAACAAATAAATCACTTTTTAGTATTAAAGACTTTCAACTTCGACTGCTACCTCTTTCCATAGCTTCTTTAAGACGACTGCATTTTTATGGAGTTGATTAGAGGGATTCCACAGAGGTTCTTTTTTAAAAACTGTTGAAATTAACATTTCATCCATCACGAAAATGCTTCGCGCCTCGCGACAAAAAACCAACATGTTTGTTCACTTCGATACACGCTAAGCGACTAGCTAGGCGCCAAGCGCGCAATGCGGCCGTTCGCGAAGATTCTAGAACGTTCGTTTTACTAAGCTACTCGCTTAGTGATTCGCTAGGCGCTAAGCAAACCTCCTGCCTGTGCGGACGTAGCCTAAATGTTTTTACAGCTCTTCAATTTATTGCATTTTTATTTATGGAAAAAACTGAGGAGGATAAAACCTATATATAAAACTAAATTAATACATACTATTTATGGTTATATTTTACTTCAATCTAATAACCGTAACCGAAACTATCCGAAACTAACGGATAATCCGAAATAGTTACATATCCGACACCGATATAATTTAATTCCTATATCCTTATCCGTATCCAGATCCGAAATATCATATACATAACATCTCTACTCTATCTTAATATATATAAATCTCGTGTCACAATGTTTGTCCTCAATGGACTCCTAAACTACCGAACCGATATCAATCAAATTTGCACACCATGTGCAGTTCGATCCAACTTGAGAGATAGGATAGTTTAAATCTCAAATTATAGTCGCAATTTTAATTTATTGCAAAATATTTGTTTATTATTTGATACAATTCTAACAGATGGCGCTGTGTTAAAAGTACCAACGTTTCACATAAGCTATCTACCTTTCACATAAGTTCTCCTACCGTTTCCCTTGAATAGTTTACTATTATGTAATATAACAAAAACCTTAGCCACAGCAACGCTTGACCGGTCTGCTAGTATGTATATAAAATTCTCGTGTCACAATGTTCGTTTCCATACTCCTTCGAAACGGCTCGACCGATTCTTATTAAATTTTTTATGCATATTCAGTATGTCATAGAATTGGCTACTATCTATCTTTCAAACCCCTAAATGTTAAGTGTGGTCCACCCCTAAATTTCTATTTTTAGATAAAATTTTTTGTTTTTATTTTTATATGATACAGCATACAAAAATACATACAGACTTTAATTTTCAGGCAGAAGGCTGATCACCTTCTTGCCTGTTAGATTGAAACATGATCATGAAACAGATTCAGAAATCGGAGGCCCAGATCTAAAGAGGTTGTAGCGCCACTGATATTATATATTACTCATTCTTGTTGATTTAGGGTCACCTGTTAGGACAGGATTGTTTTTTTATAAATAAATAAAATTGGTATTAATATTTCAGTACAACATGGGCAACTATGAATGGCGGTCGTACAGTGATATGGAGAACGAGGCGACTTGGTTCGCAGCTGGTCTTCGTGAGTTAGGATGCCAGCCCAAGAAGAACATCGTCATGTTTGCTGAGACCAGGGCTGAGTGGATGATCGCTGCCCATGGATGCTTCAAGCAGAGTATTCCTGGTAAGGAATTAATCATTTTTCATCATGACTTGATGCTCGTGGTAATACTATAGACAAGTGGAATTTCGTATTCTGTATCTGTATAAGAACTATAGATCACAATTTTACTTTTTACTAATATAAAGTATTAGTAAAAAGTAAAATTACCAACTAAATTAGTATTAAGTCAATTTAAATTATTTTTTTAACCATCTGCAATCAGTCTTTTGGCTTTCATCAGATTTTATGATATGATGACAAACTATCAAGCTGCGGCAAAGCTCGCCTTTCTTAGCCGAAACACGGCGGGTTTCCAAGAGGCCCGAAGGGGGTTGACGTGTTGCTGAAGTCTCTTTTTGTATTGTTCGGTTGATCTTTTAATGTCTTCATCGACAGTGGTAATTCCGAAATATTTATAGACGACGCATTTCGTGTTAACTTAAATAATTTAAATTAATTAAAATAAAATTAATCGTTTATTTCCAAAGAAAGAGGTAGGTACATTCAGATTGATTATATAAAACAGCACAATAATAACAATAGGCATGCAAATGTCCTAATAATTAAAGTTATTTATAACTAGCTGCCCTCGCGAACTTCGATTCGCCTTATTATGATTTTTAATAGAATGTTTTACTATCTACTATAGAGTTTCCGTGCAATTTTTCTGTCTACAAAAACTCCCTCAGAGTTCAAGGAATACTCTAATTGGTCTAGACGTCTTTGAGTTTTGCGTTTAGCAAGATATTTTGCGATTCATTTTTATTCATAAAGATTTTTGTCAAAACTTATGGTCTAAATACTCTCCAACAATAAAGTCACACAATAAAATCACCATGCCTTTAAAAATTACCAACCAAATTCGTAATAAAATTTATACGCAAAGACTACGACAGACGTTTATTGGGGGCATTACCACTATTAAGAATGACTCACATTTATATTTGCAAGAATAATTTATAAATTACCGTTTCAAGATTAGCATACAAGTTTTGAAGGTTTCCTTTCGTTATTATTCTCATAACTGGATTTACGATTTCAAGTTTAATTTCCTACGAACTGGTCTAAGCTTTACTATATTTTCCCACCCTTTATTTGTCCCATGCCCCCATGCCTTTCTAAATGTTTTATGTAACATACATCATTTTGAGTAATAAAAAATTGAATTGTTCGCTTGAGATCTTAAATTATAGGTTTTAATAAAATCACTAGGAAATTCAAATTACAAATAATTTAAATAAATAAATAGAGGAATTTTTTTTTTAAATTTAATCTATTTTTTTTTCATTAGACTTTGTAATATTTTCAAAAACTAGGGATCTGAAAACTTCGATAATGTAACATGAAGCTGGGAAAAAATACCAATATAATATCGCTTACGCTACGGAAACTATTGACAATAGAGCAAAGTGATGTACTACAGTTTAATAGAGGACATCTATTACATTTTTAATAAAATAAATATGCCCTGTGAACACTAGTACAGCAAAGTACAACTTTGATAATGTTGATAATTAAAAATGATTAAATTCAATCGAACAATGATTACCCAATATAACCTCATTTCAAAGCTATTAAAGAGTTATCGTGATAACGATGTAATCAATTCAAGTAGCACTCAATTATAATTAAATAGTACTAGACTTTTATACTTCGGATAACTCGCGAATACTTCAAGCGTCAAGATAGGGTCAAGAGAGTTTCTTTGGTGTTCTCTAGGCTATGGAGACTTTAGATTTACAATATCGGGACTTTGTATGCAATTTACATATTATATAAAAGTGAATCGCAAAAGGCTAAGCGCAAAAGTTGAGACGGCTGGACTAATTCGACTATTTTTTTTTAAATAGAGAAAGTAGTACTACCGTCGCTATGGGCTAGCATAGCAAAATGTTTTATATGATCGTATGTAGCTACTAAAAAAGGTCTAACTAAAATCTGAGGGCACGGCTTTGATGGAAGCAGTTAAGGCCATCTTCGACCCCATATATTAATGTGGGTAAAATTAGAAGGGATTGTAAAACACTGTATATTTTTTATTCAATTTGAACCAGTAGTAGAAATAACTTAGACATGATAAACTTAGAAATGACTTGGGTTTTTACAAGTTATGTTTTAGGAGTTATATTCAAGCGAAACGAAATTCGCGGGGCAGCAAGTATAAAATAAATTACATTTTCCGTGAACTACGGGACCACTTTTAATTTGACACAGAGTTGTTCTTAAATTTATATTTTACTAAGAATTAATTCCTAAACAATGTTTTGGGACACACATGTATTTTTTTCAATCGACTTAAATATTGCCAAACTTTTTTCTTATATTTGTACACAAGGGTACATTTGTTCAATAAATGTATGACCTAACCTCAGTAACTATGTAAATTTCATGTAAATTTTCTCATTTTCATATTTTTCCAGTGGTCACAATCTACGCAACTCTAGGCGATGATGCTATAGCCCACGGAATCAATGAAACAGACGTTTCTACCGTCATCACAACACACGACCTTCTACCCAAGTTCAAGAAGATCCTTGCAAAGACTCCGAAGGTGGACACCATAATTTTTATGGAAGACCAGCTCAAAAAAACGGAGAGAGATGGATTCAAGCCTGGAATTAAGATTGTCGCTTACAAGGAGGTTATACAGAAGGGAAAGCAGTCGAAAATTGGTACGTTATCTCTTCATAAAAATTAAATCTATTTGAACCGTTTTCATTAAAGTACTCAGCTGTCTCTTTTCATCACACCATAAACGCAATTTGACATAAAGAGAGAAGTCGATCAGCACAGCCCAATTAGTCGGTCTTGGTCACTTTATTTAATTTTTTTCTTTTATATGGCTAAGACAAGCTGGTGTTATGCGTTGTTCCTTAACCAATTAATAGGACTTAGCAAGAGAAATACATTGAATTGACTTCTCCTATTACCTCCCTTACTCCTACTTTTATCATATAAGTGAATTATTTATGATTAATTAGTTTGGTTTCGAACCTATATATTCTTAAGAACATATAGAGTTGTTCCGACTAAAGTCTATACGGTATCTGACGACACATTGTCGTCTTGAGTGCTGTCAAATATATCAAACTTTATACAAAAGAAATGGTTTAACAGCTCCTGAAACTAGATTTAAGCTATCGTGGATTTTGCTTAATGTATGTATTAAGAATGTCCATAGCGCTAAATCACCTGCATCATGACTATACACACACACCCTCACATACGTACCCTCACTCTCACACCATCACACAACACAGCCGAATTAGGTATTACTTAGATAAATGTATTTGATATTTTATATTGATTTTTTTCCCTTCGTAAATGTTGGATGTTTTTTTTGTATATATTATCTATTCTGTTTGGCTTTATCTTAAGTATAATTGTTATTGTTATATATTACATATGTTAGCTGTAGGATTACGAAATAAATAAATAAGTTTGATTAATAAGGTTATTTTTTACATGAATAAAAATTTCGTAAACTTAACTTACTAATTAATAAAATACTATAAATTTATTAATTTAAATTCCATCTCTTCCAGAATGTATCCCACCAGCTCCGTCCGATACAGCGATCATAATGTACACATCTGGTTCAACTGGGGTCCCAAAGGGCGTGGTGCTGTCCCACAGGAATATGATAGCGACGTTGAAGGCTTTCGCGGATGGGGTGCCGATGTATGATGATGATATGCTCATGGGATTCCTGCCTCTGGCCCACGTGTTTGAGTTGCTGGCTGAGAGTTTATGCGTTATTGGTGGTAAGTTACGCGCTTTTTCGTTTTTTTTTTTTAAAGACAAATCACACCAATTGACCTAGTCCCATGCTAAGCTGGTGAAGCTTGTGTTATGGGTACTAGGCAACGGATATACATACATATTATAGATAGATATACATATAAATACATATTTAAACGCCCAAGACCTAAGCACAACACCAAATGCTCATCACATTGATGTTCGTCTCAGCCGGGGATCGAACCCGGGACCCATGGATTCGCAGTTAGGGGTACTAACCACTAGACCAATGAGTCGTCTATTTAGTATAAATAAATAAATATAGTTTATTTTGTAAGATTCGATTACTTGTGAAATGTTATGTTGTATCTTGTGTGATGGGTAAATTAAATGGTGGAAGCTGATTTTGTGGAATTGGTAATTAAGTTTCCTCTTTACAAATAAAAATGAATCGCAAAATATGAGACGGCGGGACGAATTTTAGTTTTTTTCTTTTATTCTCTGAACTTTCAGAAAGGTTTTATGGAGAGAAATATTGCAAGAAAAGCCTAATACGGCGAAACGAACTTCGCGGGAGCAACTAGCTTATTATAAATTCAATGGCGCTACAACCCTATATCTTGAGGTATTGGCAGATTGTATGCCATTCCTTGATCAGTTTTATTTAGATAAGTAGGTGATCATCCTTCTGTGTGACACATGGCGATTTTTGTATTGACTGGTTTTCTCACGGTCTTGCTTCATCGTACGAGGGAGAGTTCATTCATTATATAAAGTACTAGCGGACCCGACAGGCGTCCTGCATGATATTTCAACTGATTAGGATGTTAAACAAAGTATGATAGTACCGACTGCAGCTCCATCGCGCCGCTGATTTGTGAATCTATACCATCTACCGCCACCCAAACGCATTCAAAAAAATCATTCAAATTAAACTGTTTAAAATGAGTTCAGTGACACACATACTGTAGATCTATATAAAGATAATTATTTTGACGTTCTCTTTTCTTTTATTTATTTTTTTTGTCTCGTAACTGTCTTAGGATGTTCTTATTTGATGTGTCCTTTTAGATATCTATGTCCTTAATTATTTGGAAATATCTTTTGTAGCTAAAAAACCTTGTGACGAACTAAGATAACAACACTCTCTTCGGGATGACACATTGTTACCCTATTTTCTCCTCGTACACACGACACAAGGGAGTGTCATTATTTATGATAGTTAGTACAAATAAATTTCTATTTTAGGTGTACCTATTGGCTACTCAACGCCGCTAACAATGTTGGACTCTTCGAGTAAGATAATGAAGGGAACGAAGGGAGACGCCACAATTTTACAACCCACCTGTATCACCACTGTACCCGTGAGTATATTATGATTTAAAAAAATATGTGGGCGAGGGACTTCAAAACTGAAAAAAATCTTGAGAAACCCGTCTTAAACCATAGGATTTTTGGGCTGTCCGGTTGGTGCTTGAGACAAAGAAACTTTGCATCGGGCGTGTCTCACACTAACTAGCACTAACAAACAAACGAAGTATGGAAATGGTTACGCTTAAAAAAAAAATTTTTTCTCAGGACTCAGACTTGTATCTAAAATTCAATATTAAACTTAAAAAAACGACTACGGGAGTTCATAATTATGCGTCATTTGTCTTAATATAATAAAATAAATATTGATTTTTGATTAAAGATATTTAATGTTTCGTCCTTATTACTCTCATATCACTAAGACATTTTAATCATTCTCGTATATAAAATGCAATATGTTTATATGAGTAGTAGGTCCTAGAAGAAATAAAATAAAATTTCAATCATTTATTCATATAGGTAACATAATGACACTTATGAACGTCAAAAAAAATGTATATAATGTATAAAATGCTTCTAATTTTACATTTACTGCCAGTTCTCAAATCAAAGGCGTAGAACGGAAGAGAAGAACTGGCAATAAACTCTCTGCCACTCTTTTTAATCGCCAAGTCTTTTGTTTTACACAACGTTTGTAAGGAGCTGTCTAGAAAATTTCTCAAACTTAAATTACCTTTCAACAGCTGTCAAATATTTTTTCTATTTATACTTTGACATATGTGACAGAGCTCAAGCGGAGATTGTAACTTGAGATATCTTTTAGCCACAGAGTCCGATTTGGAATCTGACCTTTTTTGTATCTTTTTCAGCTAATAATGGACCGTATCAGCAAAGGAATAACGGACAAAGTGTCTCGTAGCGGTGAATTCGCGAACGCGTTCTTTAAGTGGGCGTATTCGTACAAACAGTCGTGGATGAAGCGCGGCTATGACACACCTTTGCTTAATCGAGTGGTAAGTCTTTAAATAACAAACAAAATTATAAAATACAGTGTAAACTCTTAAAGAAAAACGCTTTTTACCGGATTAAAGTTATGTTTATTATTCACGTGCGTGCAGCGTGCGTGGTCACGGTGACCGTGACCACGCACGCTGTAAAGCACGCGAAACGTCGGATAAATTTAAAATTATGTCAAATAGTTGTAAATTTATAATAATAAACATAACTTTAATCCGGTAAAAAGCGTTTTTCTTTAAATGTGTAAAGGTTATGTTAATCAAAGACAATACTAAGTGTAAACTCTTTATAGCGCTATTTGGTTACAACGAAATATTCTCTATAACGAAAAACATGGGATACATTTGTTTGGTTGACAAAACCCATACATTAATTCTCTCTTTATAACGCACAGCCATTTTATATTACGAAGAAATATTTTCATAGTTAGACATGAGCAACATACTTAAGTGTAATTTTTTTTATTATCAGATTGCAAAACTAACCTATTGCGGTGCCGATATTTCTAAAAAAGACACCTGAGGTCATAAACAGCCTTCTCGCCTTTGTTATTGTTTATTGCATTAACACGTGGCCATTATTCTTGTAGCAAATTTTGGTCTTAGTTACTAAACGCACCATTGTCACCTATCTATTATATATATATATATAAATTATTGTGATTGGTTAAATTTGGTGTTTATCTCTTCGTTCTCTATAATGAAGAAAAATTAAATGTATTATGTATTAGTATTTTGTTACTAAAGATATAATAAATGATTTCAGGTATTCAAAAAAGTCAGCCAATTGCTCGGCGGACGTGTACGTCTAATGATAGCGGGCGGGGCCCCTCTAGCGCCGGACACTCACACGCAGGTCCGGCTCTGTCTTTGCTGTGACGTTATTGCGGGATATGGTTTGACAGAGACCACATCCTGCGCCACCATCATGGATCTGCAGGACAGGTGAGATATTTAACAGCTATTTAAACGAGGAAAAAATATGTAGTACAAATATATTGTATATCCATATGTCCGCATCAGAAATTCGTGTACCAATAACTCAAAAACGTCTGAACCGATTTTGATAAAATGCGTTTAGTGTCCGAGAAACGTGCAGCAAACACAATTCCAACAATATGACATTTCTAAGGTCCATTCGTATCTCATGTCACAATGACCTTTTGGGCGCTGTCAAATTAGTAATACAGAAAATGGTTTGACAGCTTCTAGATTTCAATTTGGTTGACGTTCTAGAATAAAGGTCAAAGTGTCATAACGTCTTTTTTTAACTTAGTTAATCATAATTAATTAAATTACTTTTTATACTCTTCCTTCTAGCACTATTTTCACACAAGTCGATAGCTATTTGTTTTTCTTCTAAAAATTTAGTTTTAACGGAGTTTATGTGTATTTTCAGGTCAACGGGTCGCGTCGGTGCACCCACAACTGGAACAGACATAAAACTCGTCAACTGGGAGGAGGGCAACTACAGAGTCGGGAATAAACCTTTCGTACAGGTATGTTCCTCTATAAATAATTTTTATTTATTTATTTATACACAAATGAAACACAAAGAGCACGCACAAAAACAATACATGCATGTGCATCAATGACAAGTGTACAGAACAATACTAATATAATGAAAATAAATAATAATAAATAAGATTAAGAAATCTCTCGAAGTCGGTAGCTCATGTCTGAGCGACGTGGTCAGCAAATAAACATCTGCAGCAGACAATCTGTTTCCACCGGTTTCTGCCCAGCGCATCTCTTATAAAAGTGTAGAGTTTTGAGGATGATGAGTCTTTCACTTGATCGGTCCAACCACGATCAGTTTCTCCAAGTTTTGATCGCCTCTGCGTATTGTATGGGCGGAATAAGATATAATTCACTGTCGACGTATGGTAGACGGACGAGTCTGTATGCGTCAATCAAACGTCAAGACCCATATAGGAGTTTAGAGCTACTAGATTTTAATATTCTTCAAGTTAATTAATATTTAATTTTATTAATAAGTTATTTCGGTTCATGATAATTTGCTGGAGGATTACATGATTGATATAACTCAGCTTACGGAATATATAAAAAAATATTGTTTAAGTTTTCCTGAAATTATTTAAATCTTTAGCGTTATATATATTTGTGTTGTATAAATCTTTATGCTTAAATTTCGTATTCCTACATCCTATTTGGAATTCTTTAGACACGACCTACTACTAAATGTTTTATCCCTGCTCAGGGGATTGTGAAGTGAGTTTGGTTGGAGGCCGGTAATATTATCGTGCATTATTAAAAAACCATCTTGACTCACACTATTTGTGATGGAGGCTTTCAATTAGACCAGTAATTATTTTAATTATTATTTAAAATTGCCCTTTTCTGGGTTGTCCATTAAAAACGTAACATCTAAATTTCCAGGGTGAGATAGTAATCGGTGGAGACAGCGTGGCAGAGGGTTATTACAAGAATCCCGAGAAGAGTCGAGAGGAGTTTGTGGATGTAGACGGGAAAAGGTGGTTCCGCTCTGGAGATATTGGGGAATTGCATCACGACGGCTGTATTAAGATTATTGGTGAGTAATGTTTATTTGCGTTCGTATACATTGGTATTAAACATATTTGCTGCATAATTTGCATGATTTGAAAATGTCTTCTGAACACACCTTACGCAGAGTTGGAGATGCTACTAAGACCTAACACACTCACTTATTCACACTTATTGACTCACACACATCGGGTATACTATTAAGAGAAGTTCAAATGTGGAGAATTTATTGTAAACAGTTTAAAAAAAGGGTGCGTGTACTTATGTACGCGCGTAAGAAGTTATACTTCTTTGGCATTATTAAAAATAGTTTTTGATTGCATGCAAATAATTATTTACAATTAAATAATTTGAAATATTAAATAAATAAATATTTATTATTATTCTCTTACATTAAGTGTAACATAAATTCTATTATTATTCGAATGTTGTTTTTAAATTATGTCCAATGCCGTAGCATCTTCCGTGGGGGTCAGTTTTGTGTCACGGTGCGCGCGCATCGTAAAATTTCACTCTCATAAATTTTTCATAACGCGCCTAAAGAAGTATAACTTCAATAAATAAAAATAAGAGTGGTTATAGATGAAACGGCTTTAGAAAGATGAAAAGCGTTGAGCGAAGAAAGTGCGTTTTTTCAGTTGCTTATAATATATAGGTTTGCGTTGTGTGTGGTGTGATCGGTGTTTGTTTCCAAAAAAAGTCTTAATCCACGCACGTTATATTTAAAATTTATTTATTTGTAATAAAACCTTAAACAATAACTTGAACCAAATATTTCAGACCGCAAAAAAAGATTTAGTGAAGCTCCAAGCCGGTGAATACGTGTCTCTGGGCAAAGTTGAAGCGGAACTGAAAACGTGTCCAATCGTCGAGAACATCTGTGTCTACGGAGACAGCTCGAAGACCTACACCGTGGCCCTCCTGGTACCGAACCCGAGGCACTTGGCGGAACTGGCCACGAGGATCGGCCTCCCGGAGATGGAGTTTGAGCAGCTGTGTCAGAATGCGGAGGTTGAGAAGGCCGTGGTCAAAGAGCTGGCGGATCATGCGAGGAAATGTAAGTATTAGTAGTCTATATGAGTATAAAAGATAAAGCGGGATAAAAGATGGACACTAGAAATAACGAAATGGGCTGGGCCTACTGGAAAGAGATGTATAGGACGACAAAGGAAAAGATGGACAGATGACATTGTAGAACTAGCGGGGGAAAGCTGGATGAATGTTGCTCAAGATACAGAGAAATGGAAAAATATGGAGGAGGCTTTTACCCTAAAAGGGGCCATACAAAAACTAGACCACTTAAAAATAAAAAATAAATCTAACTTAAATTTGGTTCAAAACTCATACTAACTTAACTAAAACTAATATTAAGGAATGTAAACTAACCAATTGTTGAATGGATTAATAAAGCTTTAATAATAATAATAATGAGTACAATATGTACATTCATGTTTCAAAACTCGGTGAAAAGAATCGGTATTGTAACATAAAACAATAATATTTTCAGGCTTCAAGAGAATTTACCCTAACGCTAGTGTTGCCAGATTTTTTTTAAATATAATTTTATGAGGCTCAAAGAATTAATTTTATCCTAACACAATAGTGTTGCCAAATTAAAAAAAGAAATACTTTTTTCGGGCTCAAACAATTAATATTGACCTAAAGTTAATAGTGTTGCTAAATTAAAAAATACTTATTTGGGCTCAAAGAATTAATTTTACCCTTACGCCCGATAGTGTTGCCACTTGCCAGATATAAAAATATATTGTTTTTGGGCTCAAAAAATTAATTTTATCCTAACACAATAATGTTGCTAAATTAAAAAAATACTTTTTTGGGGTTCAAGAATTATATTTATCCTATAGCAATAATGTTGCCAGATATAACAAAAATACTATTTTCAGGCGGACTTGAAAGATTTGAAGTACCTGCAGCGGTGAAACTTTGCACAGAAGTGTGGTCACCAGACATGGGTCTAGTTACCGCTGCCTTCAAAATCAAGAGGAAAGACATCCAAGAACGATACAAGGAAGATATTAAACGAATGTACGCGTCATGAGTCGCCATCACATCCGCGACACGATCACGCAATATTGAAATAGGTAACTTGAGAATCGGTTAATATAATTATTTGTCTAAAATTAAATAGTTTTGCTTTGTAAAAGACCCTAGAAAATATATAATTTTAATATTTATTTATTTCGATATCACGTGATCTAAAATGTCTGGTAGCGGCTTCGATCTCGGACGTTGTCTTATTCAAAGTCGATTTTGCCGCTTATTTATTAGGCAAAATATTTAAGAAAATATGCCTATTAAATATGCGGCCATGTAAATGGTTGTATAAACTGCTTGAGATTAAATTTTGTTTGTATATCGAGCATCACAATATTATAAGATGTAAAGAAATTTTACGTATGCCAAAAGTGTTGTGGACTGGCCAAATCAATTCATAGATTAGAGAACGATTTAATGAAGCCGAAGTCATTTTATAGCAATTTTCTATAATTTTATTAAGTCGTTAAGAATGACAGAACTAACATTTTTGTAATTTGGTCGGTTACAACGTTAGCTGTAGAGGGAGCGTTCAAGTATTACGTAACGCAATTTTTGGAGATTATTGACCCCCCCATGTAACTCGCCGTAACGTTACCCTAGTACAGTACTGTACTTAAGTATAGTAAAACGTTTCGTGACCACCTTGTGTCTCTTTAGTTACTATTATGTGGTGTAAGTCGAAAATAATATTAACAATAACGCGTAATTCAATCCCCGCCCCGCATCGTAACGTTTTACAAAAGGACAAAAAAACTCGTAACGTAATACTTGAATGCTCCCAGAGGTCATCGTTTAGTTTAAAATTGTAAATAGTGTAGAATATTCTAGGCTTTTCTCATCAGTTTTTAGATCTGAGGTTAAGAAAAAAAAGTGAGAAACGAAGTGCAATTTGTCGGATACGTTTTAAATTGGCCTAGTGCAGCAGTATCGGTTTTGATGCGGTTATTATAAGTAATGTTTTAGTACTTAGACGGAATGTGCTGTTGTATCTTCGGCCAACGATTCTGTGGTCGTTGGCGCTTATGCGTTTGCATAATACAAACGTTTTTTTAGTTTTATTAGGCAATTGTACTCATCCTATGTTCCTCTTTATTTCGCAGTCTAATGCATTTATACAAGTCTTTTTGGAGCCATTTTAATAACGTGTTTGCATTCTGAAACGCATTTAGTACTTGACAATTGTAAGGTCTTGCGAAAATCTTTTCGAAATTTACCGAAATATATACTCGTGCAACTGGTCGACGGAAATTCGAAATACATTTTGACTTGAAGCGAGAAGTTGCACGAAGTATCGAGAATGCCTCTCACTTCTATCAACTTCGTGAGTGTTTAAACGTGTAACGCATTTAGTACTTGAAAATTGTAAGGATTTATATTCTTTTCGAAATTTAACGAAATTAAATTTAACAGAACATCAAAATACTTTTTGACTTGAAGCGAGAAGTTGCACGAAGTATCGAGAATGCCTCTCACTTCTATCAACTTCGTGAGTGTTTAAACGTGTAACGCATTTAGTACTTGAAAATTGTAAGGATTTATATTCTTTTCGAAATTTAACGAAATTAAATTTAACAGAACATCAAAATACTTTTTGACTTGAAGCGAGAAGTTGCACGAAGTATCCAGAGTGCCTCTCAATATTTATGATAAACTTCTATCAACTTCGTGAGTGTACAAGTATAATTTTAAAGTACATTCGGATAGCAATATGGGAGCGAGAAAAGGTTTTTTTTATTGTCGTGCTGGAACACTGTATGATATGTATAATTCCATGTATTTAAGTATGTTACTATAATAGGTAGCGTCACTTTTAATGTTAATAATTTTGAATCGTAAATTTTGAATGTTAATCGATGTTGTAGGAATTTTGCTCAGTTGGTTTGTTTGAAAATCTTAATATTCTGAAAACATTTTTTGTATTATTTATTCAATAAATTATGTTAATAAAATCAGTTTATGTTTTTTTTTGTTACGCAGTCTACAATTTCAGATGGTTAATGGGTATAAACTGGCATTAATATTAACTATCATTTTGATGAATAAAATATACGAATAGTTAACGAAACGTTACAAAAAAGACCTGTTTTATTTTTATTTATTTATCAACACTTTGTTGCATTACATATTTGGTTACTACATTCAGATAGCTTAAATTAAGAAGTCGACGGTGGCCTTATCGCTAGTAAGCGATCTCTTCCAGGCAACTAGTAAGGAAAAAGAAATACTACGGGTAAAGTGCATAATTAAAAAAAAATAGATGTAGACGTACCCATTATAAAAGCAAAATAAATTCTAATCATGCTAGGTTTTCAAATACGTAAAAACAATATATTTATAATGACAAATAAATCTCGATATTACGCTTAAACAGATGGAATGGTTTTGGCTAAAGAGGTGTATAAGACTTTAGAGAGGTAGTAGTAGTATAAGATCCCGCTATACAACGACCTTCACCGAGATGCTTATTTAATGAAACATATTTTATATTAAATTTAATATGTCAATAAATATAATCCATATGGGTTGTCTAGCAAATTTCAGTCCAGAGTATGTTTAATTAATAATTAAAAAAAAATATTTTTTTAAACATTTCACCGGTATGATTATTAGATAAATTCTATACCAATCGAAAGTATGAAGCCCATAGAATATGCAAACTTTATGCTGCCCATTCTTTTCCGGTCACAACTATCGGGTTGCCTGGTATAAACAGGTAAATCTGTACTAGCATTTTGCAACGGTCTGTTTATTGAATGAAATTTAAATGAAATTAAAGATTATTTTATTCTGAACACGGTGGTATAGGGTTGTCTGCGAAAAATCAGTCCAGAATTGCGGTTGTCGAATTTTAAAAAGTAAAATATTGCTCCAAGTGAATGTGTGCGACTGAGAGGTCCCAACCGACCATCCCATGCGATAGAAGAGGACACAGCATAGCAGCTGTTAAAAGTCCGCCCACTTAAAGAATGAGAGTGCGCATGCTATTTGGGCTTGGAAAAGAAAAGGATAGCGATGGACTCGTATAATTATGCATCATTTTGGAGTAGTTTATTATTTAAATAGAGAAATAGTTATTTAATTTTTTTTTAATCAATTAATTATTTATGTGTAAATTTTTCATGTGACACTAAAGTATATATACATCTTTAGTAAAAAAGAAGGTTGTAGTGATTCATATATAATAATACCCTGATTAAAAATATTGATTGAAAAAAATTAAAAAATTTACCTACTACATGCAAATTATAAATCTAGAAATGTAAACAGAGAAATTGAAATCAATTGAAACTATTGGAAAAAATTCAAAACCCATAAAAGTGAATTTTTTTAATCAGGGTAATCTTGCAAATTTTATTTTTATTATAAGAAGACAAAATAAAAAAAGGATGCGTGTACTTATGTACGCGCGTAAGAAGTTAAACTTCTTTGGCTTTCTTATTTTTTTTAAAATATTAAATAATTAATAACAAATATTTAACGTTAATAATATTTAATATTTAGTATATTATTCAATTATTAATTAATATTAATAATTATTTATTATTTTATTATATTATTCATTCAACTTAATAACTACGTATGTTTCATAAGTTATGAACTTATATATTACTATTACTTAGTTAAAAGGTTATATATATGAACTAATACTTAGTTAAAAGGTTATGAATCATAACCTTTTAACTAAGTAACAATAGGTCTTTGTGAAAAAGCATTCCTAAATTTATTTGAAAAAATAATTAAAACTCCTTTATTTGTTTAAAAGGTAAATGTCATTATGGTCATTCAAAATTCTTAGCATAGCTGCTAACTTCACGCATATTCTATTTCTTTCTACTTGTAGATTGTCTTATTTCCATCTCGCTCGGCGCCCATACTGATAATTTAGTGTCACGGTGCGCGCGCATCGTAAAATTTCACTCTCATAAATTTTTCATAACGCGCCTAAAGAAGTATAACTTCAAAAACAACAATTAAAAAATTACTTCTATTTATTGTAAAAAATTAAAAATACAATTTTTTTTTTAATTATTCAGAATCCGAGTCATAGGACATAAAACTACGATCTTCAACTTCTGAATCTTCTTCGTCATCACTTTCTGTTTCACTTTTTTCGACAATGTCTTCTATCTTTGAAGGTGTATGATCCCCAATGAATCCTACTGGTTTTAAATATTCATCTAAGAACCGTCCGCAGGTCTCAGACTCAAATTTCACGCATATTGGGTCCGTTGCATTAAGCCACATGGAATTTACGAAAATAAAATATATATTTTAATATATATATATATTATATTTTAATATATATATATATATATATTTTAATATATATATATATATATATTTTAATATATATATATATTATATTTTAATATAGAAATATAGAAGATGTATTAGCTAAGATAATTTTAAATCATAATAATTTTAGCAATATTTTACTTTTTAAAATTCGACAACCGCAATTCTGGACAGATTTTTCGCAGACAACCCTATACCACCGTGTTCAGAATAAAATAATCTTTAATTTCATTTAAATTTCATTCAATAAACAGACCGTTGCAAAATGCTAGTACAGATTTACCTGTTTATACCAGGCAACCCGATAGTTGTGACCGGAAAAGAATGGGCAGCATAAAGTTTGCATATTCTATGGGCTTCATACTTTCGATTGGTATAGAATTTATTTAATAATCATACCGGTGAAATGTTTAAAAAAATATTTTTTTTAAATTATTAATTAAACATACTCTGGACTGAAATTTGCTAGACAACCCATATGGATTATATTTATTGACACATTAAATTTAATATAAAATACGTTTCATTAAATAAGCATCTCGGTGAAGGTCGTTGTATAGCGGGATCTTAAACCATAGTTAATCATACGGAATCAGGGAGCGTATTCAATAATTTTATAGCGGTTATCCTAAAAGATGGTTTGGTTTACAATAACTCAATTTTAATATACAAAATTATTAACAAATTAATTCATATAAATCTATCCTATACACAAAAATCAGATATAAAATATTCATTAAGAAATATTGATAAATTATATAAAATAAAACCTTCTTTGTATTAAACGTAATTACGGAAAACTTAACCTTTTTACAAATTGAAAAACATTCTAAAAGTACATATTAACAACATACCTATAAAAAAATAAAAAAAACACACATATATATATGTATGTGTATATTAAAATCTCCTTCGCTCAGGTGCGTATTTAACACTCCTTCAAGAGTCTTCCAAGAGTCAATTACCACCTACTTGTCTATGAAAAACCGTTTATGTAACAAATATAGAAATATGATGCTAAGAACTTGTAGCGCAGCAAGTTATATATACACTCTTTAATATATATACTATATAAAGAGACTGATACACTGGAAACTTAAGACCATACATTTTACATGTGTTATGAATTATTTTATTATCTAGTTGGATATAATCAAGAGTGTGATGTTATATTTTTGAAAATTTCATTTAAGTATAATTGTTCTGGAAACGTATTTATTCTCGCAAGTGGTCGCTTGTATATCCAGTTGGTCACGAGGTGTTGGGCCCTCCCTGGTTGGTCTGTGGGTACCATATGCCCAGCCCCACGTACCACTGCCTCGGTCAGATTGCCCCCACTTTTGTACCACCTGCGGATATAAAACGGGCGAAACAAAAATAAATAAATGTATCCGAAGAAGAAATTATTGTCAATTTCAAATGCCATGATTTTTATTAATCCGATTTCAATACTTAATCTCCGTTTATATAGATCTTATATGCCTAATTGCAATTAAGAGGGATTTATTAACTTAGTTACATAAAAAAGGAAAACAATAGTTATCCTACTAATATTATAAACGCGAAAGTTTGTAAGTGTGGATGAATGTTAAAAATACTGAATGGATTGTAATGAAACTTTACAATAATATAGCTTATACATCAGAATAACACATAGGCTACAATTTATAAAGATATTCTGTGAATTGTCCAAAATATCAAGTAAGTAACCAAAACCGCACATATGTAATGTATGATGGAAATGTTTATCGTCAATAGTCAATAGTAGTTTTTGTACGCCACGGTAATATAAGCTACTCGAAATACTAATCCTGCGCAGACGAAGTCGCGGGCACCAGCTGGTATGTAATAATTCAACAAATGTTCCGTTTAATTTCTATTTGTAACAGTGTAACAGGATCGTTATGACGATGAGTCAAATAGATTACGAGATTGTGTCGCGTATCTGTGACATCACAAACATTCAAAGCGCGCTATCGTCTAACAAAAGCAGTAGTGACGAATTAAAGGTTTGGTCAGACAGCGGACGGGGCGGGACGGTGACGGGACGCTGGCGAGACGGCGATGTGGCGTGGATGTCACACTGCGGAGGTGGCGTGGCGTCCCGCTATCTGTTTGACTACTGTGAGCGCGTCGCTACACCTTGTGTTATACGTTGTTAACACAAGGTGTAGCGACGCGCTCACGGCCCGTTCGCGCCCCGTCCCGCCGTACTTTTCTTGTACTATCGTCGGTGACGGGACGCGACCGTTGGCGTCGCGCCGGTCGCGACGGATCTGTGTGACATGTCCTATATTAATTAGTACATTACAACTGCTCACGTCGCGCCAGCGTCGCGTCGCCGTCCCGCCCCGTCCGCTGTATGACCAAACCTTTAGAATTACATACCCAGCAAGTTTCTGGTTGTACATAAACGGATATCTTTGGGAGTCTATGAATTTTTGTCTTCCTCTCCATTGCCACGTGCGGTGATTTTCAGCTGACGATATGCACGGTAGAAGTTGATCTAAATGGCCGCTATAATCAAAAACCTTGTTAACAAATCCTATTAAATATCTATAAACTATAGTAAACAGAAATTTAGAGGTCTAGAGGCCTCGGGGCTACAAAAGAATAAAGGCCCCGAATTCCCCTGGCGGCGATTTATTTTCCAAATAAAATGAAAAAAAAATCAGTCAAGTTTTTTAATCAATCATTGTGAAACCAAGTAGATTCTTTTAGTATTCAACAAACATATAACAGACAAGTTGTTTACTCGTGTTCAATAGCCGGAATTTAAAACAATTTTTTTCCGAAGGCTATTGTGTGGCCCCGGGGCTGTAATCCTAAAGACGGCTCTGATAGTAGAGATAAAACATTCCAAATATATTATAAACCCGGACGATTTGGTAAGCGTGGACTCGAATATCTAGTAATTAAGTTATCATAAATGTATTGACAAATTAAAACCTAACAAATCCTTTACTTACCAATACGACAAAACCCTGTAACCATTATCCAAAAGCTCCTCAAACAAATTCTGTGAACTGCTCAAAAAATCTGGCGCCATTTTGTTGTTAACTGTCAAATTCAAGAAGCTGTATTTTATATCTCCTACATGGATGGCCTTTTTTATTTCAGAAGACTTTAAAACTTGTGCGAATCCTCCAAACGTTAATTCGTCTTTGAGAAAATTGTACGCTTGTGGTTGATGCGTTAGAAGCAACAGAACTGTTACAATTTGCATCCATTTCTGAAAAAAAAATCTTGATTCATAAAGTAATGGAAAATTGGGCGTTAGGCGTGGTTAATAATTCAAGAAAAAAAACGAAAAATAATAATATTACGCACGCTACCGTCTAAGATATATATTTAATGTATCTAAAAAATGCTTAAGAAATTATATAAAAACTCAAGTATCCTTTATTAGATAGAATGGCTTTGTTATTTCTCATGAACTATGAATCTTAGAATTTATATAAATACATATATTCTTTATTTTTTTTTGTATTTTTTTGTATTTGTATAGGTGTAACTGTGCTTTGTGTGTGTTTAAATGTGTATTCCGTTTTTGGCTTGTGTATAGTGTAATTTTTTGAATATTGTATAGTACTCGTAAGTAGCTGTAGGAATACCGTTAAGCAAATAAATAAATAAAATAAGATGGTGATTGGTGATGACCGAAACGCGAACTATAGATAAACTTAAATAGATAACTAAAAGATTTATACCAAAAAGTCTCGACTAAACTTTGGCTAAAAAGGCTTTTTAGTAAATGAAGTTAGACTTAAATTACTACGGATTAACAAATTTTTAAGGTATAGGCTGTGAAGTTTTTGCCGCCCTTGCCTCTACAATTGTCATGACCTAGATTATTTTTAGAATTCAACAATTTCGTTGAAATTGCACATAAAATTGCACAAACCATCTTGTTCGCAACCTCCCACCAGTAGTAGGACTGACATGTATAGGTTTGTAGGGGGAAGAGGGAAATATACTTTCTGCAATTTTGCTATTTTCACTAATACAAAGTGTGATCCATGAATACATCGAACAGAGTTCAGCACAGAGTTCGATTACAGCAGACTAGAAGTCTGTATAACATAAGAAAACTTCAAAATCCTTTTGATTTCTATGAGGTAGCAAGTAGTAACCGTAGGAAAGAGTAGGAACCGTCCTACTAAGGCTGCTGGTAAATCCGCCACAACTTATTAGTCTTAAGTTAGGCTAGATGGTAATTTTCCATGATGTCTTGGTGTCAATAGTGAAGACACATGTATAAAAAAATGTAACAGGGGGCAGACGGGCAGAAGACTCACCAGATGTTCAGTGATACCGCCGCCAATGGACATTGCCAGAAGGCTCGCAAGTACCAGCTTTTAAGAACTGATACGCTCTTATCTTGAAGGACCCTAAGTCGAATTGGTTCGGAAATACTTCAGTAAGCAGTTGGTTCCACATAGAGCGCGGCAAAAACGACGGATATCGAGGTGATACGGATGGTGTTTTGTATTCTGCTTTGACTTCCGTTGATGAAACTCAGCAGGTTTCCGAACATCTCCCTTGAACACTTTCCATGGTAAATGCGTTAGACGATGCAGTGCCCCACATCTCTAAGCAACGCCCAGGGATCATGCCGCTCGGAAAGTGACTGGTGGTGGACGATTTGAACCGCTCTTCGTTGAATACGGTCAAGTGGAAGGAGCTGGTACTGCTTTTTTATGTTACAGGAGGCAGACGGGCAGGATGCTCACCTGATGTTAAGTGATACTGCCGCTCATGGACATTCGTACTGTCAGAAGGCTAACAAGCTCGCTGCCTTTTAAGAATTGGTACGCTCTTTTCTTGAAGGTCCCTCGTCGATTTGGTGTCTTGTTAACCTATTGTAATTATGAAGACTGATAAATACTTTGCTTACAGTTTTAGCAGCGACACTGTTTTTTGCATCGATATCTGCTTGGAAGGCTTTCATCAGCGGTTCGATGGTCTTCATCTGTTCTTCGTTCATTAAACCCACGTAATAGAAAAGACGGTTCACGTTCCTTATCATAGATGGGTCAACGTATGCGTTACCTATGAGGAATCCCTGAAACATTTCAGTAGTGTCCGGAAGTAAAAACGCCTTTGATGATATTTCTAATATCATTATACTATATATGTCACCGTAAAATTGTAAATACCGTTAGATTATAATCTATCTCGCGAGATTGTGAACTGACGAAAGATTGTGAACCTCAACGTACTGCTTACAATTTAACGTATTATTATTCGGTAGATAGTAATCTATCGAAGTGAAACCGTCAAAGTAAGCGCTAGTTGCCCTTATACAAAAGGGATAAAAATAATAGAAAAGAAAAGATACAAAAATAATATTCGAATTCAGGTTCTCCAGGAGTCATTAAAAACTGAGGCCTGAGTCATTGAGGCTTCCCTGGAGAAATTATGAAAAATTTATTTAAAAACATTCTAACAGATGATAATCCTAAAATCATGTGGGGAAATATGTCAACCAAAAATTGGATTTAATTGTAATTGGATTACTGGCAACATCATGACGTATCATGTCGCACCTACTTGCTTGAAGAATCACAATTGAACGCGCGGTCTTTTAATTTGTTGATTTCCACGATTGTAAAAATCGTATGCTTACGAATTGCATATTACGTAGTAGTGAGGTTTGTTTTGCAATGCATAAATAGTAAAACTTTTTAATGGTACGCCATTAGCAAATGGGTAGAGAAAAAGAATCAGTTGGCGTACCACGAACAGAAATTAAAATATTTTACGTACATATTTTGTATTAAATCAGAAAACAATATTATTTACCTGTAAATTTACATCTAGTAATCCATCACTTTTCGCTTTGTGTAGTTCAATGCCCAACGCAGGGACATATTTCCCTGCATACGATTCACCAGCTATATACAATGGCGCTGATCGCAACTCGGGGAAAACTTGTAAAAACTGCTTCACAGTGCTCAGTAAGTGTTTTGAGTACTGAAAAAGAGGCAATGTTTATCTAGATCCTAGCTACTGCTGGTTAAAGCGTGTAGTTGTTCTCCAACATTCATCATCGTAAACCGAAAAAGTGTGTTTATAAAGCAGAATGACGTATATAGGCAGCGACACATAAGTAGTCATTTTGACCTAAATTAAACCAATATTCTTTTTTTTTATTTGGACCACAAAATTAGGACAAACACATGATATAAATTGACATACATACAAAAATATCAAAAGCGGTGCCGTCCCTATAACATGTGGACACGACCAGCGAAATCAAGTAGATACAAAAAACAGTGTTAAATACAAACAAGCATAAAAATTAAAAATGCAAACTATAAAAGAATCAATGAAAAGGGCAATCCACAATTCCGTTAATTACTTTAAATAGGTATAGCAAGTCGATGTTTGCTCTACGAACTCTCAGAGATTCCAAATTATAAAATGTTCCGTTTAGAGTCAAAGAATATTATGTATAAGTCATTTAACAAGTTATTGACAAGTTATTTTCAATTCACACTACATAAATATAACTTGAGAAATCTCCGCGTTAACGGGGTGACGGACGAGTTATATGAAAACGCGTTATAGGGAGATTACTGTACTTGCAAAACATTCGACTATAAACTTACTATGACCCCAACTAGAATGATACAGTAAATAGCAACGATTTAATTTATTATTACGATCAAAGTTAAAGTCAAAATCATTTATTTAGGTAACATTATGTACACTTATGAACGTCAATAAAGAAATAGATATCAAATGCTAAATGCTTCTAACTTTACATTTACTGCCAGTTCTCAAATCAAGGGCGTATGGACGAGAAGAACTGGCAATCAACTCTCCGCCACTCTTTTTAATCGCCAAGATTTTTGTTTTATATAATGTTTGTAAGAAGCTGCATCCATTACACCATGTTCCACATGACATATTAAGTAATTAATAGTTTTTTAATAATTAAATTAAATTAAAAACAAACATTTGTCCTCTCCTGGCCTGGCGCCTGTCCCAATAATTATTGAAGTATTAAAACTCCGTTCTGATTATGAGAAAAACTATTTTAAAATATATTAACAATGTCACTTACCGTCGTCATATTCGAGACATAGCCATCCGGGTGGTTTGTGAAACTATATCCGCATCCAATGGGATTATCAATAAATAATATTGAGTGGTTTCGGATCCATGTAAACGGGTTACCTAAGAATATCAAATACTTAATTCTTTATTTATACTGTTAACTTCTACTATTATTATTATTACATTATTTTTCTTTTTTTGCGACCGAGGTGCAAACTAACTGGCAGAATGACCAGCGCTGTGGAACACGTCTTCTCCACACCATAAGGGACAGTTACAACCACAGCACACACACACATTACACACTTAAAATGTAGCTTATTCCTTCATTTATATTATTTTTTATTATTATTATTATTTGGTGTATTTCTGTGTGTGTGTTCCGTTAGTAATAAATGTTATATCTATGTCTATGTCCTAATTCCTCTAGAATCAGTCCCATAACACCTGAGCAGAAACATATTACCTGCGACTGCTTAGTTTAATAGAAATGAACTTATAAAGATGTCTTGAGACAGTCGAACCCAACTTTTCGAACGAGCTTTTATAATTTAATTATGTCAAATGAGCGCTATTATTAAATTTAGCGCGGAAACCGGTTAATTCTATTAATAATTCTTGTATAATCGTTCCAGAATTAACCTTACTGAAATCATAAATAAACGACAGACTAAAAGATATGTATGTATTATATATAATGTAATGTATTTTATATATACTTATATACAGGGTCTTTTAATTAGTATTACAGCAGAAATCATACAGTAGAAAATGTTTTATTCTGGATTAATATTCTTGCAAAAATAATGCAGCAAGAAGTTTTTCTTTTAGAATTCGGCTAAGCCCCTCATAAAATAGATACTGACGATTACGTACGTTTAATTGCCCCCAATTTGCTGACTCTTAGGGGTCCCACCTCTTCAAACAGACCCGTAAGACTCGAGGCACCGGGACCACCTTGAAGCCAAATAATCCAGGGAGTTTCATTTACTTGTTTTCCTTCCACGGGAAAATACCAGAAAAACGAGTTTGAATCATACTTTTCATCCACAGTAAAAAAACCAGTATAACTTTTAACGCCTGCAAAAAGTTTTGGGTCAACTTCACTGAGGTTTCTTGCTTCTGCGATTTGTTCCATTTTTATGTAAGGCGTTAGAATTAATGCAGTTCCATTATCTACTATTTTAACTTCCGGACAATCCAGCATGCCACCTATTTCGTTAACACTATCACATTTTGGTTCTATATTAGTGTCCACTGGTGGTTTATAAGTTGGCAAGTCTATCTGAGACGTAGTGTTCAGTTCAATTATGTCATTGCTCAAAAGAACTTTAGCGTATGCACTGAAAGTGATAATAAGTTTAGAAAAGTGTCTTTATTAACAACATTAAATTTATATAACCGAACGTAGACCATATTTGCTTATAGTAAGACCATTTTTAAACAACAAACAAGTTTGTCTGTAAAACTTTGATCTGATTTTTAATTGATTTCGTTGAAAACTCGTGTTGTTTTCAAATATTAAGACACATTATAAGTAACAGTTTTCTATAAAAGCGATAATTTTGGCGGTAAGAATGTTTTATTATTATTGCGCTACATAAAGCATGTAAGTACTACATGTAAATACTGCATAGTAAGGAGATATTTTGTACTTTTAATTACACCTCAAAAACTCCATGTTTTTTTAACTTACCTTGAGCAAATAACTAAAATAATTATGAATTTCATATTTTACTATATTACACGTGTTCACCCACTACGAATACATGACTTACTGTGTAGATAATGATATTACCTTGAACTTTTTGATCTTTAGTATCAAATCCAAATGTTCTGATGTAAATATTTTATAATAACGATAGAAAATATTATCTATGTTCATTCTTCATAAGCTTTTTATAAATTTGACGAATACTTAAATGATCCTTGGGATTGATTTGCTCCAGTTCAAACAATTTGAATGACTCAAAACTTAGCGATTAATAAGAGTGGCGGAAAGTTTCTTGCCAGTTCTTCTTGCCCGCTCCACGCCCTTGACTTGCGAACTGGTAGTAATTGTAAATTTACAATTAATTTAACTTCTTTTTTAACGTTCATAAGTGTACTTATTTACCTGAATGAATAAAGATATTTTTAGTTTATGTAAAAACTTAATCGTATAGGAAGGAAAGGGAAGATTCCATTAAATTCCAGGTGAAGGAGCTGACACGGAAACAATCGAGATTAATTGACAAAAAAATTTATTATATCTTTGTATGTTTGCTTTATTATTTATAAGTATAAAACTAACAATAACTAAAATAAAAAAAAAGAGCCTTTATTCGAGTAATACATTAGATTACATTAAGTCCATGTCATTATGATCATAACAAAATGGATCTAAATTCCAAAAAATGTTCGCAAATTACTTTCTCGAAAAAGAAACTACCAGTCCTCTCTAAATACACTATCGACGGAGTACTCCAGGTCCATTAAATTAGGGTTTTAGAAGTTATATAATAGTCAATAAAGCTTCTAGAATGTGAGGTTTCATAAGGCTTTCGACTAAGTGTTTTAAAAATATAAAGCCTAAAATCATACTGTTCAATTCTCTAGTCCGTAGCATTTTGGAATATGGTAGTGTTGTTTGGAACCCTCAATAATTTGTCCATGTTGACAGAATCGAACGTATTAACCGCCATTTATCCAAACATCTATGCCAATTTCTTTATTTCCTTACAGCCCATGCATGGCCAAACTCAGATTAAAAATAACATAAAACTACAATATTACATACATTTAAGTTATTTACAAAATTGACAGTAAATGCTATCCTCTAATCCCCTCCAAGTATACCTACTCTCAAGTCACAGTATAATAGTATACGCTATACCCATACGCTTCCCAAATAGGTCGCTCTTCGGTGAAGAGTCGAGAAACCCATTAAGCAGCGAGAGTAACCGAGGAATGGGCGCTTGTTGTCGCTGAACAGTGCGAGCCGAACGCACAGCAAAAAGGTTATGTTTCCGGCAGCGGTAATAGTTGTCCGGAACGTACAGTCTCATGATTTGATTTCTCCCAGCAAGTATGTTGCCAGCTTTCCGTTTCGTTTATAATTATATGCTTAAACCAAACCTGACCACAGAAAAATCCCTACGAAGCTCTAATGAATTATACCCTACCCTAATAACATTAGCTATAAATGCGAGTATGAAAAAGACTACCTTTCTTTCACTTGGAATCACTCCCCGATAGACACCGCCAGATCGTCATTATATTTGTCTACAAAATTTTGAGTAATTTGGTAGGTAGATTTACCTAATGTTTTAAGTTAAGTGAACTTCCTCTTACACACACAAGAAAAACTTCAATCCTTTTTTACGTTCGGGCAGTGACGACCAACGTCGGTTGTAATGCTCCTCTACACAGTTCTCTATCGGCATTAAACGACGCTCTGAGTACATGCGAAGCAGATCCATTTAATGATAGTCTCCATGTCTTCAGGCGAAAGATGCTGCAGCCACTGTCAATCCGTGACCAATAGTGAAAACTACAAAGTAGAAATATTATTAACTATTTTTTCTCTCTCTTAAATTGCACATTTGTACTTTTAATCTAGTTTGTTTTTTACTTATAAAGTTTAAGTTATTTTCCCTTTATCATTGTAATGTTTCCATCTAAATGTTGTACACACTTCTCATTGATGTACCTACATGCATGTATCTTGTTTATATGTCATGTGTTCTCTGTAAGTGTTTGTATGTGTTTCGTTAGTGTGCCTCTTAAAATAAATAAATTATGTTCATCATTATTCAATATCTTCCACTTGTCTCTTACCCTCGCTACAAACTAATCCTTCCCCGCTATTCCTTTTATTCTATCTCCCTAGGTTTCAGGTGAGCATCCTCACTTTTTTCTTCACCATTCAACGTTAAGGGTCTTTGTGACTAGACCATTTACACTTTAACTTTTTTGTATGTAGTACGACTACTCCTCTCTGTTATATTTGTAAGGCTTCGTATTACACCGTTATTAACTTTATCTTTAAGTTACAGCCGAATAATAGAACGCTCCATAGCCCTGTGGCATACTCCAATCTTCTTTATTAGCGGTACATAAGTCAACGGTAAATTTGTCGAATCACGGCTCCGCCTTAAAACAGCTCCAAATGTTTTTCTACATATTTTCATCATTCGGCATTGGTGTACCATGCAATAATGTGGCGCATGATATTTAACTCCATATAAATTAATTAAAACATCAAGATTTGTGAAATTAATGAAAGAAGGTTCTCATTTTTGGCTTTAACCTTACCTAATGTAATACACTGGGAACTAAGACATTATCATTTACATCATGTATTATCAGTTTTATAATTTTTTTAAGGAGTCCAAAGCCATTCGGTTACTTAATATTACTTGGGGCACTACATAGGTACAAGTCGAGAGAACGATAGAAAAAAATTGGAGCTGTTTTAAGTTGGAGCCGTGATTCGACAAATGTACCAAATTAACAATAACTACTGCGCTTTCCAATACGAGTAACCAAATGAATGCAGGACCATACAATATAATGATGGCATGGACAAAATAATTTCCTTTTATGCAGACGTTCGCCTTCGAGCATTTTGTGTGCATATAAAGTATAACAATGCTTCAAATCCTAACAAAACAAATGGGATCGGTTAAGGCACAGAATGCCCTTCACTTATTTGCGTTAAAAAAAATCAATTATTCAGATAAACAACTTTCTACAAATTATACAATCAACTACGCATTCGTAGATATACTCTATGTATTCTTTGAAAACTAAGCAGATAATGAAACACATGTTATCGGGTTAAATGAATTTTTTATTTAAATTAAATAGCCTCATGTTGAACAATATATTCAGATAAAATCTGTAGTATAAAGGATCTGTTCAGTAAATTCAACATAACAACCACAATCCTCGGTAGTATAGTGGTCAGTATCCCCGCCTGTCACGCGGGAGACCGGGGTTCGATTCCCCGCCGTGGAGAACAACCTTTTTTCGTTTTAGTTTATTTTTCTTTTTTTTTTAAAACATCCCGAATATCACTGATAACGTCTGTTAATTTTTTTAATTGCACTGAAATTGTTTGCAAACTGTTGTTAATGTTTTGTGTACATTCTAACTTCTTTTCCTCCATATTTAAAAACTTTGAAGCATCATCCAGATCTGTAATGAAAAATTAAATTGATTGGGTACAAAATATTTTTTTTTGTAGTAACAAGCTATGTACATACATCTTTAAGTATAGTAATTAATATTGTTTTAATTCATTTGCACTCATATTATACACATTCATATTATAACTACAAAAGTCTAATTCAAAACTCTTTATGAGTGTAATGTATTAAATAACTTTGAATGTAGTACATTAAGCTCTGAAATTTATGAATTACATAGGGCTAGGGTCAAATAAGAACCTGAATCATCACTATCTCTTTTGTGGAATCCATTCCGGTGAATTTTACTACTTGACGCTGCTGATTCATTCTCATCTGAATGACTCCGTTTTTGAGGCCTTTTTGCTTGTGTTACTGAAATATTTTTAGTTATTAATTCATAATTGTTAGTTATCATAAAGTATCTACCCATTTCATATGTAACTAAAGTACTACTACAAGAGACAGATACATACTTTAGTCAAAACAGTGTAACTACACCGATTAGTTTTTAATAAACATAGAAAATATATTACCATCAAATTTTGTTTCTTTTTCATCATCATTATCACTTGCAGTCTCATCATAGCAGTCATCATATACCTAAAATACACACAATATTGAATGATTAGAAATTAAATATGTAATTACTTATCTAGTGTAAAATATTGTTTACTAATAAACACCAATAATAATAAAAAATGTACAACTTTGAGCATCAGGCACTTGAAGAAAATAATTTTAGGTTTAAATAGGTCATGACTGTATGATATTCTGTCCATATAGGATCTATTTATATTAAAAGCTCCTCTACACTTTAAGAGGTAAATCATATTTTTTGGAAACATACATCTAAAGGATCCGTTTTAATGGTAACTTCATCCATGTTACCATCACTTATGACATTAAGAACACTTTCTTCAATTGGAGTGAGTGAAACATCATCTGCTAGTGGCTTATTGTTTTCTTTAGCTGCCTTCATTTCTAGGTATCTCCGTTTTGTTCTATACTTCAAGTCACACCAATACTGACAACAATACAATATATTTCTTTCAAATACAGATTAATGAGATTCTGCTCAGGAAAAGAATGATGTTGATTTACAATTGTAACTTTTAGGAAAAAGGCATAACGGAGAAATATTATAATATTCATTGTTATATTTTATAAGAGCAGTTACAAAAGTAATAGTAATGAGTCCCAGAAGTTATTGTAGATAAAAGTAAAATGGTACTACACCTTTGACCAGCCTTTTTTATCTTTTATTCCACCATTTTTAACACTGTTTAGTTTTTCAGAACATTCACTCCACAAATCTATTGAGTCAATATTTTGTCGTCTGGCACCCTTGTTTATTCCTTTAGCAAGACCAGGGTGCTCCCTTAAATATTCTAACAGAATTAAATTTTGTTCAGCAGTTACTCGGCCCTTCATAATATTAAGACTGTACAAACTAAGTACTTAATAAATACAAATAAGGTGTTTGGGATTTTTAAGTTCTATGTTTTGGCTCGCTCAAAATTCAAAATATTGCAGTTTTTTTTTATTTCGTAAATAAGCGATAATCATATGGATGTCACAGTCAAAACGTCTTTTTTTTTTTTTTTAATTTATTTATTAGCCGGATACAAAGTCCATTGGCAATTACGTAAAGTCAAAACGTCATGACACAAATATTGCCAGATGTTCACCAAACATCCAAAAATCTCTTTTTTACCAGATTTACTGGTTTTTACGTAATGTATAATATATATAGTGTTAAGTGTATTTATCTCTAAATACACTTAACACTACTCATAATAAATATATAGTGTTAAGTGTATTTATCTCTGGAGGACATTAAAAAAACTCTTTATTTTATTGTTATGTGAATACATTCTTAATACACACATTTGTAAAATTTCAAAAATCTCCGCAGAATTTTATTTCTATTAAGAAAACCAACTAGAAAAAAATATATAAAAAAAAATTATAATAATATCTTTTCTATATGTATACAGAAATAATACTACTAGAACATTTTTTTAATTTAAAACAAAAGATGCTACATTTATGTATTAAAAAAATACTAATAATAACTGATTAACAATAATTACAGAAGCGCAATTCAATAACCCATGGCTTTTTAAAAAGCTTATTCAAAACTATATCTAGTCTTCAGGCAAAATAGATTTTTTTTGGTTTGAAAAGCCTGTTTATGCCTCCTCCTGGTAGAATATGCGGTCAGCTTCCTGGATTCAGCGCCGGTAACGGGAACGTCTGGGTATTACTGGGTAAGGCTGTTAGAGCGACCAGTTCACATATGCATTAATAGGGCTTATTTGGACACAGAATGTTTTTGATATAGACAAACCTACTAGATACTCATAGAAACTAATCCTAATGAAAAATATCACCGTGAAGGTAAAATCCATACCTATTCAATGTTTACATATCGTCACCCCTAGTAAACACCCAATTTGTATAACCCAGCAGAATTCAATGTACGTACATTGAACTAAAGGCGGTTACAATTAGAGTGGTCGCTCTTTGGTCGTATGTGTAAATCAATGGTCATGGCAAGGTGCAAATGGACATGTTCCGTGTGATAGGATCATGATTACATTAGTTAAGAATAGAAAATGGTCTGGAATAAATTAATAAACGGGGTGAGTATTTTATTTTTGTCAGTTCTGACACGATGTTGCTGTGAACTTTTAGTGTAGTATTAATCTTTGTCTTATCATTTGTGGCAGATATTAGATCGAACAACGTGTCCTTGTTAATAGAGTTAACAAAATTTAGAGAGACGTGCTTTAGAGTTTTATTTAAAAGAAAATTTGGAAGAAGAAAATTTACATTTTATATATTTCTGAATAAGTTTTATGATTGATTCCTTAAAATAACGAATTGTTTTACTTTTGTTTCGATAAGTGGTTGTAGCAAGAATCTTTTTAAAACATAATTTTATTTCAAAAACAAATTTACGCGTTTAAGCATATAATATTGTAAAATGAGTTTGTCAATTCATTAATTAATGAATATTTAGGTTTTGTTTAAAGAAAACCTTTTCGAAATTAATAAACTAAAAAAATGTATGCATTAACAAATTTTTTAATGTTCTATACATTATTCGATACATTAAGTATCGTAACATCTACATCTATCTATAGATACTTAATGTACTTGAGCACGCTTAGGTTTTCTTAGCAGTCAACTTCTTGACATAGACAAAGCGCTACAGTTTTTCGGTTTAGCGCGTTTTTGTCTTGTCCTGGCTGAAAATATAAAAAATGGTTTCATATTCGATTTTCAAATTGACGCGCAGTGTATAAAATATATTAAAATGGAAGTGAAAGTTGAAGTGGTGAGTTTTGACGTTTTAAAAATGTCGTGTATTTTTAAACGCGTAGAAAAAACAGTTAAAGTTACTTTACGTTTCTGTTATAGTTAGCAAAGATTTGATTATTGATATAGTTGGAAGAAATTGGTTGTTTTTAAGTATTTGCACCGCAAATAATTACCCTGAAACTACTAATGACATTACAGACTTTGAACTGTAACGTCGAGTTTATTGCTACGAAACACGCTTCGACTAATGAAAATTACTTTACATTTAAGCGATGGCTTTACAGTTTAATATAATTATAATTAAGTACATATTAATAAACAAATCAGTTTTTATTTAAGTCTGATAATTCGCAGATTTAAAAATTACGATTTTTATAAATTGTATCAGCAATGAGACATTATTTAACATTACGATCTAGTTTACTTACTAATAAATAATATTAGACTAACTTAATTGTCTAAAAAGGATATTTAACATAAGAAAGTGTCCACAGACTCAAGTTTTTAATTTTTATGTTTTTTACAATCAGTTATGACTATACAATTCTTAATCTAAACCACAATTGCTGTGAAAGGAAATATCACGAAATATGTAATAATTTTAAGTTAAAATTAAGTTACTTGAATAACATACTAACTTTTCCAAGCTTTCGGAAATATTAATTTCTGTGTAATTTTCGTTAAAAGATCACTTTATTAACTAACTAACTAACACTTATTAAGTTCTTAAGTGATTGGTCATACCTGGAAAGTTCGATTAATGAACACATTTAAGTGGCTTCGATCGTGCGTCTAAAATGTCATGGTCATTTTGACAATAGATTAACATAATATAAAAATATATCCTGACAATAATCAAAGTAACTGCCACACATAAAAACTAAAATAAATAAATCATTGGCGCTACAACCTTTTTTACCTTTTTTAGGTCTGGGTCTCAGATTTTGTATCTGTTTCATGATTATTTGTCAATCTAATAGACAAGTAGTTGATCAGCCTTCTGTGCCTGACACACGCCGTCCACTTTTTGTGTCTACGGCAAGCCGGTTTCCTTACGATGTTTCCTTCACCTTTCGAGCGAATGTTAAATGCGCACTTAGAAAGAAAGTACAGAGGAGTTGTTCGGACTAATAACTGCAGCTGAGTTTCATCATCGGACGTCAAGGCAGAATACAAAATACCATCCGTATCACCTTGACGTCCGTCGTTCCACAACTGAGCGCTTCTTCAGGCAATTTCTGCCGCGCACCACCACGATGTGGACCCAGCTGCCCACTGAAGTATTTCCGAACCAATTTGACTTAGGATCCTTCTAGAAAAGACCGTACCATTTCTTAAAAGGCCGGCAGCGCGTTTGCGAGCCTTCGGGCTCGGTCCTTGGGCGGCGGTATCACTTAGCATCAGGTGTGCCTGCCCGTCTGCCTCCTGTAACATAAAAAATGCCGGCGGGGATCGAACGTACGACCTCAGGGATGAGAGACGCACACTCACGCCACTAGCCCAATACTGCACAGAAAAACTAAATTACTATATAAAAAATACAGAAATTTATGAAACACAAATTGCTCACAATATCTCCGTCCACCGAGGCGTTGACATTTATTGCAATAATGTTATCATACTTAAAAACAAAATTAACTTCAAATAAAAAAAAACAAATTCTGTATTGCACTCTTTCGTCGAATTGTGTTTACGTTGCAATGATGAGAGAGATAAATACTAATTTAGGCAGGTTTTTTTAGTAGGTTGCTAGTCTATAAGAACTATTACTAATGGTTGCTCAGCGGTTTAGTAAAGGAATCATCTGCTGGATCGGATTTATAATAAATTAATCCTCTCCGCCTCTTAAAATTAATCGTACCGGAAAGATACCAATCAAAATATTAGCTTTATATATTTTTATCATAAATATGGACAATAAATATATGTTTCTTAGATTTCTGTTTTCTTAATAATTATTCCATTAATATCCCAGATCATATTAGATCAGATTAGATCACAAATGGCTTGTTGACTATAAGGCAAATCAGCAGAATGACCAGCGCTGTGGAACAGTCTGTTCCTCAGCATAATGCTGAGCCAGGGCCAATTACAACCACAGCACAAACGCATTACAAAATTAAAACGTGCCTTGTTATTTGAAAGAACAAAAATGTTATCTTTCATTTTTTTAAGCTATTGCATAGATTTTATCGCGGGCTTTAAACGCGGCGGGTCCGAATCAAGAAATTCCGTAAAGAAAAAAACCTTACGCGTTAGAGTGGGATCTATCCCGACAAGGTAATATCAAAGAAAAAACTTGAATTTTAATATCAAAGAAAAACAAATACTGCATAAATAAATAATTATAACTGCATAAGTTGATAAAAAATGCTATGCAATAGCTTTAGCGTTTTTTATTATTGTTATTTTGTGTGTTTCTGTATGTGTGTTTTAAGTAATAAATGTTTTGACTATGTCTAAATCTCTAATCACGATGTTTTCCCTCACCATACAAGTGTTAAAAAATGCATGCAATAAAAGACAGTGTATCAAACAATCGCACGACCTGTGTTGAGAGCCTCTCTCCTACATTCCAATATTGCTCTTACGACTTTAAATATTTAGGAATATTCAAATCCTTGCGTAATGCGGGCAGGTACAAGGCAACATTAACCTCGAAGGATGTGATATGAATGGCAAGTGCTTTCCCATTTAAGACGCGAACAATGATCCATAACGCTGCAATAATACGATTAGAATTTTAATATTGAAATATAGTTGCGTATCTATATTGTAATTTCTCTTTGATGTGCGCACATTCGTAGGATGAAGAAATCATCATGAGAAAATCTTATATATAATTCGGACTTCGTTACCTTATACAAAAACATACATACAAAAAGCAGGTTACATATGTTATAAGGCAACGGATGGCGTTATCGCTAACAAACGATATTTTCCAGGCAACCATAGTATGGAACGATACTGAGAACTGGCAGTAAATGTAAAATTAGAAGCATTTTGCATTTAATATGTATTTCTTTATTGACGTTCATAAGTGTACATTGTGTTACCTAAATGGATAAATGATTTTGAATTCGAATAAAAAAAACATACGGAGGATAAAGTACAAGAAGTGCATAAATTATTAACAAAAAAACATGGTTGGTGTTCACATCAGTGAGGAACATGAAACAAAGCACGATTACGAGTCTGGTAGGCAGGAACAAGGAAGAGCAATTTTTCTAGAAGGGAGCTGCAATTAATTTTATTTGACATGATGTCATGTAGTAGTAATAAATCGTATTGTTTTCCTCGAGAGTCTAAAGTATCAATTTTAAAATGTTTACACGCGTTTACAGGTTTTAATTTTATTAAAGTCGTTAAAATTTTCCACCGTTTTCCTTTTAAAGTGTCTTTAAACTTTAATATCGAATATACAAGGTATATTTTTTTAATAGAAGTCAACTGTTTGCAAACCTATAAAGGCGATATGGAGGAACAATCGAGCGTGGTAGCGTTTTACGTTCATTTTTATAGAAGTCATAAACTGATAAACGATGTACACTCCTTGACTTTTGACAACCAAACTCGTGGGCGATACTTGTAATTTGTCATTGCGTCTCACTTCCTCTATGTACTTAGAAAATACGATTTTTTTTTAAATATTAATACAGTTATTTATTAAAGTTCACCTCATATATAATGCTATATCAACACTATAAATTACAAACTATCTTTTCTACAATACAATGGCAATTATGGTGAACATAAATGTGAAAAAAAATAAAAATGTTACACTTCCAATTTTAGATTTTACTAGTCATTTTTGTTAAAAAATTATTAGTAAAAATCAGCCCAGTTAACCGCTAAAATAAATTACGCCCTGAGCCCTATAAAATAAAAAATAAATCAAGTTTATCTATAAATCTTGGCATTCTTAAATCCTTTTTTCAGCCAGTCCGCAGACAACTGAACGTAATAATAACGGTTCATCTGTTGGTCATCGCCTATGCCCCAAATTTTAGTTTTAGGGCTGTGTGAGTAAATCAGACTGGGGTAGCTTTATATACATAGAAAAGAACAATACTGCGCATTGAGAAGTGTCCTCGTATTTTATTTATGCTCTCAAACAACACACGTAAATCGGAGACAAATAAAAATGAAATTTGATGACAAAACATCTCAAAATGTATTTTTTTTTAAAGACAATTCACACCAATTGACCTAGCCCCATGCTAAGCTGGTGAAGCTTGTGTTATGGGTACTAGGCAACGGATATATTTTTATTTTATTTTTATTTTTTATTTTTTATTTATTAGGCTTACGACATCACACACAATACTTAATCTACTAATTATTTTACAAAAACTTACATCTAAAATGTGTGACAATTAACGTAAACACAAGTTTCACAAACAAAAAATAGAAATTTAAAATTTAAAAAATGTAAAAAATACAATTAAAACATAATATACAAGGTGTTAAGGATTTTGTAGAACTCAGATGCCATATCATTAACATTATTATGAGCGCGTAGGCTATCATTCCAATCAATGGTTTTCAGATCCCCTATAATAGACACATAGTCAGCTTTTTAAAAACTTAGTTAAGTATTACCTCTCGTTCGCAAAAAAGATATTTTAGAATATTTAATACTTAACAATAAACTAGGATGATTCGGGTATATTTTACTTAACGAGTCGGAGGGGGCTGATACATTAATACTAGACATATTACTTAATACTAAATACAAGAAACGATCATCACTATTACCTATACTATTACATTGATTTGGGCTATTCATAGACATAAAATCAATAAAGGCAAAGCCAAGTGTATTGTTATAATTACAAGGTGTTATAAAAACTTCATTATTTAGCGATCTCCAATTAATGAACCCTAGATTGACATCATCACTTAAGATTAAAGCTCTGTCGACGCTGTCTAAAAAATGTGTCAAAGTCCCAATCTTAACAGGAGGAGGCAGGTATACTTCACATATCGAAAGTTTCTTTATTATTTTATTAATATTTATATGTAAGGTGACCCATAAGTCCTCCACATCCGATTCCCATGCCTCAACTCTGAAAGAAGAAATTTCTTTGGAGACTCCCAGTATGACACCTCCACCATCCGATTTGGTATTGGTAGAACTTGAACGATCTCTACGATAAACAGTGTATCTATTGTCAAATAATTCCATGTTTGAAATACCAGATTTCAGCCAAGTTTCAGTTAGAGCGATGATCTTGTAATTAGAAGTTGACAAATATTTGAGAAAGCTTGCCGTTTTAGTTCTCAACCCCTGTACGTTTTGATAGTAAATTTCAAGCATCGTAAAAAAAAAATCTGTGTGTTACTAGACTAAAGATACAACAAAAAGCTTACAATCTAATATACTATACTATGTTAAAAGATTTAAGGTTTCGTTATTCTTAATAAGCAAGGCTTGGCAGTTTTCGTTCTTTCTTGTAAAAACGCGTCCGTTGCGAACCCATACAAATTTATACTGCTTCTCTTTTGCTTTCAAGCGTGTGGCCGCGTAAAGAGCATTGTTAACTGATGTAAGATGTTCAGATACATAAATAGGTTTCTTAGTTCCTTCGATACCAAGATGATGAGAGTTTAATTTCTCTTGTGGATTCTTCCTATTAAATTTGCTCACAGCAGCCAGAACAAAGTCACGTGTACGCGGGCTACATAACTTGGCTACCACGGACCGAGGCCTATCACTGCTATTAGTTATTTTAGCAACCCTTGTTACGTGCTGAATATCAACTTGAGTGAGGGGACAGTCCACAGTCTTGGCTATACGAAGGACAGTTTCAAATAAATTTTCTGACCTATTCTCAGGGATCCCATTAATCAATATATTATTCTCCCGGGCATGTAGTTCAACAGAAGTTAGCCGGTTCGTTAGGTCAGCCACATTAGACTTTAACCTCTCATTATCTTTTTTTAGATTCACTATTGCGATGTCCTTCTCCTCAAGAGAAGACTTTATATCCTCAAATTGTCGACTCAGGAAGCAGATTGTGTCCTGGAACCCAACAACCCTTTCAGTGAGATTATTAAGTTCCGATGTCACCAATCGCTTTATTGTCACAGTGAGGACTGAAGATAACTCCTGTTGTAAGATATCTCGCAATTTATCTTCAGTGACATATGGTTCTAGTTCTGGTAGTTGTGAAGGGGGTCCATGTGATGGCTTTATTCGCTGCGTTACTTTAGAGCACGGAGGTTCACTCTCCGGACTTGCTTCTTGTGAGCTCATACTATGGGGGCTTCCATCGGAATTTTCACAAGTCAGCAATGACGTCTTTGCATTGCTAACATTAGTCGGTTTCCTAGAGCATTCGGGACATCTAAATGACGCCTTTTGTCTTGCGACCATCTCAACAAAGCGCTTGCGGGAGACATTAGCACATTCTAGGTCGTATTTTAACTTGCAGATATGACAGCATAAAAAATCCTTTTTTGGTAGCTCAATATGACAGCTAGCACAACAATTTGAAGGCGCCATAGCAACTTTTAATAAAAAATAAATAAAAACAAAAACAAGTGGGATGCCTGGATTGGAACCACGTCAGACTCTATATAACGATATTATGGCAGCGCTCTGCAACACTGCGCCGAGCGGGCGGTCAAGTAATCTGCCGAAATAATAGTATATATTCCAGTCCAATAGCTGAGTACAAACGCACAACGCGTCACCACGTTGAACAAAAACTCGACACTATTTCACTGAATCTATGCATATGATTATTATAATTAATCAAAAAACTATCAAATGCAAAATAATGTTAATGTTATGATTCACTTGCGTATTTTTCCATTTAGCGTATTGTTGATGTTTTAAAACGGCCACTGCACCAGAGCGCTTGTTATTATGTTGAAAATTTGATTATCCCATTAACACAACAACTTGGAAAAGTCACACACTGCACTAATTTGCCTTGCTTAATTCATTTAAAACAACATTATAGCAATATAAGGGGAATTTCTATTTTTAATTGTATTTTTACACGGGAGCCGATGTGTACGGTACCCACTACCTACACTGTATGTAAAATATGCTAATCATACGCTACAAAAGCGTATATATAAGCTGAACAAAAGTGTAAATGTGCATAAAATTTGCCGAAAATCTTAGAAATCTTTGAGTTGTGAACATAAAAAACTTTATTATTCTGAAATTAACGAATTTTGCCCAATAGTTCAGGATGTACTTGATATACATACATATTATAGATAGATAAACGTATAAATACATATTTAAACACCCAAGACCTAAGCACAACACCAAATGCTCATCACATCGATGTTCGTCTCAGCCGGGGATCGAACCCGGGACCCATGGATTCGCAGTCAGGGGTACTAACCATTAGACCAATGAGTCGTCATTAATTCACAAAATAAGCTACCATAACCGATTACTCGAATGTGGCAATTATTAATGTCACATACACATGGAAAAAAACAACTCAAATTCAAAATCATTTATTCATTTAGGTAACACTTATGAACGCCAATAAAGAAATACATATTAAATGCTTAATTTTACATTTACAACCAGTTCTCAAATCAAGGGCGTATAACGGACGAGAAGAACTGGCAATAAACTCCACACTAAAGTAAAAAAGTAATAGATTAAAATATTTAAAAAAGATTAACTACGACATGAGAATTTACGAATCAGCGTTAAACATTACCTGACCCGCCTTCATCGCCACAATATCCATTATTTTGTAGGTAAGAGATAGTTTTGGAAATACGCGAATCAAAAATCAAACTTAAATTACATTTGATTAATAGATGTTTGGAATGTGAAGTTGAATGGCAGGTAGACAGGCTAAACAGCGATACTGGTACATAATAAAATTCGTTCGACCCGTAGAGAGTGCTCAGTGACAATAACTGAATTTACCTTAAGTTGTTTTATCAAACTAATTCTTAAGATGCGCGTAGGTAGACAATAGAGTTACGGATTCTGGTGGCTTCTTTTGTGATTACAAGTGGCCGGATTCGATATAGTTTCTAGGTAGTGCCTGCGGCTACAGATCTTATTTCTTCCAGCATACGGTGTACCCTTCTTCGTTGAAGAAAGAGTCTTCACGACCTATTACCAAAGTCTCCCATGGATCGTGGGGCACTCCTGACTCCACGCCCAGACATTCTGCGTAAGTTTTCAAACACCCCGAACTTGGCCAATAGTCGTACACTAAGTTAATAGTTAAGCAAGTCAATATTTTTTTACGCCTCCCAATTATACTGTAATGCAATATTATTTTTGATAAGTCGCATTCAGCGTTGTGAGCGGTACTTCCGACCTGTGTAAACCGTTTTTTTTTATTGTTGGGAAATCAATTTACTGACCCCCGCCCCGGGGCATCAATAAAGTGACGCAGGGAGTGTGGGAGTCATTCCGTATGGTGCAATGGACTCCTACCCACTAACACCCAACAGCCCCATCTGCTCACTATGGACGGTAGGCGCGGTAACAGTTTCCCTTAATCCGTGCCTCCGTCATAAGCGTCTGCTGAGTGAGCCCAACTTCTGAGTTGCCCAATTCTGTGCTACCTTGTGTAAACCTAAAGCAATACAAGATGGCAGATGTTTATGATTTAAATTAACATTTCTTTAATTATTCTTAAAAGGCTAAGCATATAATGAAACCTAAACGAGACTTAAGTAAAGTAAAGTAAAGACTCCCATTTGTCAAAAACAATTTTGACATACGACATAGTACGTGTTCTTATTTTTTTGTTATTCGTGCTAAATCTTATACCTAGCGTTTAATGCTTTTGTTCCACTTATAATATTCTAATTGAATAAATAAATTTACTCTTAGTTTATATTGGGCCTTTCATGTTAACAATTTTTTTTAGATTATTAAATAACTCCAGCATAGAGAAAAAATCCATTATCAAAGACGAAGCTGCAGAAAAAAATAAACTGTGAGTAATATTATGTACTAAATGTCCTGTTAAGGGGATATCCAAATCAAAATCTATTAAATCAGTTTTGATGACACTTGGACTGTTCTTCAAGTTGGAATATAAATATCAAATTTCTCTTCCTTTTTTTTTTTTTTGTCAATTAATGTACTTACTTATGTTTTCTGTTTCATATAGGTATATTGTTTATCTATGTAATCAGTTTTGGCTTTGTATATTGTCTAATGGTGGGTACAGACTGGTGAAACGTAACATGAAATGTATTATTCTGCCTTTCATTGCATGTTCGCTGCAAGCGTGGACGCATAGCGCGCTCTTAACGCGCATTCACTACGAACCTCCCGCGTTCGTCTTGATCCGCCATTCTGCCGCGAACACGGCCCTTCGATACACGTTTTTAAACCGGTAGATCACACGAAGCATGGAGTCCGAAGACCACGTTCTTGCTATGACGATTATCAGTACCTCATTATTAATAATACATCAACTCATGAAAACACGCCGAAGACCCCGACGTTGGTGGCGGACAGAATTGTATAAACGGAGAGAAGGTAGAGAACTGCTTACTGATATGAATTTTCAGCACATAAGTGGACAATACAAAAACTTTACAAAGATGACGCCAACAGACTTTGAAAATTTACTCGAGATGATCGGACCAAGAATTAGTCGAAACCATACAAATTTAAGAGCTCCAATTTCAATCCAAGATAGGCTAGCAATAACACTTAGATTTTTAGGTTCCGGGGACTCTTACACAAGTCTGCAGTATACGTTTAGAGTATCGAAACAATCCATAAGTGCTATTGTACCTGAAGTGTGCGCCGCAATAATGGAGGAATTAAAAGAATACATTAAGGTACGTATTATGAAAATCTTTATTTATGTTTAGAAGTGTCTTTATTTATCACATTAAATCATTAAAGTCATCCATAGAAGACGTGTAAGACTCTTGTGAAGAGACCGACAAGGGCGGCTGGATGGTTGGATAGTCAGTAGTATCTTCATTTCTTGCCGTAGTATAGCCATAGGGTCCCGCTTCGTTTGTGCCCGATGGTGGTCCGGCCGACATTGAGGGACGATTAGAATATCCGGTCAGATCCTCACAGTTCCGTCTTGCCCTGGATAAATAATCATCTTGGTGTAAACCATATGCATGGTTATTTTGATGACGCCACGATTCGTAATATCCCCTATCAGCTTTCATAATTATTTCAAAAATTGCATGTTCCACCGAAGTCCTAGTTTGTGGCGAATAACTAGTCATTTTAGCCCCTATAAAGGAAGCGAAACTTTTCGTTGTATCAGGAATACCTATCGAATTGTCCAATTTATTGGCTGTTGTTTTCAGTATTCCCATCACATCTGAGAGCACATTGTCATCCCTCCTGGTTTGTTTAGCGCTCTTTGGAGTACATTCATTTGGTAGTACTGGAGGGGTAAACACATTTTGGTCGGCAGTGTTTTCCAAGTCTGAGCGATGAAGTGACTCCTAAAAATGCAAAAAATAATTAATTGTTTTCTTTTTAGTACCAACGACAGCCGAAGCCTGGTTGAAGATAAGCAAGGAGTTTGAAGACCGGTGGAACTTTCCGCACTGTTCAGGGGCATTAGACGGAAAGCACGTTACACTTGAAGCACCTATCAAAAGCGGAACCGAGTTCTATAATTATAAACAAAATTTTAGCATCGTTTTGTTTGCTCTAGTTATGCAGATTATAATTTTCTATTCGTAGACGTGGGATGCCAAGGGAGAATTTCAGATGGCGGAGTTTTTAAAGATACCACATTATATGATATGATAGAGAATCACACAATAAACCTGCCATCGCCGCGTCCACTCCCCGATAGAAATATTTCCATCCCATATTTTTTTGTAGGCGATAGTGCCTTTGCTTTAAGTGAAAACTTGATGAAACCATATGGTGGGACACATCCAAAGGGTTCATCGAAGAGAACATTTAATTACCGATTAAGTAGAGCTAGAAGGATTGTTGAGAACGTATTTGGAATTATATCGTCTGTGTTCAGAGTTTTAAGAAAACCAATGCTTTTACAGCCTGATAATGCTGAATTGGTAGTTATGGCAATCGTTCTTCTACATAATTATTTGAAACGTCATTCTAGAAATGTGTTCATAACTCCAGGATTAGTTGATCAGGAGGAAGAAGGAATTTTAAATGAAGGTTCATGGAGGCGAAATAATGACGACATGACATCATTACTGCCCATAAGAAATATTCCCAGACGATCACCTGCACATCTAAATGCTATCAGAGATGAATTGGCTGATTATTTTACGAAAGAAGGAAAGGTTTCTTGGCAAGACAGATGTTCATAGAATAATCCATACCGTATTTTTTCTCTTTCTCGGTGTGTTCCTGTCGTCTAAGAACTTCAAAGCATCATAGGCAAACCATCGACTTATGTATGTTTCCGAGGCACCTGCAACCGAGTAATACATTAAGTTAATTGTTTAGGATAAATAAATAATGTAGCTGAAACATGAGGTTTGAATTCCTTTTTCTCGTTTTTGCATCGAAATTGGTCCATCCCTTTAAGCGCTACGATGCTACAGACAGACAGACCCACAGTTTTAGGGGTCACACTTATAACACCCCTCGTTTTACGTCAGAAGTAAAAAATTACACATTCTCGTGGTATTTTTTATACACTTACATTACAATACAGGCTGTCCCGTAAATAGTACGACATACTGCCAGAGGTTAAAGTACTCATCAATACGAACAACTTTTACTATGGGACCAACTTCGAAATCGCGAAAAAAATCAGCTGTGGCAGTATGTATTTACGGGACATCCTGCCTGTATGCCCTTTATCTACCATTATACTTTAAGTAGATACTATGTTGTTAATGTTGCTGGTTTCACAATGTTATAGATTTAACTACCAAAATTTTACACTAATTAATGTGATTACCTACTGTTTGTTAATCTTTATAAATGAAGAAAAAAAAACAACAATAATAATACAAACATTAATCATTATTCTTACCTTTTCCTGTCCCCTTTGATTTTTTTTCCTTCAGCTTTTCGCGGCGGTATGAAGAGAGAAGACTAACAATTTTGCTGTTGCATTTTTCTACAGTCATTGACATCAACTTTGCGATTTCCGACCACGCATCTTGCTTAAGATTTTTCTTAAAATAGTTTTCATTTTGCGGGTTCCACAAAATTTCACGAACTCTGTACGCATCTATCAAGCAAAATGCCTTTTCCTCACTCCACGCAGTGTCGTCCTCCATGTTCGTTGCGTGCACGCGTTGATTTCAAAACGACCGTCCACGTTGGCGCACCGCGCACACTGCGCGCCCCTTTGTGTTCGTTCGAAAAACCGACAAATCACGGATCGCTCCGCGCGCGGCTTGTAATGCTCGTAGCGTGCGCGTGAAATGCACATTTCGCGCGCACAAGACGTCCAAACTATGAGAAATTGTTACAATGTGTGTTACCTTTCATGATACATTGCAGCAATGTGTACGGTAAATTCTTTCATTGCATGACACATTGCATGTTACGTTTCACCAGTCTGTACCCACCTTTAGTGTTTTGTTTTAGAATATGAATGTTAGCTGTAAGATTGCTAATAAAGAAATAAAATAAGTCTAATGAAATAACTATTATTTTAATTTTAATTTGTAATCATTCATATAATAACGAAATTTTCACACGCCTATAATATTCTAATAAATTAGAAGAAGCTTAGAAGCTTTAACATATAATCCTAATCAAATATAATCCATTTCCAATATCACTTACATAAGAAAGTATTTTATATGCCATTTAGAAAGTGAATATATCTAATGATAAAGAGATAAATGCCTGAACGCTTACTCTATAACTTTAAAATCGGTACGATTTCTATCAAAGCAAGTCATTGTTCAGAAGCGCGGTATCCAAATTTAAAGGAGCATGATGATCGCCAACCTTCGAAAGGATATGGCACTATAGGAAGCATACAAAGTTTTTTGTTTCGCTAGAATCGAATTGAGAACTTCCAATTCATACGGTATTACTATAATAGTAAATTAAAAATAAATTTTGGATTTCAGGTCCATTTTCGTAGTAGAAAAACGAGTGAGACTCTCTGAAGTAGAAAAGGATAGCGATGTAAAGGAAAATGCGACGGAATTAAAGATTTTTGACCAACTTAGAAGCTCTCAAAAGCGGTAAGAAATTTATATTTTTGTACAATTTTTTTAAATAATTGAAATAAGTGTTATATATTTACCCCCTTCAATATTTCAAAAAGTGGGTAGGTACATCTTATTATAGTAGGTATATCAAATTTTTGAATCCTCAAAGTCACTTTTGACGAGTTTTTGTATTTGTCTAGCATAATCAGGGGTTTTCATCTTCCGGCAGAATGTTTAATTTAAATTGGAGAATTAGCTAAGTATGCGACTCTGAGTCTTGTCCTAAGCTTAAGCAACGCTAATTGAAAACTCATATATTTTATTATAGTCGCTTCGAAGTTAATGACGAAATAGAATCACCGCAGAGTCCAGTACCATCATCACCGTCAAAGGCAAAGTGCAGGATTTTTGGATTCCCGACATTATTCTATCCCTACATGCCTATTGATCCACAGGGTGAGTTAAGGAATTATATTATTTATATACTGCAAATGTAATGCAAATTGACAGGTAATACGTCTCACCTATCTGTCAATTTGACATTTACATAGATACAACAAATCGGTCCCATAATACAGATAATCAATTAGTATTTCTTTCCAAATACTAGACATATTGTAGATATAGGGAGAAAATTATCAAGAAAAGTTTTAGCCTAAATACAGCAGTGTAGTGATAATTGTGTCATATTCCTATATGTGGGGGATATATGTTGATATGTTCGATCTACTAATATATTATCAATATGTTTACTTAATAAAACTGTAAGTCACTGAGATACATTAAACATTTTGGGCACTATAAATAAATATTTTATTTTGACTATCATTTTATCTTGTTCTGTGACGCTTTATATGGTACCTCTTCGTCTATACTTTATTATAATAGGCTTAAAAATAAATAAATACGGACTTATAATTTGTCTTATTAGTAAAAATACGCCATTAAATGAACGTTCTAAAACGTCTTCATTTTTGTCTTTACTTGGCTGCCAATTGTCGGACAACTGATTAATTACAACCACTTGACGTTAATAGAAAATCAATAACGACAGCTTAGGATAGAAGTTACGGTCTACATTCAATTTAATTTCCTTTCGTAGTTTTATGTGTTAAAATACGAGTAGAAAGCGACAAGGTTAATGATACCTGTCGTAATAAAATAAATCAGTGGCGCTACAACCTCTTTAGGTGATGGCCTCAGGTTTCTGAAACTGTTTCATGATCATTTTTAAATCTAATAGGCAAGTAGGTGATCAGCCTTCAGTGCCTGACACACGCCGTCGATTTTTTGGGTCTAAGACATGTCGGTTTCCTCACGAGGTTTAAATACGCACATAGAAAGAAAGTCCATTGGTGCACAGCCGGGGATCGAACATACGACCTCAGGTACGAGAGTCGCACGCTTAAGCTACTAGGCCAATACTGCTCTAACCTGTCGTAATAAATCCCAAAATACTTACAAAAACAAAAAAAACTAGGAACGGGGTGTATGAAGCCGTCCATCAGAACTTATACAATTTGTATTTTTGTCATTGTCACAGTAAAATTGCATTTGGGGTAAGAGATAAAGAAAGATAGAGTTTCAGTTGATGCTACTTATGGATAAAAATATTTAGTACGAATCAGAAACCGCCATTTTATACAACGAGTTTTGTTAAAAAGGATTGACAGTTTACATACTTGGCACGACCATAGGCAATGGCAGCCATTTTATGTAACGAATCTAGTTTTCGTTGGTGAATCAGTTCCACTTCTTCCAGGTCGCATCTACATAACCTGGCTATTCCTTGTAACGTTCTGCTATAGTTACAATGCCTGGGCCATAGTCTTAAGAGCGACCTTTCCATACCAAACACCGAACAACCTACCAATTTGGCTAACAGCGGATTACATTTGCGATATATTTTATATACTCGACGTGGTTCTTGTGAAACCGAGGTTGATATTTCTACACGATGGCTTCTGGGTTACGGATGAAGTGGAAACTAGGAAACATTATAAGAAAAAAACTCAATATAAGGTAATTTAAAATAAATTTAATATATATAGAAAAAAAATATTTAATATTTTTTCAAAATTAAGTAGTACGAACTCAAATGAGATTGTTAAATTAAATCGCCACAAAAAAAAATATTTTCTAGGCTAAGTACTTATTGGACCACCCTCGTACATATAGTTCTTAAATCACTTATAATAACAATTGTGATAAGACCTCAGAGCTGGTGCTTTCCTCAACGATAAGTATCGCAATACAGTGAGGAAATACTGCCACAGGGACCAAACTTTTTAAAATTGTTTTAATTTTTGTTTTTAATAATTTTAATATTTTTTATTATTATTTAAATTATACGTATGTATGATGCATGATTAAATGAATAAAATTTAATTAAAGCCCGTTACGTTATTTAAAGTATGCAACGTGAATTTAATTTTATTGTAAATATTTTTTTTATATTTTTAATAAATATTAATTTGAAAAAATCTCGTTTTAGTTTGACGTAATATCTCTCCTCCCGCTGGATATATTGTACGTATTTTTTGGTACAAAGATGGTCATACTGAGATTTCCCCGACTCCTTAAACTGCAGACATTCTGGGAGTTCCATCAGGCAATGGACCGAGTTCTTTCCTCGCCTTATGTGGTAATTATATGCGTCTCCTAGTTAAATTGATAATGATAACTGCTTGGAGTTGACCCGGAACCTCTATTGTAATTCATAAAAGAAAAAAATATTATTTTATTATAATATTATTCTTTAAAAAATTATATGTACCTGGTTAAACTTGGAATATTAAAATAATGTTTTGAAAGTTTATTGATAAACTCTAAACTGTACATAAACTTTAAAAAAAAATTGGAGTGATTTTGACGGAATGAGACAAAAATCTTACAAACTTTTTTATAGATCCTAAGACGTGCCAGCACGATGCCTTTAGCGTATCAAGTTTTATTGACGCACACAGAAAAAATCATGCCGTGATTCGATCGCAGGACTGTAGCCTTAAAATACTGCTTTTGATTACAGGTACGAATAGGAAAAACATTGTTCTACATTTTCTATTTAATTCATCTAAACGCCTGCGCTTATTACGCCATAAGTGACTACATTGGCCTCGGCTCCAATTCTTGGGTCTACGATAACGAAGGCAACGCGTACATCCGGTGTTTCTACTTTGCTACTAAAACTGCTACTTCCATAGGTATTATATTATCAATAGTAATATGAATAAGTAAACACATATTTGCCTTGCAGATTATTTTTATGTAATAGGAGGCTCACCTGTTAAGTGATACGCCCATGGACTCACATTGCCAGAGGGCTTGCAAGTGCGTTGACGGCCTTTTAAGAATTACTACGCTCTTTTCTTGAAGGACCCTAAGACGAAATGGTTCAAAACTACTTCAGTGGGCAGCTGGTTCCATTCCACATAGTGGTGGTGCGTGGCAAAAACTGCCTTAAAACACGCTGAGTTGTGGAATTACGGAGGTCGAGGTGATACGGATGGTATTTTGTAATGAAACACAAACATTTCGTCATAGAACTTGTTTATCCATAGTTAATAAGTAATTTTATTAAGAATATTTTTTTAAATCTACAAAAGCTACTTTTAAAAAGTTTCTTGTAACTCAAAGGTGGCGTAGCTATGAGCTACGCCGTAGCAAACGACAAAACATTTATTAACAATAATGTTAGTAGACATGATTACATTTGAACACTAGAATTACATAAGGTTTAATATCAGAATAATAATGAAGACTAAAAGTGAGAAAATAAAACTATAGATTTTATTATACATTTTTATTAATCAAAGAGATCTCTTAAACTGAAACTTAAGCAGGGATATAATTTTTATATATTTTAGATTAAAACTCGTATATTTATAACACCTTACCGCAAGTATCAGTCAAAGATTGAGAATCATATAATACTTATTTTCATTACGTGAATTTATTACATTATTTACGAAACTAGTTGACCGACCGATATATTACTGCAAAGTAGATTTAATAAATTAGTAATTAAATTCTTGTATTTTATGCTTTCATCCTGTCAAGTGTTTCAGTTGAAATTGTTAATTATAGGTAAAAATCCAAAACCAGGCAACACATGGGAATATTTATTTATGACAGCGGCGTGGCTGATGGGAGTATTCGTGTTCGCTGTGCTCATAGGACAAATTCGTGATATCATTGCTACAGCCACGAGGCAGAAGGTATTATTTGTTTTCTTTCATTCTCAAAATATTTGGTTTTGAATAATAATTGGCTCTTTAAATATGTGTGACTATGGTATTTTTTATTTACTTGGCGTATTGCGCATACGCTACGAAACTGTTCAGTGCGGGAGGGTTGTGGGATTGGCTATTGTGCATATTGTCCAAATGTCTGCGCCGAAATTGTATCACTTAACATGTATATAATTATAAATAAATATATACAGTCAAACCTGGATAAGTGAGAGTTCAAGGGAGCACAATCTCATTGTCGCTTATGGAGGTTTCTCACTAATCCGAGTTTCTCGCTAATGCAGGTACATGGGTAGCGTTTCTCTCTTATAGAGATACGCGGGAGTAACAAGTCACAGTATATATTTTATTTTATTTAGAATTTATTTATACTTGAAAAAATCCGTCAATTTCGTTTGGGTTTCTGTTTTTGTATTTTGAATATTTTTCTCTCTTTAAATTTTGTCGAATATATTTATGTATTCTTATTGTAAAGTTCCTCCTAAATAAATAAAGCTCGAATGTCGCTTATAGAGCTATAGATAAGTAGCAGTCTCACTTACGGAGGTCCATGAGGGAAAAACTACTCTCTCCTACAGAGGTTTCTGTTTCTCGCTAATAGAGGTTTTGGGAGCTTAAAATGACGGGTCCCGGCTATTACTCTCACTTATAGTTTTCTCACTTACCCAGGTTTGACTGTATATGTATATATTTATATCGCACACTCGGTTTCTAAGCGCTACCGCTAAAGAATTTCATTTTCCGTGCATTTCAAATCTCACTTTACCAAAAATTGGAGTTAGGCGATACTATAACAAAATGTTGCGCTGATGAAGAGGTAATCACTGAAACTGAAGCCTATTTTAAAAGACAAATCGTACTATACAAATGGTATCAAAAAATGTATGACCGCTATTATCGTTCTTTCGCTCTCCAAACTATATTGAATAATCAAATCAAATTTTATCAATAAAAAGAATTTTCCTATGTTAGCCTACGACAGCCTATTACTAAGGAAGCGATATATTTGATTGAATCACTGTATCAATAAAAATAGAATATCATTATGGTTATACAAATAATTGGACAGTTATAGGTTGTTTGAAATTTTTATGTAATTTTTATCTTGTCACGAATTAAAAATGTTGTTCCCAGACGGAATATCGTAAAAGAGTGGACGGCTGCGTGCGATATTTACGCAGATTGAATATGCCTGCAAGTCTCCAACGACGTGTTACCTGCTGGTTCAAATATACCTGGACAACACAACGGTGTTTTGGTTAGTCTAAAAAATGTACCATAAATGTCAATTAGTTATTTTATATCCCGTTTTATATGAGTTCAAAAGGTATTTGAATATCTCTGGAGCTACGTTTGGCGGATAATATTTTAATAAATGCTTTGGTAAGTGTATTTCATTCCGAATAGTATTTTATGAATATTTATTTATTACAGATATACATACTGCCAATACGATAATGTCGAGAAAAATAAAATGTACTAAAGTATAGTATATTAAACGCATAATATACACAATATCGTTGGTTGTATGTATTTTTTAATGCTGTATCATAAAAAAATAAAAATATTTATTTTTTATCTAAAAGTTAAAAAAAAATTAGGGGTGGACTACCCTTAACATTTAGGGGGATGAAAAATAGATGTTGTCCGATTCTCAGTTATACCCAATATGCACACAAAATTTCATGAGAATCGGTCAAGCCGCTTCAGAGGAGTTTAACCACAAACACCGCGACACGAGAATTTTATATATTAGATATTACTTATACCGGCTACTATTTAAAAACGTATAATTTTTAGATGAGGCCAGAATCCTTAATTCATTACCATACAATATGAAGCGTGACGTCGCACTCGAAGTCCACATTTCCACATTAAGTAAGGTAATTGATAATATTATCTATGGATAGAAGTACATTAAAACAATTGAATAATATGAGAAATATTGTTATTTCACTTAGAATTTTCGAGTTTCTATTTTTTTATTCATGTAACAATTCAGACACCAGGGGAGCAAATAATCTAAATATTTTTTTAAGCGGCTGGGTGGGATGTCTTTGATCCCTTGGAGGATGGGACGCGCTTAAGTAGGTATGGAATGCTACCTTGACACGCTAGCTTCGTCTCCCCTTCCTCGGACAGGCAGAAAAGCTGCCGCACGTCTGACGGAATAATAAACGGCTCAAATATAAGAGTCTTTCCTCCACCATTGATTTTGTTCCCTTTGTAGTAGAGACTCTTAGGCCGTGGGGTTCAAGTGAACAGGCGCTAATTAAAGATTTAAGTTGGCGCGTGGTAGATAGTACCGGTGACTATCTATATATTTCTATGTTGAAAATAAATATAAATATTAGGTTCAGCTATTCCGAGACTGTTCAGCATCTCTCCTCCGCGACCTGGTGTTGCAACTTCGACCTGTTTCCTTCCTCCCAGGGGACGTGGTCGTTAGAAAAGGAGATGTGGGACATCAGATGTATATCATAAAAACTGGGAAGTGCGTTGTAAGTACCGCTCGATTGTGTAAAATGTTTTAGTTTGACATTCGAGAACTGACTTTCCTAAAGGAATGCTGGCAGTAATTTAGTTTTTCCTAATTAATTTCTGCAGTGCGACTCTCATCCCTGAGGTCGTAGGTTCGATCCCCGGCTGTGCACCAATGGACTTTCTTTCTATGTGCGCATTTAACATTTGCTCGAACGGTGAAGGAAAACATCGTGAGGAAACGGACATGTCTTATACCCAAAAAGGCGTGTGTCAGGCACAGGAGGCTGATCACCTACTTGCCTAATAGTTTTAAAAATGATCATGAAACAGATACATACATCTGAGGCCAAGACCTAAAGATGTTGTAGCGCCACTGATTTTTTTTTAAATTAATTTCTTGTGTTTGGTATTTGCTTCGTGTATAAATCTTTTTTATTGCATTCTTTTCGATTTTAAATAAAAATATATATGTTATATATGTATATTTTTCAAGGTTATGTCTCCAGACGAGAAAGAAGTATTAGCAACGTTAAGCGAAGGCTCTGTTTTTGGTGAAATCAGTCTTCTTGGCATCGACGGACTTCGGCGGCGTACTGCTACTGTTCGGTAATAAAAGATTTTTTTTCTGTAACAGGAGGCACATCTGATGTTAAGTGATACCGCCCACTGACACTCACATTGCCAGAGGGATCGCTAGTGCGCTGACGGCCTTTAAAAGTTTTGTGTGTCTTTATTGTATTCATGGTTTTAAATATATATTTGCCAAGTAACTTACCGAGTCCTGCCTTGATAAACTCACGTTTTAGTAAATGATTCAAAAATGCTCTGTTAAGAATTATTACAAAAACTTACTTTTACTTAATATACGATTTTAAAGTCCTGTTAAGCACGAATGGGGCAAGGGCCTCATTTCTGCATGTTCTTTTAATATTTAATTAGTATATGATCAAGTCTCAGTAGCTACCAACTCGAAACAATAGTTCTTCCGCTGAAAATTAACCGCACCAAGCACGGTATCTACAAAGACCGCAAACAGTACTATTAGTGTCTAAAACGTATTTTTATACATATAATATATTAAAATGCCTCATGGCATTTTTCAAATGATAATATATATAAAATTCTCGTGTCACAGTTTTCGTTGCCATACTCCTCCGAAACGGCTTGACCGATTCTCATGAAATTTTGTGTGCTTATTGTGTATGTCTGAGAATCGGACAACATCTATTTTTCATATCCCCCTAAATGTTAAGGGTAGTCCACCCCTAAATTATTTTTTTTAATTTTTAGATAAATTACTTATTTTTATTTTTTTATGATACAGCATAAAAAAATACATACAACCCCTAACTTTCACCCCTCTACGATCAACCCCTATTTTTTATTATAAATGATATACATGGCAAAATGACGTTTGCCGGATCAGCTAGTGATAATATATAAGTTTGATATACGCAACTACCAGTTTCGTCATCGGACGTCAAGGCAGAATGCGGACTCGTATCATTTCGACGTCCGTCGTTCCACAACTGAGCGTTTAGGTATAGCAAATATTTACCTCTAAGAGCTTTTTCTATTACAGTTAAATTCTAATCAATATAAGTTAACAACGGCGTAGTTGCGAGCTACGCCGTAGCCATCTTTGAGCTACAAGAAACCTTTTAAAAGTAGCTTTTGTAAATTTAAATAAAATAAACAAAATTACTTATTAATGTTATACATGGGCGGTATCACTTAAAATTAGTTATTTCGACTATGTGTTTGCGTGTTATTCCCACGAGATTGTAAGTGCTTGCTCCTATTTCACCATGCCTCCTGCTGATAGAGGGCAACTCTTTGTTTTTAATTTATGTTATTATTATTAATTACTTAAGATGTCATGTGGAACATGTTGTAATGGTTGCAGCTCCTTACAAACGTTGTGTAAAAAAAACATTGCAATTAAAAAGAGTGGCGGAGAGTTTATTGCCAGTTCTTCTCTCCCGTCCTACGCCCTTGATTTGAGAACTGGCAGTAAATGTAAAGTTAGAAGCATTTCATATATATCTCTTTTTTGACGATCAAAGATTATATAACGATTTTTTGTGTTACCTGAATTTTCGAATTTTTTGTTCGTATTGCAAATGTTTTACACCTCATTAATAAGTACACTACATACATATATAATAACGGTAAAAATTTGTTTCCTTCTTTCAAATAGATCTCGCGGCTATTCCACTCTCTTTGCTCTCTCTCGTAACGACCTCGACACAGCCTTAAATTATCACAAAGAAGCTGAACAAATCCTCAGACGTAGAGCCGATCAAATAATAAGAGAGAACGCGGCCAGACAGACAAAGCAACAGATAGCAATAGACGCAAAAAGGGAGGACTCAGATCTTAGAAAGAGAAGAAAGAGTGGGGGAAGTAGCGAGAGTGTGAAGAGTAGGAGAATGAGATCGGCGAGTGCCCTATCGAAGCGGAAGTTGTCTATGGTGTCTGAAGACAAGGTTTGATAAACATATTTTCCATTATTTTACTTCCCGATTTCTTTTATATACATCCTTCTTCACACCTTTGATTGTAAGAATTAGAATTGTTTTATAATCTGTAATATTAAAAAATAGCCTTTACTCGAGTACTACACAATCTGGATTTAACAGTACACGACCTCCGACCGAGTGAAGGCTTCCTCCAAATATTTCCACTTGTCTCTCATCGCATCTCTCATCCTCGCCACCATTTTCCAATCCTTCCCCGCTATCCCTTTTATTCCATCTTCTCATCTTTTGGTGGGCTTTTTCTTCCCATTCCAAAAGGTCTTTTTGTGCAATGTGACCACCCCATTTCCCCTTTAACTTTTTGTGTGTGTTGATTCTATTATTTTTGTTATTTATTACACTGTTTTTAACTTTGTCAAAAAGTAAAAAAGTGCGTACAAAGCACACATGTCAGAAAGGAAACTTCTTTGGCAAACAAATTTTTAACTCTTGTTCATATTTATACAAATCTAAAACTTTAGATTTCAGAGAGATTTCCTCTAAGGGGAAAAAGGAAGATATGTTAGGAATTTCATGAATTTTCTTGTCATTAAAATATTAAAAGTGTCGAAAATTACACAAATAATTAATTTATTTTTAAAAATTTATTTCTTAGATCATCAAAGTTCGTAGCATTTTAATTTACAATACGTCATTTGAGATTTCATTAAATTATTTTGCATAAAATATAAAATACTAATATTTCATCAATTCTCTTTACGAAATTTTAATTTTAAATAGAATTTCTATAAGGTAATTCAGCCTTCTCACTCGCTCTCAATCGGTCTCAATCGATCTCTCCCTTTTCTTCGACAAAAACGCTGCACATCTTCGTGTAGTTTCATCCGAAAAAAAAATTACCCTCATGCGCCTAAAAAAGTTTTACTTCAAAAGATTTGTATAAAAAAAATTTACTCGTGAAAATATGAATTATATCTGCATTTTTTTTTATTAATATACTTTCCCTCCAGGTAGTGTTAATAATTACATCCATAATCATTTCATGTTTTCATCTTTAGCCTCAACACGCTGACGTACGAAGTGCTTCGCCAGATATAAGGGAAATGAAAATTTCAACACCCATTCCTACTATTATATTTTCCAACGAAACGAATTAAATTTTAGAGTCCTATTTAATTTGAAGTCCAAAAGAGGCTATTATAGTCACAGGAAATGTTATGTTGGCCTTAATGTGTGTCTGTATAAATTAAAGCTGAAACTTTAATGCATGTTTTAGAATAATGTTCCGTTCAGCTGTAAAGCCCGAAAAAATAATTATTTTATTTATATAACATATACGTTCATCTGCGACTCTCATATTTGAGGTCGTGGGTACCAGTGTACTTTCTATGTGCGCATTTAACAATCTCGCTCGTACGGAGAAGATAAACATCATGCGGAAGCCGGAATTTTTCAAATTCAATCGATGACATGTGTCAGAAGGCTGATTGTCTATGAAACTAAACTGATCAAATAAACGGATGCAATCTGAGGCCAAGAACCTATTTCTGTCTATTTCTACTCTCAAACATCACACGTTAAAATAAGGTTTCAAATACTAGTCAAAATATCTCAACGTGTGAGATATTTAAAAAAAACTTTATTTAAAAGATTACACTTTTTATTTTAAAGATATACAAATTACTTAGATTATCTAGAGCCTAGTGCTAGGTGGTGATGTGAATGACCAGTTGTCACGAGTCTTCTGCTTATATACAAAAGATGCGACATCCGCGGGGTAGGATGCCGGTGGTCACTGGTGTCATCTTAGGAATGCAGTTTTAATGACTTACTGTTTATTAATGTGCCTTTGTTCTGAATGACTTATTGTTTCATTCCAAGGTGTCATTGCTCGGAGTTGTTTATCTGTATGAGAGGTGTCAGGGTTCTCAATAATTAGATCATTGTTATTTCTTTTAAAAAGAACCCTAGTGACTTGGGTGGCTTCACTCTCTCCTTCCAAATTCGAAGTCCTAGGTTTCCAAACCTTGGATCTGAGAATTTTAACAAAAATTATAAACACAATTGTTGTAGTTATAATACTGATCCAACTATGTTGAATAATTTCGTGTTGTCTGTGTTCACTAAAAGAATCTATATTTTTAGTTGTTTCAGCTTAGACTTGATTTTTGTAGCGTCATATACAATGTCTATTTCTGATGCAGTTTCTATAATTGGAGTATCAATATTAGCAATTATCATTTTGTCTTTTGACTCTGTGGTTTTGAACATTTTTATACCAGAAATATTTAATTCACAGTTTTCACCATACAAAATGTTTGATCCTTTTGTCCATAGAGTTTCTTGATGATTATTGCAATTTGCACTTACTTCTGTGGTTTTATTAAAAAACATGTATATGGCTTTTGGTGAAATTTGAAATACTTCCTGAACTGGGCATTTTATTGGAACAGCTTGACACTTGTCACTTTCTTTCTTGTTTAGTATTTCTGACTCACAAATATTGATTTTAATTAAACTTCCTTTACATATCTAAAAATCCAAATTTCGGCAGTCCTCTACTTCATAGATTTCTTCATTGTTGTATGCTAAAGTAACCTTTTGCATTATAGGATAGGTACAGGAGGGATTATTTTTGATAATGGGAACAATTTTCCTTGACTTATAAACTTGAATCTTAACTAACCGTATATTAATAACAAAGTATATTATCTGATTTATAATTCGACTATTTACTGTAATAAAAGATTCTATATCATTTATATTATTATATAACATTACTTCTTTTGGTATACTATTTATAGTATCCTGTAAAATATAAGATTGTAAAATGCTATAATGAAACATATTATGTTCTGCAAAAGTAATCGCAGTACTAAGTCTTTCAGATACATCTTGTAAAGTTTGAGCCTGTAATAATAAGGAAATCGCTACTTTTTGTTGTATTTTTTAATTAAATACTCCTTGAAATTGTTGATTAATTTGCTGTTGAATTAAGGTAATATTAGCCATTTGCTTATTATATTCTTCCAATGTATCATCTGTTACAGATATTTGTTTATTATATGCTACTCGTAGAGTTTCTAAATCTTTCTGAATACTATCTAAATCGTCTTGATCTAAATTTCCAGTAATAGATTGGATTACAGATCCTAATCCATTAATTAATCCACGCTTTACACGACTATTACTTTGTATATTCAAATGTTTACAAATTTCCCTGATCGTTTCTAAAATAATAACAATTCTCTGATATACATGCTTGACTTCATCAGATTTAAATCTAGTGAGAGCATTTTCCATAGAATTTTCAATACTATCTAGGTTATTCTTTATAGGTTTAATATCTAATTTATGAATAATTGCCCACCGTCCTTCTAGTAATCGAGTTGGTTTAGATTCTATTAAAATTACATTTTCCGATGGAGTTGGTTTCTGAACTTGAATGCTGTGACGAAGAAGATGAGTCTGGAACAATATTTAGTTCTTCAACATGATATGATCGATCATTACTCAATTTATATTTAGTATGTGGCTCTATACTGACTAGAGTGAACGGACCTATAAATCTAGGTTTAGTTTTGTGCCGATCTGCCATGCTATTTTTTAAATAAGCGACATTACCTACTTTATAATTGTTAGGCGTTTTAATTTTTTTATTAATTCTTTCATTTCTAACTTCTTTTCCTCGTTTTAATAATTCATGAACATTTTTATTTAAACTTTTTGAAAATTCTCGCTGTGGAGCTGTATAATTTTGTATAACTACTTTGAGATTATCAAAACTACGCAATTTTGCTTTCCTTCCAAAATGAACTCAAATGGTGTCTAATCTGTCTGGACCGTTCTCTGAGTCCTGTATGCCGGTTAGTGGTCGGTCTTTTGTTGCATCTACATAGCTTCTTTTTTCTGTGTGACTATTTTGTCTTAGGTTTTGTTTTGCTGTTTGATGCAATATTTTGATCTCTTTTGTATTCTGGGTTAGTTGCTTTTCTTTGTTGGTTGGTTTGGTTTTTAATAGTTTTTCTTTATATTGTTTATATTTTAAGCAACCTTTGTAGCTTGCCGAATGTCTTTCTTGACAATTTGCACATGTGGCATCTGTCTCAGGAGTTTTGGTCCACGAAGAAGTAGGATGATCGCTACCACATTTCACACATCTGTATGGTCTGAAGCACTGATTTTTAGTATGTCCAAACCTCTGACATCTTTTGCATTGCATTATTTCTTTTTTCTTATAAGGAGCTTCAAATGTTACTCTCATTTGACTTAGGTATCTTAAGTTAAATATTTCTTTGTTGTTCTTGTTTGGCTCCAAGTCCACAAAGAAGATGGGCAATGCCTCTTTGGTAGTCCTATGTAAAACATTTACTATTTGTCTCACCTCATGGCCTTGTTCTTTTAACTCTTGTTTTATTAGTGCAGTATCTTCTGTGGAGTGTAGTCCTCGTAGTACAACTCTGTATGCTCTTTCACATTTTAATTTATAAGTATAATGTGAAATATTGTTGGTTATAAACTGCTCTCGGATTTCTTGTTATATCGTTGAGCATTAACTTAATGATATGGCCCGATCTTAATGTTGTCATTTGGTATGATTTGCTGTCCACAATTTGATTTAGAGTTGCTTTTAGTGCTATAACATCCATGACTCCCGTCACAAAGATAGGTTCCAGTTTTGGTATATACTCTGTAACTGAGACCGGGTCTTCTGTTCCTTCACTGTTGAGGATCTCAAATTTGTTATGCGTAGGCAGTGCGAAGGTGGGTGTATTCTTAGATTTCTTAGTATTGTCTCTGCAGATGGGGCTCGTTTCCTTTCTTTTTTGCCTTTTAAGAGGTACTTGATCATTTTGCCATGGGTTTAAAGGGTTCTTATCATTATTTTTAGGCTCCAGTTCATTGTTTTGAGATTTTTTATTGCTGGTTTTACTTGCTGCGACTGATGGTAGACTGTTACTACGGTTTCTGATGAACATACTTTTGTGAAATTGCTGTTGGATCATATTATTAGGATTATTTGTAGTTTTATTGGTTTCGTTCATATTGTTCCCACGAGTGAGGTCGAAATAAATAGTCACTTGAAGGGTGACGTTATTCCTTCAAGAAGGCTCATACAACAACGTTTGCCGGGTCCGTTGAGGTTGGCGCTAGCAGCTTACTACCCGTAAGCCATACATCCTCTCGGCGCGCTTCCCACCTTAGGATTAGGGTGAGTTTTTAGAGAGGCTTTCTACCTCGTGACACGGGCGGTGACGCCAATGCCCCCGGCTCCATGATACAATGGAGTTGCGGGTTGTGGAGGTCATTTCCTACCCCCAACAAGGATCTGCTTGTTAGGCAATCTGAGTCGGGTTAGTAACCGCCGCCCGAGACTCGGCGTGTTGCTCGTTTAGCACCACCCGGGGGAAACGTGTAGGGTGGATCTAGGAAAAGATGGTAAATCCTACGGACGCGAGCAACTTTCCCCCCTCCCCCCATTGTTTCATTCCAAGGTGTCATTGCTTGGAGTTGTTTATCTTTATGAGAGGTGTCAGGGTTCTCAATAATTGGATCATTGTTATTTCTTTTAAAAGGAACCCTACTGACTTGGGTGGCTTCACTTACTTATGAAAATATGTAAGAAAAAATAATATCAGAACTTATCGCTACGCACCGCTAACCAGATCCATGCAACTTCCTCACAATCGAGTGGCCCGCAATATCTGAGCGCACAACTCACGAGGGGACTCTTTGTATTGAATAAGTCGCATGGGTCCGCCAAGCATCCACTGTAAATACATACATATACGTAAATACATGTAGGAATAAAGAAAATAGTAATTTATTTAGAGTGGTAGTTTTACTGGATTATAATAATCCTTATTTAGGGTGAGATTATTTTAATTGTCATAAGAATCTCTATATTTTATCACAAAAAAATTCAATGACACAGCAAACAATTTAATTTATAATATTTGAGATATAAGAAATTACAATCTCGTTATTTACAAACACATCAATACCGTAGATAATTTGACCAGAACATCGGCATCCTTTGATGAGGCTCTTCTGAAAAGAAATGGCTCGTTTCGCCACGTGTTTGAATATAAATACAAAAAAACGGCGGTGTGTCAACCACAGAATGCTAATCTACTTGTCTTTTAGAAATCCAAATGATTACGAAATGTTCAGAAATCTGAAGCCCAGACCTAAAAGGTTGTATTGCTATTGTTTTTTTTTTGAAATTTGTAAAATGCGAATGCTGTAACTTGCAATACGACACCCAATTTTGATCTAGTTCTTTCAATGTCCTTAGCGCTGATTTCACAAACAACAGAACATGCTCCGAAATCTCAATACTAATGTCGGTATCGTTATTGGAAGTTACTGATTCATTTTTTGACATAACTTGGTATTAGTATACAATTTACAATTACGGTTGGATAATTCAGCGCCGATAATTTTATGCATATTGAAAAATTGTAAAACGGGAAATCCTACTCTCTTGCGTAGGTTTAGAATAGAAGTTATTGATATTGTTATTAGAATTAATGAATATTTATTTACATTAAATCATGTATTTATTATAGAATCTCTAGATTTAATAAATTAAAATATTTTCATGTGTGTTTTATTTCCTTAATTTATACGATACCTATTCGACTTTTATAACCCTACACCCTGGCTTACAATTTGACATATTACTGCAAAAACACTGCTTTTATCGTGGTTCGAAATGGGAATGTAAATGGCAAAATTCTAGCATCACAGTTCAATCACCGTTTTTGCAATTCACCAATCCATACATCTACAAGCGTATTAAGAATTGTCCGACTTTCGAAAGACCCAAGGAGCTCTCGGAGCTCGAGACTGGCATGAGGGTTTCGGGATGGTCTATCCGACATGTTGATCAAGCACAGGGCGCTGGAATAAATAATTCTGCCATAGAATTGTCAAATATGTCAGTAAGATGAAGTCGGACTACACGGAATAGCACAAGAGGTAACGCGGGTCCCGCCGGCCAGCGGGGTCCGAACCGCCCATAAATATTATTTATTTATTAAGGAAACTAAACAGATACATTCTCTATACAGAAAAAATAAAATATACAGTTAACACATTGGACATATCCACAAAAAGTTTCACTGATAAAAAATATAATACAAAGCAAAACATGACAGCACAAAATTTATAAATTAGGAGAACGACAAACAAACTAGTAGCTATAATAAACAAGGAAAATACAAGGCTTAGGACATTAATAGTTTTAACTTATTCTTAAATGAAGCAGTAGAGGAGTGCGAAAAAGGGTCAATATTAGTGGCAGAACACGTCCTGTGAAGAGGCTCACGGAACCCAATGTTGGTTCTGGGAGTTGGAAGGTTAAAAGTTCTGTGCGTAGATAATTACGTAGATAATACGTAGGATATTGCCGGAGTTGTTGCCCGGACCCGGCGGGAGATGCCAAGCCCACCAGACCTACTTTAAGAAAATAAATATTAAAAAAAAGTCCCTTTTTAGGAAAGGGGATATTTGACCCTCTCCTCCTGATTGGCCAGATCGCATGTCCATTTGTATGATCCATCGATAATACGCTATGTAAGGGGTCTTCTGTATAAAAATTTAAATTAATTTCGATTCTATTTTTTGTCTCTGTGTGTAAGCATTATATAACAATGCTCTCTTCAGTAAAAGTTAAGAAATAATAAATAAATAAAGACTTTATTCTCTAAACGTTCATTACAACAAAAAACCAAATAATTGGTAAGAGAAACAAACAGTTAATGGACAGTCTTCTGACATGGGCCAACTCTATTTTATCCCGTTCTTCTCTTCGGCAGAGCATCTGCCCTTCTTTTCACTTGTCGTCCTCTCTTCCTTTTACCTTCTCTAGGTAGAAGAAATCATTCTGTACATTTATCTATTTTTGAATTGGAATTAATAATAACTAATTTGGCTTAATTTAGTTTCTTGATTTTATGTAGAACATCATTTAATTTTGTCTCTCTCTGTACATTGTAATCCATCTATTATGTAGCACACTTTTCTCCATGATAAGTTGGGAAACTATTCGTTTTTCATTGTTTTTCCCAGTTGCTGTATTTGCCAAGTTTGACACACATAAGTTAGACATGGGAGTACGCGAGTGTTGTATAAAATAGCTTATTACTGTGTTACATTGTGTAGTTTTTAAATATTTCCTTTAGTGATAAGTTGATACGTTTCCAAACATTACTTATGCTCCTGTCGGCTTCATTTGAATATTGATCCTTTATAGATATGATGATAAGTTAAGAAATAGTAATGCATTAATTACTTGCGAGAATGTCCCGATTGCGTGCAAGCCTTACCGTAAATAGAAAATTAAACCTTATTTCAGCGTATAAAGTTTCAAATTGCAATCAAATATACTGTTATAATGATTGACTTGGTGAATGCATTATACGGTTTCGTTGTATTAAGTTAAGGGAATAGGGTAATATTTTTTCAAAATATTGTTTCTAATTAGCATATTAACAGCGAATTCAAAGAAACTTAAATTTATGTCACAATTAAAATGTACCTACATAGGGGTATGTAAGTATCAACAAATAAACCGGGACTCTACAAACTTTTACTGACTGACAAACAGATCTGAGCCTCTGTATCTTCGAATTCTGTATCAGTTTTGTGATTTTTTTTTCTATAAAATCGCTGTAAACATCGACATTTTTGGGTCTAATGCAAGCCGGTTTTCTCACAATGTTTTTCTGCACCGTTCAAGCGAGGGTTAAATGCCCACGGATACAGTAAGTTCATGGGAGCACAGCCAGGGTTCGAATCACGAGGAATAGGAGTTGTACGCTAACACTGCTCTTTCTATTTACTCTATATTGAATGAATTACAAAAATTATGTGCTTTAAAGCAAGCAGGCTCAGTTGATGTTAAGTGATACCGCCCATAGACATCTCATTGCCAGAGAGCTCGGCGTTGCCGGCATTGGTAAGCTCTTTTCTTGAAGGACCCAAAGTCGAATTGGTTTCAAAATATCTAAGTATGCAGCTGGTTTCACATACTGCAAAAACTGTCTTAAAAACGCCTCAGCCTTGCGATTCTGTAACTCACTTTTCGAACTCACACAGCGGTTTTCGCAGCGGCGGTCGCCCTCGAAAAGTGAGTTACAGAATCGCAAGGCAGTTGTGGAATTTTCACGTCGACGGAAAAATGGTGACATTTCAGCACATTGTACACAGCCTATTAAAGAGATCCATTTAAATCGATAAAATTACCGTTCATAAATGTTTGCATCTATAATTAGGGGTGGTTTCGTTCGTTGCGTGTCCCAAATAATCTTTACGTAAGTAAATAAAACTGTAATTTGCAACGACTTTTTACAAAGTTACCTTGTTTTTATTGACTGGCACCATTTTTAACGAATAGGGAGGGATAAAAAGATGTTTTGTATATTTAACATAATCTTGTTGCTTATAAAATAGTTTTTGTATATTTTATTCAGTTTTTGACAGCTGTCGATTAGGTACAAGTACATCATTTGGCGCCTTTAAGAGACGTTTTAGAATTTAGAGGCTTTATATCTGACAATAAATATAGATTTTTTTGTTAAATTACTATATCTAATTCATTGTTAACGTCTTTTGTATTCTTTTATCATCTTTTCTTGCTAAAATTATAGCATAAATAAAGAATTTAACATTAATAATTAATTTACTACAGGTTACAACTTATAAAATAATTTTAATTTTCGTTCACTACTTTGTCTACATAAAATAAGCAGGCTTTATAAATCCATAGTCCTGCCTGCGTATATCAAATCTCATAAGGATCTGATCAGACTTAATAATAAACTTTAACCTTCCTTTTATCATTAGTATACATAAGTAATCTTATAAACAATAAGATAGATAGCTAAAAACATATAGATAGCTTGTAGCATATACTATAGGTATAGCATTATGTATGATGTGGTAAACTTCAATAAATAAATGTAGCATAAGAACTAGAAGTTAGGGGTTCTAGTTTAGTTACCCACCAGGTAGGGAGATTTCGCTTATGTATGGACAGATTTTAAGTAATTTTAAGTATAAAACGATTCTACAATTTAGTGATTTTTATTTAATTACTCGAAAAACTTTTGGTATCCATCAATGTTTTCCAAGTACATTTTTAATTTTTTTTTTTTTAGATTGGACAATTCACACCAATTTACCTAATCCCATGCTAAGCTGGTGAAGCTTGTGTTATGGGTACTAGGCAACGGATATACATACATATTATAGATAGATAAACGTATAAATACATATTTAAACACCCAAGACCTAAGCACAACACCAAATGCTTATCACATCGATGTTTGTCTCAGCCGGGGATCGAACCCGGGACCCATGGATCCGCAGTCAGGAGTACTAACCACTAGACCTATGAGCCGTCATATTAAATAATATTATAGAAGCCCCCATACGCTTCACAAATAAGTCCTTCCGACCGAGCTACGCTCGTAAAAACAGCTCGCTGAGCTGCAAGAGCAAGCCAAAAGCGAGATACTATTAATAAAAAAAGAATAATACAAATAGGTCACTCGAAGTGTTGAGAAAACTACTAAGCTGCGAGAGTAAGTGGGGAATGTGAGCTTGACGCTGGACTGTGCGAGTCGAATTCACAGCAAAAAGGTTATGTTTCTGGCTTTTCATTTTTCATTATTCTTAAACCAAATTTGATAGTTGGTAATCAGCCTAAATAACCTGATATAAAACTGACGTAACCAGTGTATACAACCCCTTCTAACAAGTCGACAGTCATCAAGTTTAGTCGCAAATCTTACCTCGTATTGATAACTTGCATTCATATCGACTTTAATTAATAATTATAATTTGAAGTGTGTTAAACTTACAGAACGCTCGTAATGAATTGGATGCTGTTTTAATTTTGTGTTTCTGAAGGTATGTTTAAGATTAGTTTTAATATTAATTTTAAAATGTTTATGTATTTGAAAAATTTTGGACTGTAGGAAAGTTATGTTACCTTAAAGAGGGGTAAAAATATGTTGAAATCGCATGAAATTTATTTGAGCGTTAGTAAAAAACGACGATAATATCTCGGAAAATATTTTTTTAACTCATTTCATAACATTAATTATTACTTAAAGATTAAACACAATATCACATTAAACTAGGGCCTGTATTCCATGTAAATAAAGATATATTCGTCATAGTTATTGTAATCCACTTACTCGGTGGCGGATTTACCAGTAGGCTGGAGCCCTGGCAAATTTGGGAACCGAATTTTTTTTGCTACCAGAAATAAAAAGATTTCCCCATGACGGTTTTCTAATGGTTTACAGATATACGTCTGCAACGAATTTTGCCGATGACTTTCCCCTTTAACTTGTCATTGTACTCTAACTTAATAAACTTACAAACTTCACAGCCTATATCTTAAAAATATGTAAATCTGCTACTCCACTTACATATTTACTTAAGTAGAATACTGTTTAGAATTTCGGAACATAGTACCATGTTACGAAGTTAACTCGACGAATTTGTCAAGTGTAAAGTTTTGGTGATACCGAACAAGTGTTGTCGAAAACTTTCGTAGATATATACTTAGATAGCAACCATTTATGCTAATAGATATCAGAGATTTGAATCTAAACTTCTCTTGGCTACGCTTTAAAAGCACGCTGGAGTTAAACTTTTTCGTTGTTCCCAAATTACTAGTTTCTTGAGTCGCCTCGAAAGGAATTTTTTTCCCCTTAAATCCTTCCAGGTATACGCGAGTCCATTAAAATTTTATTATATACGTATCTCCTAAGGCGTGATCATAGGCCACATCTCACTTAATATCAGATAGTCATTCCACTGTTGAGCAAGTGTTAATTGGAGAAAATCTCATCATCTCAATCTCTAAGCTATCGTTCTATTTATTGAAATCTTTCTCCGAAGTTGGACGCAAGAAGTATCAGATAGGTTGCAATGGCGAAAGATACTTGAGGAGTCGAAGACCAAGAAGCTGTACAGCCATTGACCATTATTATGATGATGAATCTATCTTTAAATAACGATTTCGCAGAATACGCTAGAAAAACTGGAAATTTTATTTGTAATAAAATTAAATTCATAACTGTTTAATGTAGTAGTGATATTTGAAATTCTTGGGTGACTGAAAAATGCCCCTATCTAAAATTCATCAAAACCAGTTTAGCGTTTATATACCTTTACAATACCTATATTAGTAATTCTATTTATAGTTCTTATACGTAAATATAAGATGATTGACACACAATTATTTTACAAAACATATTTTTTCATTGGGCAATAAATTATGCTTTGGTTAAATCACGAAGACCTTCGTGACTTACGACCACAAAAATAATGAAATTAGATATTTCATGGATAAAACCCTTTACGACATCGTCTTGTATTTCTGTTAGATAAATTATATTATTGTTTTTATGCAATCTGAATGATGAATACTTGGAGATGGTTCATTATTTTTATTAGAGTAACTTCTGCTCGCAATTTTGCCTGAATTTTGTGTATTTTGGGAAGATTTTTTGCGTTCTCTTTAACAATAATTTATATCAGTGAACTGACATCAAACCATAATAAATTTAATGTACACCTCAACTATTAACTGTCGAAAATTTAACAAATATCTAACCTTATGAAAAAATATAATAATATTCACATGCACCTATAGTTTCAAACAATTATTGTTTACTAACATTACTACGCTAATTGAGGAAGACTATTACTTATTCTTTTCTAGGCTAGCTATGTTTAAAATAAACAGATTAACAATACTCTTATTGCTCGGAGCAGTATTGGCCTAGTGGCGTTAGCATGCGAGTCTCATCATTGAGGTTGATCCCCGCGCGATGGACTTTCTATCTATATGCGCATTAAACATTCGCTCGAACGGTGACGGAAAACATCGCGAGGAAACCGGCATAGACCCAGAAAGTCGACGGCATGTGTCAAGCAGGAGGCCGATCACCAAGTTGACTATTAGATTGACAAATGATCATTATACACAAATCAGAGGCTAGATCTAAAAAGGTAGTAGCGCCATTAGTTTATTTTTTAATACTCTTATTAGTATTGTACGGTTCCCGGTTCATCGAGGTGCTTTAAATAACACAGGATTTTATTATATAATTAATCACCGCGTACAACAATAGAATATATGCGAAATAATTTACTGTTATTTCTCTATAAAACGAATGCTAAATGTTGAAGAGAGTGCCTACACCTAGCTATACCCTCGGTGCGTAACTACGACTATTTAGTGACCAAATGTACAGCATTGTACATATATATATATAGTATATATTCTGTGTAATATACGAATCGTTGGAATAATTATATTAAAAATATACGCTCCGATTTGTACAGCCACTTTCTTAAAAATTTGTTAATGCTTAATTATAGAAACAGAAAAAAACGTGCCGATTTGATTCCCTTTGAAGTTAACTTAGAAGCTTTGAAGTTTCAAATAGAATTCAAAAAAGTTCGCTGATGCAGCAATTTTTCTGCATTATGATAAAAACATGCAACTTTTAAACGAATTGTCGGATTGCATGAACAATTTGGTATCGCGCGCCGATATCAAAACTAAATTAGGGTTCATTAAGCTTGTTTAGCAATAATAAGTAATTTCATAATACCCATCTCTTCTGTCTGAGCGTCGTGGTCAGCAAGGAAGCATCTGGAGCGGACTATCTGTTTTTACCAGCTAAAAGAAAAAACATTAGTAGAAAATTGTTAACGAAACACAGAAAGTAAATTTTCAAATTATATCTATATAATTAACTGAAATCTAAATAACTATAATACTTTTCGAATAGCCACTTAACACTCAAATTGCCCTCTGTGGGGCTTGGGCCCTACGTTGTAAAACACTGCTGTAGAGGCTCTTGCGCGTGGGGGTAAGTGCGTGGGATCTATTGCGGGTTGGCACCCGGTAGACACTACTGGTGAACAGTGGCGTAACTATACCATCTGGAGCCCGTGGCAAATTCTTTTGGTGGGGCGCTATCAGTAAAAATCGTCACGTTGTATTCAGTTTACTCAATTACACGTTGTATGTCCTACTAATGGCCATAGGCCTCCTCTCTTAGGCGAGAGGGAATAGTCTGTAGTCCCCACGCTAGCCGAATGCGTATTGGAGACTTCACATTCATCCATAGAACATAATATATCTTGGGCAGGGGCACTCTTGGGTCGGGGGCCCGTGGCATTTTGCCAGCCCTGCCAAATGCCACCCTATTGTTACACCACTGCTGGTGAACCCAGAACTGATTTAATCACACAGTTGATCACCATTTTCTAAATTTAACTTTAAACTTTATTTTCAATTCAGTTACAATATCTAGTAAGAGAAAAATATCGAATAGTTTGTTATACGAGCTTCCCCTAACACAATTTATCAAGTTAAATGCTATTTGGGAGACAGTTGACAAATATTTGTCGTATATTTTATGGGAAAGTGGATTTCAAGTAAATTATATAGGTTGGGTGGGGTCATCAATCAAAATTATGTATAAGGGGAGTTTTTGACATTTCATACATTATTGACAAACAAAAATAAACGATTTTAAAACAAATGTTGACTTTCACTAGTATAACACTTGAAACAGATCTAATTAAAGCGTTCGACCAACCGGGCTCCAGAAGATAAACTACTCCTTATATGGAAATTGTATTCGTTTTTACAACAAACTCCCAAGCGAAATTAGAGAATTATTAGTAAATAAATTCAAAATTTGACGAATATTTAAATGATCCTCATCCTTGGGATTGATTTGCTCCAGTTAAAACTTAGCGATTAAAAACAGTGGCGGAAAATTTCTTGCCAGTTCTTCTTGCCCGCTCTACGCCCTTGACTTGCGTGGTAATAAATTTAAATTTAGAATTATTTTAACTTCTTTTCTAACGTTCATACGCGTACGTTTTACCTATGTGCATAAAGTTATTTTGACTTTATTGTTTTAGTGTTAAACAATGGGCCGTGGAAAAGAACCTGAACTGCCTACAAGCAACCCAGTGGAAGCTAAGAAGTACCGAGACGAAGCCAGTGGTCACAACAAGAATAGAAATTATGAGCGGGCTCTTGCTTCGCTTGCTAAGGTTAGTGCTAATGTCAGTACCCTTTGGCTGGTCCCGTTGATTTGAAACATATTTACATCGGCCATGGGCAGATCGTGAATTTGTTGGGAAGTCCCCCGTAATAGACGCGCGAAAAAATACACCGACCGAAAACAAGCGACGGGGAATTCCCCGTTCCGTTCGATAGGCGCGCATCGCACATTGTATTGGTTGATTGATCTCAGAGAATATTTTTGTTTGAAATGTAATAGGAGGCAAACGGGCAGGAGGCTCACCTGATGTTAAGTGATACCGCCGCCCATGGACACTCTCAATGCCAGAGGGCTCGCGAGTGCGTTGCCGGCCTTTTAAGAATTGGTACGCTCTTTTCTTGAAGGACCGTAAGTCGAATTGGTTCGGAAATACTTTAGTAGGCAGCTGGTTCCACATAGTGGTGGTGCGCGGCAAAAACTGCCTTAAGAATCGCTCAGTTGTGAAAAGACGGACGTCGAGGTGAAACGGATAGTATTTTGTATTTTGCCTTGACGTCCGATGATGTAACTCAGCTGCAGGTATATTATGATTGGATATTTTTAAATTTCAGATGTTTTTTTAAATTTAAAATATCGCCTATTTTTATTTGTGTGGACTGATCACTGGGGGCCCTTTGTTTCCTCGAGGCTCTGGGCTGCCCAAAAAGCCCTCAAGTAAATCCGCCCCTGACATCGGCAGACTATAAAGTATAAAGATCTAGGGGCACGGCAGTGCGGACGCCAAGTCGAGCAAAAAAGCGGCACGTCATCCTTTTGCCAGTTCAGGCCATTTTCGACCTCCTATAACTTCGTTGTGTTTAAAATTAGACTTGAATTTTGTCAATGAGTGGTTAAAACATATTTGTAATATTGATATGATCACTATAAGTTGTTAGATTGATTACGTAATAACTAAAGACAGAAGATCCCTTAAGTAGGGACTGAATTAACCGATTTGGTATTACATGGATCTCACAACTATTTACGAAAGAACTGCGTTGCGAGACTTAGTTTATTTACAAGTTTTGTTTTTGATGGCTTGTATTGTATTTTATACACAAAGACTTATCCTATAATTGATTAAATAATAAATTGGTCTAATTGCTTTTAAATAAAGTACTCTTATGTCTCTTTCTGTCAAATTTAGTTTACGCTGATACCCAAAACTCATAATTAAATTACAAAGTGTGGGAGCTCGTTGCTGCTCAGGTTTGCTTTCTTACAAGAGATTATCTATCTTCTACGTAACTTATATTAAAGTGTCCCACGGCCTTTACAATTTGATACCATGGAACAATTGGTACTTAGATTTTCAATGCCTTTTTAAAAACATTATTTGTCTTAAGGAACATCTTTGTACCTTCAAAATAATAAAATCTCTAGCAGTTTAAATAAAGAAGTGTTTACGCTCTGTTATAGAGATATTAATATTTATAGTAGAGTGCCTGGAGCATTCAAAACCTTAAAACCTCGGACTAGAGTTACAGTGAATTAATGAATATGATCGATGTGGGATATCGTTTTTTACACTATAAATTGCAATGTTTACCCAAAATTTTTTAGTGCACTCCATTGTTTAAAAAAATTATTATGAAGAATTAATGTTTGACCATATATTTTCACTTTAAACAGTAATTTTTTTTATTTATATGTTAAATCTTACCTGAGTAGACATATAGGAACATTTTTCAAAGATACCTGTGTATAAAAATAGCAGTAGGGATCTCGAACAGGTAGAAAAACGTGGAGGGGAGATCGTGTTACTTGCAACTAAACTGGCCGTAAAATTCCATAATCAATTGGACATAGCAGCTGGCGCTCCGCCATTTATTTTATAAATAATAAAAACTGTTTAAAGTGAAAATATATGGTCAAACATTAATTCTTCATAATAATTTTTTTAAACAATGAAACAATGGAGTGCACAAAAAAAATTTGGGTAAACATTGCAATTTATAGTGTAAAAAACGATATCCCACATCGATCATATTAATTAATTCACTGTAACTCTAGTCCGAGGTGAAAACCCCCAGGCGCTATGCTATTTATTCTATTTTTTATATTTATTTTATTATATTTGCAATAAAATTATCTTATAACCATGTCCTCAATGCAAGCAACATGTCATCCATACGACCCGTCCGACCATACTATTGAACTCGGAGGCGATAAGAGTGTGGGAAAACACATTCAGTCGCCATGACAACCACAGCTCGGGCGTCGAAATCGATGACACTTCACACATCTTTACATAACCATACGCGCAAATCATGGACAACGAAGACAACGCAAAAGCACAAGCCCGTTCCATCCTTGGACCTACAAAAGACGCAGAATTCCTACAAAGTTTCGTACGGATCGGCGTTGGCGATGAGGAGGAGGAAACCCCAGTCCCCAAAGCTTCGATCAGCAAGCGAGCCCCGCCCGCAGAGAAGACCGACACCATTGAAGATGAGCAGCCAGAAGATAGAAAGGAGTCGCTCAAGCCGAAGAGGAAGAGTGGACGCAAGCCAAAACGTGAAAGACGGATTCGTCAAGAGGAGTTGTATACTGATAAGGATCGGGCAGCGGCTGTTGTGATGGGGTCTAAAGACATTAAATTCTCCCTCAATATGAAGGACAAGGCGGAAAGGAGCAGTGCTTTACAAATTCCAGCGGAGGCGGATGCTGGAACACTATTAGCGTTGGCGCGTGCGGAGATGATGCGGGAGCGGTACCGTACGGCGCTGATGTTTGTGGATAAGGTATATTTAAAACTAAGGAGAGTGATTCGAATTGAGCTATTATGTGGGCTGAAAAGTTCGTAGGCTGACACATAGATTTTTAGTTAGCCCCAACCTTCGAAAGACACGTGTATAAATTAAACTGTCGTACTATTAGTTTGTGAGAAAAATACTATATGTATTTGAGTAAAGGGACTTTAATTTGTTTGTTTAAAAAAAGGATAAACGGAATTTCGTGTGTTAATGAAGCATTGCTTTTTGGCAAAAACACTATTGAAGCCAAGGCTTGGCTTGATAAACATGATTCGGACTCCAGAAAATCTACTGTTGAGAAGTAGGTTGCGAATTTTGCTTCTTCTGCTTAATTCTTTGTTTTGTTTGTTTTATTTTATTGTTATTTTGTTTTATCACTGTTTTTGTTCCTACTTGATTTCGCTGGTATTCCGCTTGTTGTAGGAACGGTATTTCATATTTTTGTATGTACGTCAATTCCGTTTGTTTGTATAATAAAAAACAAATTAACGTAGCCGAAAAATTTAAATATTTAGACATTACATATTATTTTATTTATTTATTCACAAAAAAACATACACTATCATATTACAGTACTAAACCAATACGATAATGTCGAAAAATATATAATATACATAAGATACACAATATCGCTACTGCGAACTAACTCTGTTAACATATAAAGTAAGAATAGAATTCAGCAGGCGCAACTTCTTTGTTAACGGGGATCTGTGCAACAGACTGGTTCTGGCCCTTGGTATCATCACAAACCTTGGCTTTCGCCGTCCCACTTATCCCCTATGTCAAAGAAAGTAGTACTCTGGTAGTAAATGTAAATTTACAATTCCTTTAACTTCTTTTTCACGTTTATAAGTATACTTGTTTACCGATATGAATAGAGATATTTTGAGTTTGAGTTTAAACCGAGGTCTTGGAGAAGATTTGGGTTGCTCACCATCCCATATTATGTATGTTCACTAAAAATAAGATCAGATGAATATAATTATGATTTAATTATAATTACATTTAATCCTACTTTAATATGATCCAGAATTAAAAGTACCGTGACCGCGTTTGACGATCTTTTGAAAGTAAAATTTGACTTTGTATTACCGTAAATAAAACCGTATAGTTATAGTAGTATACCTATTGAGCAACAGTAATACAATAGTACCTATCTCGAGTTAACTTTGAAATGAAATATTTATCAAAACATTTTAAACACAATGTCCTGACTGACTGTCCAGTGTATGCCTACGACAGGTACAACACTGAACAAATTATAGGAGTGAACGTAACAGAGACTAACTTCAAATAAATAATGGTGAACAAAGCTTTAAAGACCTTTCAAAAGTTTGCCGTAAATAGAATACAAAACAAAAACATAAATAAATAGTTCTTAATCATACTAGCAAAGATATTAGTAATTAAGATATTAGAGCAACTCATGGCCATGTGTAATACCTTTTCAGAATCCCTATTAAATGCGCCAAAACTTGTAATACAGGGTCACTTTTCGGTAGAGTATTTTTTTTCACAGTGGGGTCCGAAGTAAACAAAAACTTATGATTTGAGACATTTTTATATCGTATAACTTAATATTATCTTCAATACACTCAATAAACAATCATAAACTGCATGTCTAACGCAAGGACTAATCGGTACCAATCTAATGGTTATTATGAAAAAGATTTTTTCGAATTTTAATAAGATAGCATAAAAAGTAAATTTTCTTATAAAAATGCAAAATAAGTTTCAGAACCTCCCGTAGAACAATTTTTGCAGCTAATGACCTAATCTATCCCCTAGTTGCGTTTGATCCACGACTTTTTGGCCACCCTGTATATAGTCAAAATCTGTTATAACGACATCGAAGGGACCACTCTAATTTGGTCGTAAAAACCAAGAGTCGTAATACCTACCTTATACAATAGAATCCAGCCGGGACCTTTGATTTTGGTAAGTTGTTTTAAACGATGTCGTCGTAAACGGTCTTGACCTTATATGTATACTCTCACACAGAATATGAATATAGTCTGTGTTTCATCATCCATCTTAATTAATGTGTCAAGTGTGTGAGTCCTCAATTATAGGGATATCTTGAGCTGTATCAAACTAATGTTTTAGGCTATTGAGCTAGCACCAGAGGACAAGGCAGCCTACGTCGCGCGTAGCAAATGTTACCTATTACTCGGCGAGCCCCGATCAGCTTTAGAGGATGCGGAAACGGCTCTCAAACTTGATCCGAAACATGCAAAGGCTTTACTGCAGAAGGCTGAATCCTTATACTATTGTGGGGAGTTCGAAATGAGTCTAGTGCATTACCATAGAGGCCTACGCGCACGACCTGATTTAAGTGAATTTAGACTTGGCGTTCAAAAGGCACAGGTAATTAATATTGTTTCTAAAACGAGACTAATTAAAAAAAAAGGTTTAATTTAAAGCTTGTCAGGTGAAACTCAGCTTAACACAAGAGTAGTGTTGGCCTAGCTTCAGCGTGCGACTCTCATCCCTGATGAGACCAACACCAATGGACTTTCTATAATGCAAGGGTTATGGATACTAGACCAATTATAAACGGTGAGGAATTGAATCTGGATGATACAACTGTATTTCTCGGAATCACCATGGATTCAAAACTTCAGTGGTCCCCTCATATTAACGGATTGGCGAAGAGACTTAGTTCTGCAGCCTACGCGGTTAAAAAAATTCGCTCACTAACTGATGTCGATACAGCTAGACTTGTTTATTTTAGTTACTTTCATAGCTTAATGACTTATGGCTTATTATTATGGGGTCATGCTGCTGATGTCGAAACTATTTTCATCCTGCAGAAGAGGGCTATTCGTGCAATCTATAATTTAAAATGTAGGGAATCTCTTAGAGATAAATTCAAGGAAATTAATATACTTACCTTTCCCTCGCAATATATTTATGAAAATATTATGTATGTATACAAAAATAGTGATAAGTTTACTAGAATAGAACATACGCACAATGTTAATACACGGAACAAACGCAGGCTGCAATTTCCCCGTACTAGACTATCTAAAGTTAGTAATTCTTTTTTGGGGAAAGGGATACTCTTCTTTAATAAAATCCCAGAGGCTCTTTTATCACTGCCTTTCAATAAATTTAAGAAATGTATTAAAGAAAAGCTGTGTAAAAAGGCTTACTATAAAGTCAACGATTATCTAGTTGATAAAAGGGCCTGGGACTAGTGCTAGACAGGCTACTTCTAATCAATTTGCGATATTTGTTTTAAATAAGTGTTGTTTGATGATTTGCTGTTTTAAAAGAGTACCGAGAGTTTTTTACGCCGGCTTTTTCTCTCGGCCTACACCCTCTGTCTTCTTTGCCGATGAGTAGGGATGCCTTCAAATTTAATGACGTGGAATAAGTGATACATGTATCTTATGTTCCATAATAAACATATTTTATTTTATTTATTTTATTTCTATTGCGCATTTAAGATTTGCTCGAACGGTGAAGGAATAGCATAAAAATCGTAAGGAAAGGCAAGCTTACATGCAAAAAGCCGACGGCGTGTGCGTGTGTACTTGCCTATTAGATTGACAAATGATCACCGAACAGTGACAGAAATCGGCCCAATCATATGGGTTTATAGCGCCGCAAGTTATTATTATTATTATTTTTTTAAGACAATTCACACCAATTGCCCGAGTCCCATGCTAAGCTGGTGAAGCTTGTGTTATGGGTACTAGGCAACGGATATACATACATATTATAGATAGATAGACATATAAATACATATTTAAACACCCAAGACCTAAGCACAACACCAAATTCTCATCACATCGATGTTCGTCTCAGCCGGGGATCGAACCCGGGACCCATGGATTCGCAGTAAGGGGTACTAACCACTAGACCAATGAGTCGTCGTAGTTATGACTTGCAACTATAATTTACAATACTTTCCCGTTTGATAATAGGCTGTACCTAAAAATAAATCGGGATGTTGTCGTCGGTCAGACCGTAAGGACTGACTTCGCCAGACGCAAAATGCAAGCAGACTATATCTATAATAAATTAAATAGGCTGGTCTATATACCCGCTTACCGTCTACAATCTAAAAATTCGAAAGGACTGGCTTATGAGCATATCTTACGCAGTGTTAGAGATGCTTTTGAGACCTAGTATGTAGTTACACACTTTATTCATTCACTCACTGACTCACTCACTCACTTACACATTTGCACCCACACACTCACTCATGCACTCAGGTGTGTTGATAACAGTTGAAAAATCAAAAATAAAAGTAAATAAAATAAAAGATGTAATTAAATTATGTATAAATATATTTTAAGAAATTTATAATTACGTTTGTTATGGAAGAGCTGGGAACCCTGCCACAGGTATTTCTTACTTAAAAGGGTTCCCAAATCTTACACATTATAATGCATATGTACTTAAAATGAATAAACACATTTTTTTTTATTATTTATCCTCAAAAAGCATTTTACTTTTTCAGGAAGCCATAGAGAATACAATAGGATCCGTAAAACAAGTGAAAAGCGGTGGTAAGAGGAACAGTAAACAGTCCAGGCCAGTGCTGGGACAGCTGATGTCTGATAAACTCTATCTGGAGAACCTTCTGAAGAACCCTGACTTAGCTATTGCTGATAAGAAAAATGACGTCGTGCTGAAGCAGGCGGAGGAGGCTATACGCTTTTTGGAGAATAGGGAGGAATTCTGGAGGCAACAACAAAGCGCGAATCGTCACTAAGTTTTAGTTATCTAATATATAAAATTCTCGTGAACATTTTTTTTTGTTTTAATTTTTTTATAATGCAGCATACAAAAATTCATACAACGCCCAATTTTCACCCCTCTACGATCAGCCCCTATTTTTTTATTATAGTATATAGTTATTTTTATTGAACTAAAAAAATGTTTCCTAGACATAATATACATGGCAAAACAACGTTTGCCGGGTTAGCTAGTTGTTTTATTTAAGTGTTATATCATTTATTAATGGTCTTGAATTTTTTTTTCTTATTTATCAGGGCTGTATTATAAAAATAATATACTTAAATGTTCGAGGAAGATATTGCGTCAGTTATGTATAAATATTTGTGTTTAGACATTATTTCATTTTATTAACTATATGTATTTTTGCACTTCTGGCTTACTTTATCAAATTGATTTTTTTTCCACCGTGGTTTCTGGTTCAGAGATCGCTCGAAAGCGCCATAAGGCCGCCAGCCAGTCCTTTTCATTTAATTATGTCAATTATGTTTCTGCAACGAAGTGTTAATAAATAAATTGTGGAATAATGTTGATATAATAATGTTGCCAGTGTTATTTCGATAAATATAACTAAATTAAAAACAGTGTTTTAAAATTAATTCCTCAAATTTACTATATTAATGTTTACAATTTATTCCATCTTCTGTTTCAAAGTATTTTTTTATAAAATGTCTTCGCACAAAGACATTTAACATTAGATCTAGACTAAAAAGCAATTTAAAACCGACGTGATTTACTAAAATGGATATTTAACATAAGTAAGTTTCCAATAACACTACTTTCATTACCTAGGAGATGATACTCTGTTCTTTTGTACCCTTTTAATTAAGTAAACAGAAAAGTTTTTGTCCGACAATTCAGTGATTGGGTGACTTAAACCTAAAGGTTCCAAATTTTAAAATTCATTTGTGTTAAAATAGAAATACGACATGCGTTCTGTTGCAAGGTATTTAATGTAATTTATTTATAATATTCAGAATTTCTTTAGTTATTAGGCCGAAATGAAACTCATTTATACTTAATAGAGACTTTATTATAGAAATATACGTACTGCATTCTTCTGGAACTATTTTCCATGAGAAAAATAAAACCACCTGGTGTCGCCGGAGGCTGCAAAACTGTTTAATTTTTATTTATTATTTGATGTTGCTGCAATTATCCGTTCGCATATATCCTCCAGGTACATTGTGTGTACGGGTGTGTCATTAACTGAGCTTTTGTCACAGCCACGTTTGTTTTCTGCTGTAGTTCATACCTGGATGAAGCATGACATATTAGTGTGTTTCTGACACGCTATAAATTACATTTGGGAAAGTGGACACTTTATATCTTTAATTGCCTGAATTATGACACGTCTGGATTACCGCGAGATCTGACGCTAAATCGTAACCATCCAAAGCAAGAGGGTATGGAAAACATACAAAAAACCGCTCGGAATTTGAACATTCAGTAGTAGGTAAGTCAAGATGACTAGGTATAACTAACTATATGGAGTCGACGCTGTTTATTCTGGGTATGGTGGGCTATGACCAACTACGCTTTATAAGAGCTTGTATTGTCAGTGTACTTATTCAGGATACCTACGAGTCGGGTGTATAATGTGGATTTAATGGAGAGAGGGTTCCAAGCAAGGGCCTGAGGCGGAACAACTTTTGGATTTAAGATCTATGTGCCAGCCATTTTGGAGCCAACAGGCATTGCTAGAGACAATGGCAAGCGGCCGGATGGGATGTCTTTGATCCCTTGGAAGATGAGACGGGCTTTGGATGCTACTTGTGTCGACTCGTTAGCCCCGTCTCACCTCCCTCGAGCATGGAAAAAAAAATGGGCGGCTATATATAAGAGTCTTCTTCCAACTTCGATTTTGTTCCCTTTGGAGTAGAGACTCGGGCCGTGGGGTTCAAATGCACAGGCACTTATTAAAGATTTAAATTGGCGCCTGGTAGATAGTACCGGTGACCGGTGGCTGGTGCTTTCCTTGCTCAACGAATAAGTATCGCAATACAGCGAGGAAAACTCCTAAACAAACTGCCATAGGGACCAAACTTTTTAAATTTGTTTTACTTTTACTTTTTATTATTACTATGTAGGTTAAGAAAATTGTAAATACCATAATTATATTATATTATATAATTATATAATTATAGGTTATAACGAATGTATAATCATATATATATTTTTATTTTGAATTGAAGGGAAATAAATAACGCGTCTGCTAAATGCTCTATTTTCGGTTTCATATTTGTAGGTAGGTGATTGTTATATTTTATAAAGCATCAAAATTACATCCTATTTCCCTGAAACGATGAATGTGAAGGACATCTATCATCATTATAAGGTGCAAAATATAGATAATTATATCGCAATTAATTTAAATAATATATAAAAGGTAGATGGAAAATATTCTCAAACAGTGTGTTACAATGAACGGTTACAGTTGGTTCCTGGTGTTTTTACTTATGAAGGTGAGTTTTTGGTTTATTTATATATGTATAATCTATTTCCTTTTTACTATATAGATAAGACTTCCATTGCTTTTCCTCGCACATAGCGACGTGCGGTTCTACGTGACAAAATATTTTATTTTAAAGTCTAAACGCGCAGGAGGCTCATCTGATGTTAAGTGATACCGCCGCTCATAGACACATTGCCAGAGGGCTCGCAAGTGCGTTGTCGGCCTTTAAATCTAGTCATTCAATTACTGTCTCGTCTAGAAGCAACTAGTATCCAAGACTCACTCTGAACGGAGATAAGACGAAAGTAATGATATACCGAGTTGGACAATCGACGTATTCAGATCATTGCTAACTGCAAAGTAATACAATAATATATACCTTTTTTTGTGGGGAAATGCGTACTGATATACTCCCTCGGCTCCACTGCTTTGTGGTGGAGGGGGAGTCGCTACTGTGCAAACTGATTAAAACCCTACGCCGTCTCCAGCAATTGCCCGAGGCAGGTCAAGGTAACAGCATAAACTTGTCCGCATCACGCCACGCGATGAACCGTTGAAATCACGGCCCCTATGCCCATGAATAATGTGAAATGGACCTTGGTACAGCAAGGGCTTTACTTACATCAGCCAATTGGCCTTGGTTTGTAGAGCTGGGGGAGGTCGGTTGCAATGCTTACAAGAATGCGTCAGCAACACTTCTATTGGACGCATGAACCCTTGTTCCCTCGCTGAAGCGTGACCAGGATTACACTACGCGTTGTAAGGTAGAACGGCGACGCTGTGGTCTCTTATGACGCTGCGGGATCGTTTTCCTTGCCCTTTCCATCATTTCTTAATGGGCCACGAAGACCTCGAAGAATCGCTGGAAGATTTCCTTGTGCCGACCTACGTTAAACTCCATATACCTTGGAGCTACTATCTCGAATAGTGCTGGGTGAAGACGAAATACGATGTGCAATAACGAGATACGCAGTTGAGCGTTTGGGTAATGTTTGGAAGGGGAATAACCAAAAAGTCCAAGTACGCTCTTTTCTTTAAGGACCCTAAGTCGAATTGGTTTATTTATTTATTTAGTTATAAAGCCCACAACATCACACACAGTCATAAGTCCACCAACTATTTCACAAAATCCCACATCTAAAATGTGTGACAGTTAATGCAAGCATAAGTTTCTCAGTAAAAAAAATCAAATAGAAATTAAAAAAAAACACAACTAAAACACACACGACAATGCAAGCACACATTAAAATAAAATCAATTTTTTAACATAAACATAAAATAAAATAAAATTTTCAACAACTATGTGCAGAAAAAAAAGAAAAATCATCAGAAAAAAAGAAATTAGGTTCTAGAAAGGCACCCCACAATGCTTTCTCTAAAACCGATCAGCCCACTACCGAATATATCCAGCTCTGGATACGCTGTGTTCAGTTTGTTGAAATCGCGAAGAATTCGAACGAGAGGTGCCTGAACTCCTAGGTTGGTTTTGGCAGATGGAATTTGGAATATATTGTTAATTTTAAACCTAGGGAATGAGTAAGGGACGACAAATTTGATTTCCTGTAAAAGGTCACTGTTCTGTAAATGGTTGTTGAGCAATTTATACAAGAATGTAACACCGGCTAGAGCTCTCCGATTGTTAAGAGATAACATATTAAATTTTTTAAGTCGCTGATGGTACGGTTGTCTATGTGAAAATCCTCTGCTTATGAAAGCTAGGTGTCGCGTAAAAGATCTTTGTATGCTTTCAACGCGTTGCGAATGGATCGCATATAGTGGATTCCATATAATACTACCAAACTCAACATGACTGCGCACCAGAGCGTTGTACAAAATTGTTTTAGTCGTACAACCAAAACCAAAAAAATGGTTCGGAAATACTTCAATGGGCAGCTGGTTCTGGCACTCTAGACGTGTAAAATAACATCACGATGAAAGAAAATTACTCCTACATTCATTTTAAAGTTGTCAACTTTGCCATAATTCTTACATAATCTAACCACTCTAATCTATGCGTAATAAATTACAAAAAGTTATATTCGTGTTCGTTTATGAACATAAATAAAAATATATGTTTTATTTGTTCAGATAGCAGCAGGTGCAGATGATGCTCTACCAGCATGTATCAATTTATTAGTGGCTGAGGTAAGGACTTATGTACAAAATGTGTAGAAAGCGTATCTACATGCAGGATAAATAAACTGCTAACTATCCCTAAAAATAGAACAGTGTGGTTTCGCGGTAGTTTTCTATACAATGCTGGAACAGTCCGCCACCTTCAATCCGTGACATCCAAGGCATAACGTCTTTCAAAATAAAATGCAAAAGTCATATTTGGAATGTCAGTCGCGTTGGGACTTTACTTGAATTGTCTCATGTTTTATTTATTTATTTAATAATTTCATGATGTATTTTAATTGTTAAAATATTTGGTTTGTTCAGTGTATATTGCTGACTCTCCACGATAGTATAGATACACTAAAAATCAGTGTTGCTGGTTAAATGATAAATCCAAGATTAAGAGGGGAAGATTATAAATCATACATCACAGCTTGTGCCTTATCTCAGGCCGTCAATATTAAAATAATAAAAAAAGCAATGGTGCTAGAACCTTTAGTCTTGGCCTTAGAAGTCTCTATCTGTTTCTGTGATCATTTGCTTTTTCTAATAAGCACGTAGATTATCAGACTTTTGTGCCTAACTAAGGCAAGCCGGTTTGTCAGAATGTTCTCCCTCACTGTACAAGCAAGTGTTAAATGCGCACATAGACACAAAGTCCAGTGACGCACAGCCGGGACGGCTGACTCTGGGATGATAGTCGCACGCTGAATCACTAAAAAAATTATATAAATAATATTAAGCTGATCTCCAGAACACACTTAAAAAACCCAAACATACGTTAAAAATATTAGTAAGCTAGTAGGTATTTTTGTCTAGTTAGACCGATATGTCAACTACAGTACAATAATTATAAACTTAATTTTTATAGGATGACGAATGCTGCGATAGTCTTAAAATCTTTAAATCACTGGACGAGGCGGAAAAAGAGTGCGCTAAAGATTCTAAAGACATGACTGTACGTATACTTGCCATCAATAAAGTTTATCACCAGACATTTATTAGTTAATTTACTAACCTTTGATTGGTAAGTAAAAAAGAGATTTGAATGTTGAATGTGCATATGTGCACACATTCTCTTGATATGACGTCATGTTTTATTACGGGAAATCCGGCTCGAAGGACCACAAAGATGTATCTAGCTAACTCTTTATTTTTGGGTAAAACAAAGAAATAACATGATAGTCTTTGTTTTTTTCTTCTTTATACAAAATATGTGATAAGTAAGTATAAGTCAAATATATAAATTTTTGTATATAGCCATATACGTATTACTGCCCTCATATCCGCCTAACTGTCCTAAGATTACGTTAAACTTTTTTGCTCAGGTTAAGAAAGCCAATAATATAAGGTCGTGTCTGCTAATCTCATCAACCTTCAAATATTCTTTTAAAATTTGAAGGGCAAATATTACTTCGTTCATAACGTGACTTACCTCAACCGGCATCTTCTGCGTTTCATCAAAATAATAACCGTTATTTCAGTGCGATAACTACAAGTGTATTTTGGAGAAGAAAGGCCTCCTCAAAGGAGATATTCTAGATGAAGAGGCCACTAAGGTGTTCTTCGCTGCTATTGCTGATGAGTATCCTGGAGAGAAGGGTGTGGTTAAGAAAATGGAGGAGACCTGCTACAACGGAAAGAACATGGACTTCGACCTTTTGGATGAAAATTGTCCTATACTAAACTTCTACATTTGCGCCTACGTTAGTGTGCTTTTGGTAAGTTTTAGCTAGATTTTAAGTGAATCTTAAAAGCTTCAGCTTCAGCTAGTGTTATTGGGCGCTGGTTCCACATAACCTCAAGCAAAGGTTGCCCCAAATTTTATAAAAAATAGCGTATTGTTAGGGAGAGCATTTAAACTCAAACTCAAAATAACTTTATTCATTTAGGTAAACAAGTACACTTATGAACGTCAGAAAAAAGTTTAGTTAATTCCAAATTTACGTCAAGGGCGTAGAGCGGGCAAGAAACTCTCCGCCTCTCTTTTTAATCGCTAAGTTTTGAGTCATACAAATTGTTTGAACTGGAGCAAATCAATCCCAAGGAAGGATCATTTAAATATTCGTCAAATTTATACAAAGCTTTATTGATTAATTTACGTTTAACGATATCTTTGAATTAATTTAGTAATTCTCTAATTTCGCTTGGGAGTTATAAAAACGAATACAATTTCCATTTAAGTGGTTTATAATACCTATTAGGCGTGCAATTCTAAGCCCTGTACCTGGTGCAAACCTCGACTTTACACCAATGGATTTGTGTCTGCCATAAAAACTTGGTAAATATCAAATAATGGCCTTAATTTATAGTATAGGGGGGCAAAAAGGCCAGTCATCGTAGCCCCAAACGCACCCATTTTAAGTATGTGATAATTTAAACAATTGGAGGTCGTATCATTCAGGGATCACACCAGGAATCGATACCACAGCTTGCAAATTCGCAAGAGCCAGGGTTCAAGACTATTGAAATTGGTAATATTTTTATCTACCTTGTTACAGGAATGCACATCATGGAAAAGTATGCCACATTGTCAAAAAATCTCCGACGATGCAAAAACTTGCAAGATTGAACTCTCAAAACTTTAAAATAAAATAAAGCATTACAAGAAATATATTTTTATTGTTCATACGGCTTCAATCTCATTACATACAGTTATACCTTACACAAAATAGTATTTATGAACCAGACACTATATTAAAAAATATACAATATTTACAGGTACTATATACAATTAACAAAATTCACACATACTAATGCACGCTATAAAAATAAGGGTACGTGAACTTCGAATATTGTACGTACCACATATCTCCAAGTTAAACAGCTCTACGGTCTGAACTACTTGAAGTTTGTCCAAAGAGAAGAGAGAGAGAGAGTAGCGAGACTGTTCAATACAAGATCTAAACAATGTTGTCAAAGTAATATAATAAAATATTTAACTAATGCAAACAAATAGGTGGTTTTAAAGTCACGCAGCATTGTGGGGCATGTAGGTGACCCGGTGCCTACGTATACGAAAAAATTACTTCGCTGAGAACCGAACCCCGTACCTTTAATTACTGGGTTCTGAAGTACCCACTAAGCTTCGGACGTGTTTTGCACTATACAATTAAAATATTGCACCATATTTCGCAAAAAAATCATGTTTTTCACTTTCAATAAATCATTGTGTGTAAAAATAATAAATTTCTTTACTTTGTCATTTTATGTAAAAACATCATAGCTCATATACACATTAATTTATATATTTCCATTGGTCATTATGTATTATAAAGGGTTCTTAACATAAAATCCTTATTAATAGTAATAACATGGCAACAAGTACGTATTCTACGAGCGCTGCACTTTTAAGAAACTGTGAAAAGGAGACAAGAGTGAAAGAGATAAACATATGTCACTCATTCACACACTCACTCCGCTCTGCGACACAAAAAGTTAAACATGTCAGATAGGTTTTAATGTTTTTTAGGCATGTCAAGCGTGCTCCACATTTGTGGGTTCTAACCCCAGTTGTAACGATGTTTTTCTATTTGCAATATGAACGGCGAAGGAAAACATGTGAGGAAATAGGTCTTAGACACCAACATCGAATCGAAATCCTGAATATTTTTTATATATAAGGTAGAGCTATTTATATTAAAATAAGATTTCTCAGTTAATTTTACATAAAAAGCTCGAGCATAATTCACAAAAGCATAAAACACACTAGCTATATACATATGTAAAATGAGGCTGTCTTTATCTTGTATGAAGTGTAGACAGAGACAAAACATCAATTATCACTACTAAAAATAATTTAAAACATTCGATTGAACATCAATAGTCAATAACACTGTCTCTTTCTTTATTATAGAAAATGACAAGGACCCATTCATAGTACTTGTTTAGGCCGATGTTCTCTGATCGATTAAATACTTCGTTCAGAAATATCGTTATAATTGACAAATTATTACTACACACCTAATACTGTACTTATATTATTCGAGCCCTAAAAATCCCAATCGGAGATCATTGAAAATTAAAAAAAAACATATGTAGTGCAGGCCACGATGACACTCTTAATATTAAAAAAATCTAGAAATTACTGTAACACACTTTTCTATACAAATTACGATTTAGGAACTTGGATACTATTTAAATTAATAAGAATGTTTTAAACACAGAAACAAGTGGTAGGTATAACAGTTAATTACTGTACAAATTATGATGGATTTTTGTATTGTGTCTATAGATAGTGAGTTAACGAAGTCCGAATCTATCAGTGAATTCACTACACAATTATAAATATGTTAACGCGTCATCATGGATTGCACTAAAAAAATAATGAATTTACAATACGTAAGATTACTATTTACAAATCTTATTAGAACATGATTTTAACGGCTAAAAACTTTTGCAGTTTCGTCGACATTAAAGTGCTTTTAAAAACTTTTTGGTCGATGATTCCAAAAATACTTAGAACTAATATTTTCTATATATTACAGAAAGAGTTGAGATTGAACTTGACCCACATGTCATTATAGTCATAGATAAGATTCAATTAATCTACCAAAATAATGTTAAATCAATGTAATACAGGGTGTTAAGTCAATATCATTGAACAGATTCATACATGAAATCACTCAACACACTGTCTATGTCCGATTGTGTGAGTATTTAGCAAATTTTGATTTTCAATATAAGTTGTCATTAATGAAACTTGCTCTTATAATTATAAAAATCTTATGATTTCTAATGTTTATTTACTAGTCAACAAAGTGAGCTGTTTAGGTACAATTTTCATGTGTACTGTCTAACATATAAGAAATATATAGTAACATCAAAGGTCACATTTATATGCATTGCCAGCAATCAGAATTCATAATTTATATAATCAAATCATAATTAACATTTACAACATCTTGGACCTTATCTCACTAAATGAAGGTATTTTGTCAGAAACATAGAAGATAATTCTAATAATCTATAAATATTAATTTTTCGTCAATACAAGTCGGTTTAATTCATTATAGTTTACGAATTTAATGTCAATATCATCACAAAAATCTTCTCAAATTCAGATTATGTCTACGAACTTCACACCATTGGGTACGTAACAATTTTAACTAAACTGCTCTAGTCATTTGACGGCTAACTCACATTTCTATGTATGACAATACTTCACTTAATTCACATTGCTCTCGTCAGCTGTTGGCTAACTTCACACGAAAGTTCTAGCCAGCTTTCATGATCACAGCTAATATGGAAAGCTATTATACATAGCTTTTATCTTCAGCACGTGCTAGTCGGCTTCTTCAGGTGGTCGTTGGTAAATGGGACCAAACTTGGCCATGTACTTTTTGACGAACATTTTGGCCTTTGACCGTACAGAGTCAGTCACCACCAGCTCTTCTACTGTCCGGCAATGCTTAAGTTCTTTTAGCATCACGAAGTGAGTTAGCTGAAAAATAAATTATATTATTGCATATATATAAAACTGAGGTTTATGGTTTCATTTTATATATAGGTTGTGCAATATTTTTACCCTTATCACTTAAGTGTCTAAGTGTAAATTTTTAAAATTATTTAGGGCTTATAAAGTGACACAAGTGCCTTCACTATTTGGGAACATTTTTGAAATGAACTAGACTAGTCAGAACAGTTTCGAAAACGGTCGAGTAGTTTAGTGATATTTGTAGATGAAATATGTATTTTATTATTAGGCGAATAAATATATTTATTTCATAATCCTACAACTAAAATAAATTATATATAACAAAAAACAATTATACTAAAGATGCAATTATACAAAAAGGATTAAACATTAACGAAAGGAAAAAATCTAAAAAAATATTAAATACATTTAACTAAGTAATACATAAATCGACTGTTTGTGTGTGTGTGTGACATGGTGTAAAAGTGAGGGTGTGTATGTTCATGATGCGGGTGATTTTGTGATATGGATATTCTTAATAATCCTTTTAAAGATTCCGCGATAGCTTAAACAAGTCAAGGCTTAAATAGTGGTCGTTGTATGTCCAGGCTGCGCTATATATTTTATTATTGACACTTTAGTCAGTCACCGTTGATTAACATTACCTTTCTAGCAAGATGTTTGAAGTCAGCCGTACAGGTGATGCGACCGGCGGGGGCTGACGAGTGACGATATGGGTTCAAATGTTGCACCTGGAAAAAAATTGTGTTATGACACCGGAAGAAATCAAAATCCGCAAGTTCATAAATTTTCTAAGAAACTTTCGTAGGATTCTAAAGGAGAAATAAAATGTATTATTTTACGCCCACATTTTCGCAAATTGATAAACTTACCGAACTCACGCGTAAATAGATGTAACAAAGTCAAAAATCATTTAATCATATAGGTAACACAATGTACACATAGATGGTCAAAAAAAAAGGGTGTTTGTACTTATGTACGCGCGTAAGAAGTTATACTTCTTTGGCATTATTAAAAATAGATTTTGATTGCATGCAAATAATTAATTACAATTAAATAATCAAAGACTGGAAAAGGAGTCATTACAGTCATTAAAGTTCAGTTTACATTTGAAAAATTAAATAAATAAATATTTATTATTATTCTCTTACATTAAGTGTAACATAAATTCTAATATTATTCGAATGTTATTTTTAAATTATGTCCAATGCCGTAGCAACTTCCGTGGGCAACTTAATTCTGTTAATTTTGTGTCACGGTGCGCGCGCATCGTTTCACTCTCATCAATTTTTCATAATGCGCCTAAAGAAGTTTAACTTCATAAATGTTTATGAAATGCTTCTAACTTTACATTTAGTGCCAGTTCTACGTAACAACGAGGGTATTAACAATTATTTCATTTAAATATATTTTCTCGGAGATCCTCGCGTGAACCAGTCGTAAATCTCATTTCAGTTTGCTTACAACGTCTCAAATTGTTAGAACATCTAGAAACATTTTATGCAACCGTTATCCATTTTTGTTAATTTTATATTAAATTAGTATGCTTATACATTGACTAGAAAATCTAATTAATTAGCCATTGTAACACATACCATAACCCTGGCCATGCTACTCCGGAACTGCTCCTTGATCCTCCTGGCGTTCTCCTCTACGTCAGCAGCGGATGGCGCAGCGGGGGCGGGTTTCTCAGCGGGCGGTGAGGACAGCTTCTCAAGGATTTGGATCACGTCCGAGTCGTCATCAGAATCGCTGTCAGAGTCGTCCAGATCACCGAACTGGAAGAAATAAATATTTTGCTAACATAACGGTTAGCCGAGAGCTGAGGAGCAAAGAGAGCCACGGCGAGAGCTATGCTGTGCATCTTCCTTCCCTCCACTCGACTGTAGCAATTAGCCATTGGAATAAAAAACTGTAAATGATATCACTACGACTTAGGGATGATCGATGTTAAAAAAACATCGATATTGACATCAAAAGTCAAAAATCATTTAATCATATAGGTAACACAATGTACACTTATGAACGTCAATAAAGAAATAGATATGCTAAATGCTTCAAATTTTACATTTACTGCCAGTTCTCAAGTCAAGGGCATAGAACGGAAGAGAAGAACTGGCAATAAACTCTCCGCCACTCTTTTTAATCGCCAAGTTTTTTGTTTTACACAACGTTTGTAAGGAGCTGGAAACATTACACCATGCTCCACAGGACATCTTAAGTAATTAATAATAACAAATTAAAAAAAAAACAAAGACTTGTCCTCTATCAGCAGGAGGCATGGTGAAATAGGAGCACACACTTACATTCTCGTGGGAACAACACGTAAATACATAGTCGAAATAACCAACATCACCGCATACACGAATTCAAGTCCGACCAGTCACCACAAGCAGCACCCGTTCACGAGCATGACGCATGGCCAGCCATCGATGTTGGATAACATCGGTTTAAAATTACCTTAAGGTCCTTGAGATCCTTATGGGTCAACTCCTTGCCCCGTTTAGACTTAGCTGCAGCCAACAAACGGACTTTTTTGTAGAAGCTTCTCGCGTCTCTTTCGCAACTTCTCCTTCGTCTGTTTGTACCTTTTCACCTCCATACGGCCGGCCAGCTTGTCCTCTTCAGTACGGGGCTATAAAACGGGTTTTAAGTTAATATCAATTCTTTATTTTTAGTATTGTCTTTGATTAACATAACTTTTATTCATTTAATAAAACACTATTTTGACCGGATTGAAGTTATGTATTATTATAAATTTACAACTATTTAACATAATTTTAAATTTATCCGACGTTTCTTTATTTTTATCCCATACCATGTTTGAAACAAACAGTACGATTACAGTTGAGAAGGTATTGGGGGACAGGTTTTCAAGCTCCAATAAGAACCTGTGATATGGATAACCAGGCTTCCACTCCACAGCAAAGTCATATTGAGTCATAACAAAAAAAAAAATAATCAAAACAGTCAACTAGATTCTTACAGAAATATAGTTTTATGGGTGTATGTGCGTGAGAGTGTGTGGGAGTTTGTGTGTGAGTGAGTGAGTATGTGTGTGAGTGAGTATTTGGGAGGGTGTGTGTGAGTTAGTAGCAGGCACACGTAGGTAAGTTTTTAATGGGAAAATAAAAAACAATACAACCACGCTCTAATGTTTTAAAGTTTGGGCCTAAGGTCTTTTTTTATAGAACAAGGGCAAACGGGCAGAAGGCTTACTTGATGTTAAGTGATAGCGCCGCCCATGGACACTCTTAATGCCAAAGCGCTCGCGAATTATACACTTTAAGAATATTGGTAAGCTCTTTTCTAGAAGGACCCTAAGTAGAATTTATTCGGATACTCTTGATCGGTTTTAGAGAAAGCATTATTGGGTGCCTATCTCGAAAACATAATTCGCAATTTTCCTGATGATTTTTTTCTCGGCTTTACCAAAAATGTCTGGTAACTTTATTGTATACTTATTTTGTCTTGTACATAAATTAAATTTTTAAATTCAAAATTCAAATTCAAATTTGATGAAAGATTTTGTCAAATATGCGCGTAGATTTAGTACTATGCATGATGTGGTAAACTTTAATAAATAAATAAATAGATGCTTCAGTGGGCAGCTGGTTTCACATATTGGTGCTGCAAAAACTGCCTTAAAAAACGCTCAGTTGTGGAACGACGGACGTCGATGTAATACATTATTTTATACATAGCAAATTAAAACATAAAAACTCACGCTAATCGGCCTCTCCGTGACGAGGCCCGGACGTCTCTTGCGCGGCTTATCGCTGAGCAGCGCGTGCTCCGGTATCAAGCCGTCCGCCTTTATCACTGCAACGGTATTAACACAAATGAGACTGTGTGACGAATCGTAACTGCCACACAGGAACTGATAACAAATAAAAGTAGACAAAACTCTAGCTTGCCACAGCTTGCATCTTTTTTTCTGATATGGAGGTAGTTTTTTTGGTCTACATGCCGGTTTCCACTCCTTCACGGTATAAATGTGTTATTGCTGAGTAAAACTATTGGTGCCTAGATTCGAGCGTACGGTTCCCAACCCAGGGTTCAGACCAGACACGCGTAGGCCAACTGCTATCTAGTAGAACGCGTCCAGAGTGAGTGTTGGTGGCGCAGTGGGGTTTTAGTGGGACATATCCCGAGTCCCACATAACCCTCCGTCCCAAGCAGTCGCGCCGGGGAGGTATGCGAAATATAAAATAGAACTATAAAAAAAAGTATTATTGGATACTCCTATAAACGAACACACGTAACTACATCAATGAGCAGTGTTGGCCTAGTGACTTCAGCGTGCGACTCTCACCCCTGAGGTCGTAGGTTCGATCCCCGGCTGTGCACCAATGGACGGTGAAGGAAAACATCGTAAGAAAACCGGCTTGCCTCAGACCCATGTCGACGGCGTGTGTCAGGCACAGGAGACTGATCACCTACTTGTCTATTAGATTGACGAATGGTCATGAAACACATTAAGAATTGTGAGGCCCAGACCTAAAAAGGCACTACTGATTTTTTGTAAATACATCTATAACTTTTGAAAATTGTCCATAGTACATCACTAGGCAGCCATTTTATGTCACAGATTAGGTATGCACGTTGTTTGTAGATTCCTATTGCTCTTTTATCTTTGGCATTAGTAAATACTCACCCTCATAAATGCCATTGACACCTTCCACCATCTTGCCCTTCATCTGCCTTCGTACTACGGCCGTTTCCACTGCACTCAGTGTGTCTGCTTCTTCTTCAGAAGAACTTTCATCTACGATAAACAAATAGTCTTTGGATTACGAGAGTACTAAAGTTAATCAAAAACAGACTTATCCAAGAAAATATTCAAACACGACAAGCGAAATCAGACCAAAATAATGTTAATATTAAATAAAATTATCAAGAAATTGAAAATAAATTACGAAAAATAATAACATAGTTTAAAGAAAAAACTTTTTTACCGGATTGAAGTTATGTATTATTATAAATTTACAATCATTATTTTACATAATTATAAATTTAACCGACGCGGACGTTTCGCGTGCTTTACAGCGTGCGTGGTCAAGGTGACATGAATGTGTAAAGGTTATGTCAATAAAAGACAATACTAATAACATAGTTTATTTTAATTATCCCTCCTCCGCTGAAAAGTTTTAAATTAATGTCTAATTTTAGTCGCAGCTATAAGATTCATCTATTAACTCAACAAAAATCCCACGAAAGCTAGATTTTAATCCGCCCAAAAAAAAAATATTATCTACTTCTTAACAATTATTCTTATTTTTAACTTTTAATTTACTTTTATTATTAATTTTACTAAACACAATAAATACTTCATTATTATTATTTTTTCTACAAGTATATATTACATTTATTTTCTTTCTGCGATTGAGGCGCAAACTAGCTCCTGTGGTCTCTGGCAGAATGACCAGCGCTGTGGAACATTCTGCTCCTCAGCATAATGCTGAGCCAGGGCCAATTACAAAAAAATGGCGATTAAAAAGAGTGGCGGAGAGTTTATTGCCAGTTCTTCTCTTCCGTTCTACGCCCTTGATTTGAGAACTGGCAGTAAATGTAAAATTAGAAGCATTAATATGTATTTCTTTACTGACAAGTCATAAGTGTACAATATGTTACCTATGTGATTAATTTTTTTTTATTTTTATTTACAGCCACATCACACACGCATTACACACTTGAAACGAATCGAATGGAAAAGGGGCACAAATAGCGTTTAAAATATCGTTAAGAAGCAATCTCTTCCAGGCAACCTTAATAGAAAAAAACCCTAAAGAGAAAAACTAAAAAAGAAATATGATGAGTAAAATGCAAGAAGTGCATAACTAAATGTTAATAATACGAAAAGTAGTATTAATATAATATATAAAATTATTATTGAAGAAATCTCTTTTTCTAAAACATTGTTATGGAAAATACCAAATTTGAATCTTAACAGAAAAGGGAGCGTTCAAGTATTACGTAACGAATTTTTTTGGTAAAACTTTACGATGCTGGGCGGGGATCGAATTAAGCCGTTATTGTTAATATTATTTTCGACTTTCCAGTACTTTATACCACATAATGGTAACTTTTAGGTATAAACAGTCACTAGGTGGTCACGAAACGTTTTACTTGGGTACAGAAAAACGTTACGGCGTGTTAAATGAGGAGAGGGGGGGGGGGGGAAATATTCCCTAAAAATTGCGTGACGTAATACTTGAACGCTCCCAAATACAAAATCTGACAAGAAAACTAATTTTTAAATTTAGTTATGTAATACCTGGTGATGGAGGCGGCTGAGGGGGTGGCAGCCACTGCGGCTGCCTCAGCTTCACGTGGTAGTAATACCTTCGGCCTCTGTCGTCCAAGGCACTCCTCCACATGGACGGCAACACTGGCTCCACGTCATCATCATCCTCTGTATTTACACTCTGAAATTTTTTGGGTACTGGTTTTAAGTGTTGCCAATTGCGTGCTTTATTTGTCGAATACGCGTTTCCATTAGTTCCTTTTTTTTACCTACAGTAAATACCAGTAACAATTTTTTTTATGCTTGGACAATTCACACCAATTGACCTAGTCCCATGCTAAGCTGGTGAAGCTTGTGTTTGGGTACTAGGCAACGGATATACATACATATTATAGATAGATAGACATATAAATACATATTTACACACCCAAGACCTAAGCACAACACCAAATGCTCATCACATCGATGCTCGTCTCAGCCGGGGATCGAACCCGGGACCCATGGATTCGCAGTCAGGGGTACTAACCACTAGACCAATGAGTCGTCTAAACAATCATATGTTGTTTATAATAAACTATTAAACCAAAACATATGGTAACAAAATTCAAAATAAAATAAACATACTCTACTCTACAGGGATAGAAATATAACATAGTATATTTGTACCTATTCGAACCTAACCTATCCTATTCCTACAGAATATTTCCCCTAGGACCAACTTACATACCCTTCAAATCCTTGTACACTCAGTTTGAGAGGTAATTTCAAATATGTATCAAATGCATTTATGTAGTATAGCTCTTTGATATTTCAGTTATATATATATATATAAGTTTTGAGGATAAAATTAATGCAATTTATTTTAATATTCGACATGGTGCGAAGCCATTTATTTCATAAAGATACTAGCTGACCCGGCAAACAATGTTTTGCCATGTATATTAATTCATGAGGACACATTTTTTAATTCAATACAAATATCTGTTAATAAAAAATAGGGGTTGATCGATCGTAGAGGGATACATAGTAGCCGATTCTCAGACTTACTGAATATGCATTAAAAAAATCATAATAATCGGTCGACCCGTTTCGGAGGAGTATGAGAACGAACATTGTGACACAAGAATTTTATATATTAGATGAAGTGTTTCATATCTTGCTCTTACCTCGGTAACTATGGGCCGAGGTGCATTGCTAGGTCTGGACGCTTGGGGTGGAAAGGGTCCCATCTGCTGTCCGAACATGAACCCACCCACACCGAATCCACTCATTCCCATCACACTGTAAATTAAAGATATTATTTAGGATTTAAATAGTTTTTTCCTTGTATCTTTGGGAAATCTCAACCCTGATCTGGTGCGTTCGAATCACTGCTCTTATATGTGCGAATTTCTTGTTCGTAGTGTGAAGGAAAACATCGAAAGGAAACATGAAAGCGTGCCAGGCAGGTGAAAACTTGAATATCAACGTTGTGCATTTTTGATATTTTGAAATGGTTAGGGAATAATTTTGCACGAATTGCTTTAAGTATAAAAGTACTATCATTTATGTGGTAGAATACTATATTTATTTATTGCGCTATCGTACACAAACATGACAATTTATATTACATTAAATACGCCGTGCCAGCTGTCTCCATCCGTCTTACGAATTTTTGATCAGGTCATGTGTCCTGACGCGAGTTTAACATTTTTTACCCATTCCAAAAAAAGTGTACAACGCCGGTAAAGAAGTTTTCACTTCAATTAATATATTATTAAAACAGCATATCAAGAGACGGATAGACATCTAAGGACAATGGTTATTAAAAAAACAAAAACAGATCGTAACTGCTACGAGGCGTAGTTCTTTTATAACGAGCGCTTTTGTCATCTTTTCCTATAACCTGCACAAACGTATCGCAAAATGTTGTTAAATAAGTCAAGACTAATAAGACTATCACAGTCATTTCGAAAACACATTTTTAAAAGGCCGGCAACGCACAGGCGAGCCTTCTGGCATTGAGTATCCATGGCGGTATCAATTAACATCAGATGAGCTTCGCGCTTAAATTTAAAAAAATCGCGCTTAAACGTTTCAATCAGAATTTAATTTAAACCAGCCGGTACACATTTTACTGGTTAAAAAATTACTATTGAATAATTATATATAATTATTATATAAAATAAAATAAATCAGTGGCGCTACAACCTCTTTAGGTCTAGGCCTCAGATTTCAGAATCTGTTTCATGATCATTTTTCAATCTAATAGGCAAGTAGGTGATCAGCCTCCAGTGCCTGATACACTCTAAGACATGTCGGATTCCTCACGATGTTTTCCTTCACCGTTCGAGCAAATGTTAAATGCGCACATAATTACTATATAATAAACGTAAAACCTTGGGACTAAAATTCAAAATTGACAGAATTTTTTTTTATATCAAAGTCTTTACGCGTAACACAAACACAAGAAAAAAAGCTCATACAAAATAACTCACTTGGGTTGTGGAACACAAAATGGCTGCCCCGGAAACGGTGGACAAAACCCTGGAGGACCCTGGAACTCCCCATTCGGCCCGATCCATTCCGGGGGCACATCGGCCGGTATCATACCCGGCATGAGACCCGGCATCATAAGATTCGGGCCACCCATCATATTTTGTGGACCACTTAACATATTCTGCGGCCCTGGTAACATGTTTGGACCCATTAGGTTTGGTCCGTTTGGCATCATTGGTCCATTGGGCAGCATATTGGGTCCATTTGGTAACATTGGTGGTCTGTTTGGCATCATATTTGGTCCATTTGGCATTATAGTGGGTTGACCGGGAATCATTCCTTGGGGGAACATCTGGAAAATAATTAACACCTTTTGTTAAATATTTATTTAAAAAAAATCTTTTGGCTTACAACTTATTATATAACATTTATTTATTTAAATACACCTCATATATTATGCTACAGTGTTATTATTACATAATAATCAGTTGGGTTTTACCAAGGGTCGCTCGACAGCCCATGCCGGTGTTGAGTTATATAGATAAATAGTTAAGGCTTGGGAGGAGTCGCATGACGCTTTAGGTGTTTTCTGTGACTTATCAAAAGCATTTGATTGTGTCCAACACGAGACCTTAATCGGGAAACTCCGCCACTATGACATCAAGAATACCGCACTGAATCTTCTGACTTCCTATTTACACGGAAGAACTCAGAAGGTTGAAGTGAATGGTAAGAGGTCCTCTGGGTCGGCAGTAGATATGGGGGTACCACAGGGCTCAATTCTTGGCCCTTTCCTCTTTCTTGTTTATATAAATGATCTACCTTTCATGGTAGAGAGAAAACATCAGATAGTTTTGTTTGCTGATGACACGTCCTTGATTTTTAAAATCAAACGACAAATAACAAATTTTGACGATGTGAACAATGCTCTATCTTCGATTGTCCATTGGTTTAGTATAAATAACCTTTTACTTAATGCAAAAAAAGACAAAATGCATTAAATTTTGTGCAAAAAATGCAAGGGTTACGGATAGTAGACCAATTATAAACGGTGAGGAATTGAATCTGGATGATACAACTGTATTTCTCGGAATCACCATGGATTCAAAACTTCAGTGGTCCCCTCATATTAACGGATTGGCGAAGAGACTTAGTTCTGCAGCCTACGCGGTTAAAAAAATTCGCTCACTAACTGATGTCGATAACGCTAGACTTGTTTACTTTAGTTACTTTCATAGCTTATGGCTTATTATTATGGGGTCATGCTGCTGATGTCGAAACTATTTTCATCTTGGAGAAGAGGGCTATTCGTGCAATCTATAATTTAAAATGTAGGGAATCTCTTAGAGATAAATTCAAGGAAATTAATATTGCTTTCCCTCGCAATATATTTATAAAAATATTATGTATGTATACAAAAATAGTGATAAGTTTACTAGAATAGAACATACGCACAATGTTAATACACGGAACAAACGCAGGCTGCAATTTCCCCGTACTAGACTATCTAAAGTTAGTAATTCTTTTTTGGGAAAAGGGATACTCTTCTTTAATAAAATCCCAGAGGCTCGTTTATCTCTGCCTTTCAATAAATTTAAGAAATGTATCAAAGAAAAGCTGTGTAAAAAGGCTTACTATAAAGTCAACGATTATCTAGTTGATAAAAGGGCCTGGGACTAGTGCTAGACAGGCTACTTCTAATTAATTTGCGATATTTGTTTTAAAATAAGTGTTGTTTGATGATTTGCTATTTTAAAAGAGTACCGAGAGTTTTTTACGCCGGCTTTTTCTCTCGGCCTACACCCTCTGTCTTCTTTGCCGATGAGTAGGGATGCCTACAAATTCAAATTTAAGACCGGTGGAATAAGTGATACATGTATCTTATGTTCCTTAATAAACATATTTTTTTTTTAATTTACAGTCTTTATAACAAATTTCAAGGGACCGATCATTTTTTTTCGTTATAGCCAGTTTTCGTTATTAGGAGAGAAGAAAAAAAAACCAAATTTAACCAATTACAATAATTTATATATATATATATATATAATAGATAGGTGACGGTGGTCCGTTTAGTTAGTGAGACCAAAATTTGCTACAGGAAATGTAATCTAAGAATAATGGCCACGTGTTAAACCATAACAAAGGCGAGACGGCTGTTTTATGACCTCAGGTGTTTTTCTTAGAAATTTCGGCACCGCAATAGGTTAGTTTCGTAAGGTGATTATAAAAACAATTACACTTAAGTATGAAGTATGTTGTTGATGTCTAAATATGAAAATATTTCTTCGTAAGAGAGATATGGGTATGGGTTATGTGTTAAACCAAACAAATAACTCATGTATCTAATCGGCTAAGCAAAAAAATTTTTTTTTTATATCAGATAGACACTTAACAACGCTTTTTTTTTAATTTGACCAGTCTACTATCGAATATATCAAGCTCTGGATAATAGTGTTTATTATGTTATACCACATCACTAACGCTCAGTTTTCCTAGAAAAGCGGTGCCGCTATCTAACGGCCGTAATTTAGCGTTAGGTGACATCACCCATACGTTGTCTATAAATAACGTCGGAGTAGGTTTTCTAGAGAACGTTGAGTGTTACCGTAACGTCAAATAGCGGTGCTGTCATTTGCATGACGGCCGTCATAGAGGTGATAAACATTAGTTCAACGTTTATCGCGTGTAGTGGTGCCCATATTAAATTAATACAATGAGTGACTTGGACGAGCGAAAATGATTGTTTTTTTTTTAATTATGTTAAAAAGTAAAGACGGCCGTTATTAACAACCGTAAAATGACGGCCGTTAGTTAACGGCACCGCTTTTCTAGGAAACCTAAGCTTTTACGGCTGTGAGGCATGGACTATTAAAGAAGACACAAAGGACTTATGATATGTGGAGTTACCCTCTCATGCTTCGCATCAGTTGGATCCAAAGAATCGGGACGAAACAAAAGTATATGCAGATTTAAAATACAGAAAGTTGCAGCTCATGATGATGGACAAAATTCAAGAGACAGATAAAGAAAAGACGTTGTGCGGTGCGGGAGTGGAGCGGTATCAAGGGGCTTTTTAGATCAGCACCAGATAGCCGGCAATTCAAGTTGTTAACAGCCAACATTTGCTAATAAAGTGGCACTAGAAGTTATATTCGCAAAGAATTCGAATGAGAGGTGCCTGAACTCTATATTATTATAGGTTATTGAAGTGAAACTTCTTTAGTCGCATGAGGGTAAATTTTTACGCACACGTCACGAAGATGTGCAGCGTTTTTGTCGAAAGAAAAGGTAGAGAACGATTGATACCGAATTGAGAGAGAGTGAGAAGGGCGAATTACCTTATAGAAATTCTTAAAATTAAGATTTCGTAAAGAGAATTTATGAAATATTAGTATTTTATATTTTATGCAAAATTAATTGAAATCTCAAATTACGAATTGTAAATTAAAATTCCACGCTTTTATATTATCGAAGAAATAAATTTAATAAATTTGTATTAATTTTCGATACTTTTAATATTTTAATGACAATTAAATGCATTAAATTCCTAACATACCTTTTCCCTCCCTTTAAGACTCGAAAATTTTTAGATTTGTATAAATATAAACAAGACTAAAAAATTTGTTTGCCAAAGAAGTTTCGCTTCTGTCACGTGTACTTTGTAAGCACGTACTTTTTTATGTAATATAAAAAAATGGCTAAAGATTATAAAAAAAAACTTTAAGTACTCTACAAATATATATTGACTAAAAGAAAGAATTTTAGAACGGCTTAAAAGAAACTTATTTATTAAAAATACCAATTATATTTTTTATGGGACTAGAGCAGCTTCAATGCTCAACTGGTGGTTTGCAAGTGCGTTGCCGGCCTTTTAGTGGCACTTCTCTAATAAACTATTTCGCACAGTCAGTTGATATAAAAACCTAAGCAAAGAGCTGTTATACGAAAATTCTTATTTAAATAAGAAATACCTGTGAGAATGAATCCGGTGGCCAGTAAGGCATGAATGGCTGACTGTCCCTCTGCCGCCTGCTCTCATCAGCCGCCGCAGCAGCTTCTGCGAAGGCTCGACGCCTCTCCTCTTTGCTCATTGGTGGAATGGCCGCTAGGACTCGGTCTGTAAGTCTGTTTTCGAAAATTTTAATACGCTCTAAAACCCTCAGCTAACTGTACTCCGATTTTTAATTCCGTAGAATTCTGACAGCTGTCATTTTTTGACATGTCAGAGATTACAAACCTTTTAGGCTGGGCACATACATACATTTTATTTGTTAATGTATCCATTTTAATAAGTGCGGTGCTCCACATTAAAAGTGATTTTACGGCGAGTGATAATTACGTCCCTTTTCATCTTAACAGTAAAAAACGCACAAGTTAAGATAAACATTTTTTTTTTTAAAAAGGTTTGCTAAACATGGAATTTGTAGGCAGTGATGCCTAAAGTAATTAAAGTTAATTCGATTTATTGTTCATGATATTGAAATATTTGATTTAGATTTACCTTTTTGTAGGTAAAACATAAAAATACGTAGCAATTAATTTTTTATTGCCCTCAAATGTGTCAAATTTGTCCCTTTTTGGGTTAATAACTTTTTTTAGTAGCAACTTATGAAATGTCAGATTTCTACGGAATGAAAAATCGGAGTATAAGCAATGTTTAAAACGGTACCAAATAAAAATAGCCTATTTAACAAAAACCATTTCTGACTTTTTATTATTGACTATAGAACCTATATGTTATTTTAAACTCCATAAAAAATGTAGGACTTGACTCCATTTAGGTCTGGGCCTCAGAATTTTGTCTCCGTTTCATGAGCATTTGTCAATCTAATAGGCAAGTAGATAATAATCCTGTGCATGACACACGCCTTCGACTTTTTGGGTCTAAGGCAAGAATGTTAAATGCGCACATAAACTGAAAGTCCATTGGTGCACTGCCAGAGATCGAACCTACGACCTCAGGGATGAGGCCAACACTTCTCACAATTCGATAAAAATAATAATCTTAAAAGAGAAAACGTTTCTCTATTCAAGATGGCACACATATATTATGTATTATGATTAAACGGGCAAAGACTTTATTTACAAGCATGCTACGTCATCGTTGATTCGACCAATCTATACCTGTTTTGTGTCACGTGACGTGAATTAAGAATTAAATAAAGGAAATTGTTAGTTGCTGAAAGATATAAATCATACCGAATACTCCGCCTCCCCTCTGGACTGCTTCTTCTTTTCCGTCTATCTCTATCTCTTTCCCTCTCTCGATCCCTCTCCCGATATCTATCCCTCTCTTTTTCCCGTTCCCTCTCCCTCTCCCGATCGCGGTCACGGTCACGTTCCTCACGTCTCTCACGGTCACGTTCGCGTTCACGATCGCGATCACGATCGCGGTCACGGTCACGTGATCCACTGGAGTCCGCAGCTCGCCTTTCAACATTCGCTTGACGTTCGTGCTCTTTCATCTGCTGGATTCTTTCTTTTTTTGGGATTTTGAAGACTTCCTGTAGAAAATATACATTTATATAAATAAAAATAATATGATGTGATGGCCCTAGGGCATGGGGCATAAATCTCCTTAGCAACAAAGGAGACTGATCCAAGAACAGATCGAACTTTTAGATATCAAATTTAAATAATTATTATGTATTATATATAATTTGATACTGATTTTTTTAAATAAGTAATCATTAACATTAAGTTAAGAATTTTTTTCTGTTTATAAACGTTACGTCCATTGTAATTTAAAAAAAATGTTATAGTGTACTGTAATAAATAGACAAATAAAAATATTTTTTTATGTCAATTATAAGATTTTACTGTCTGGAAAAAAGGTTTTTATATACAGAAAATGTACCTTATAATACATATATGACTGTTTACTCCTTAAAAACTATATATAAATATCTATTTCATTTGAAAGTCAAAGTCAAAAATCATTTATTCATATAGGTAACTCAATGTACATTATGAACATCAATAAAGAAATGTACATTAAATGCTTCTAATTTTACATTTACTTCCAGTTCTCAAATCAAGGGTGTAGAACGGAAGAGAAGAACTGGCAATAAACTCTCCGCCGCTTTAATTAAGAATAATACTCACTTTGAGACTAGACCACCTCTCTAAAAGCTGTGATGATAGATCCTTAATTTTCTCAAGCATAGCAGCATTCTCCTTAGCCTTATCTACTTCTGGAGCGGGTTTGCCTCCTAGTTCAACCGGTAGACCTAAAATAGTTAATCTTAACTATTAAAATACCCTTTTTTATAGAAACAGGAAACTTTCATTGTTTTTAAAAGCACACTTTTATAAAGAAACTAGCTGACCTGGCAAACTTCGTTTTGCCATGTATATTACTTCTAGAAAACTTTTTTAGTTTAATAAATACAACTATCTACTATAATAAAAAAAGGGTTGATCGTAGAGGGTGAAAATAAGGGATATATGTATTTTGTATGATGTATCATAAAAAAAATAAACAAAAACAATTTCAAAAGAATAATAAGGGGGTTGAAAGATAGATAGTAGCCGATTCTCAGACCTACTGAATCTGCATATAAAATTTGATAAAAATCGGTCAAGCCGTTTCGGAGGAGTATGGGAACGAACATTGTGACACGAGAATTTTACATATTAGATTAGATTTTATTTTATACAGAACGGGGCAAACCGGCAGGTGACCTGATGTTAAGTGATGCCCAAGAACATCCTCAAAGCCAGAGAGTTCGCGAGTCCGTTCTTTTAAGAATTGGTACGTTTTTTTCTTGACCCTAAGTCGAATTGTTTAGGAAAAACTTCAGTGGGCAGCTGGTTTCACATAGTGGTGATGCGCGCCAAAGCGTTGTGGAACGACAGATGTCAAGATAATAGCAACATTTTACGGAAATATTCTTTCCTTAAATATATTGATTTTAATGAGTCATAAGAATATACTTTTAGTTATCTACAATAACAGAATAAAAGAAGATGTTCAGCGTTTTTGTCGAAGGAAAGGGAGAGAGCGATTGAGACCGATTGAGAGAGAGTGAGAAGGGTGAATGACCTTGTAGAAATTCCTTTTTGCAAAATAATTAAGAAATCTCAAATGACGAATTGTAAATTAAAGTGCCACGTGTTTTTAGTATCGAAGAAATAAATTAAATTTATAATTTGTATTCATTTTAATGACAATTAAATTCATTAAATTCCTGACATATCTTCCTTTTTCCCTCCCTCTAAGTCTCGGAAATCTAAAGTTTTAGATTTGTATAAATATGAACAAGAGTTAAAAATTAGTTTGCCAAAGAAGTTTCACGTGTACTACATAAATTGATGATTTACAAGACATGACAGCTATAAAATGACAGCTAAATTTACAAAAAAAAAAGTTGTACCAGTAGCCTCATCGATGAACACAGGTGGCTCCGGTGGGAGTTCTGAAGAGCTGAGCCATCTCTCAATGATTGTGAAGAAGCGTGTCTCTTGCACCATGGTCTTGTTGGGGATGGGCAATCTATCTACTGTTTGAAGGATTTCCAATCTGCAATAATATTAAAAAAGATTTTTCGATTTGTATCAAAATATATTTAAAAAAAAATGCTTGTTACTTTGACCTCAAATATAGACTTATATACACAACCATTAATTTGAATTAATCACATTACTGGAGGCCAAATTTGACAACACAATTAGGAGCCATTTAGTTCACTGTAGTTAATTACTATATACCGTTAAAGATAATGGAAAATTGAATAACTAACTTTCATATTAAATTGTCTGGACATTTATTTATTCAATAGTTTGGTAATAAATATACTCTTGGTTATGCATAGATACTTTTTTAAGATGCAACAAAATTTTACTGTGAAAGATTTGAAACTGATCCAGTAATTTGGATTGTATAAAATACGCACAAAAATACAAATAATTCGTTATAAAATTACATTTTCTTTCTGCCATATTTCAAATATTTGTTCATTTAAAAGAAAAAGGGTGCGTGTACTTATGTACGCGCGTAAGAAGTTATACTTCTTTGGCTTTCTTTATTTTTTTTAAATATATTTAATTAACAATATTTAGTTAATAATTTAATAATATTTAATATTTAGTATATTATTCAATTATTAGTTAATATTAATAACAATTATTATTATTTTATTATATTATTCATTCAATTTAATAACTTGGTATGTTTCATAACCTTTTAACTAAGTAACAATAGGTCTTTGTGAAAAAACATTGCTAAATGCATTGCTAAACATTGAAAAAATAATTAAAACTCCTTTATTTGTTTAAAAAGTAAATGTCATTATGGTCATTCAAAATTCTTGGCATAGCTGCTAACTTCACGCATATTCTATTTATTTTTACTTGTAGATTGTCTTATTCCCATCTCGCTCGCGCACGCTATAATCACACTGACAACTTTGTGTCTCAGGTGCGCGCGCATCGTAAAATTTCACTCTCATCAATTTTTCATAACGCGCCTAAAGAAGTATAACTTCAAAAAACATATTTGTCTGTACCAGTGGAAAACTTGATTAATTATATATCTAATATGAATAATTAACATATTGTGTAATATTATGTTTATATGTTGGCAGAAATTAAAATAAAATCACTCACTTAAAGTCCAAAGGCGCATCAGTACACCACGGGGCTAACAGCCTTAGCCCACGGTAGTCCAAGAACAGTCGGCGACAAGGTAAGTCGGCGTCGCGTAAGAGCCGCAATAGTGCGGCCTGCGCGCGGCGCGTCTTAGCGCGGACGACTGTACGCGATAGTCGAAGTGTATGACATTGATTCTTGACTCCGGTGCGACCGAGAGCTTCCAGATCTTCTTCAATCTATATTTTAAAATTGATTACAACACATTCGATTAAAATAGTATATATATATGTAAGGAAAACATAATATATTTTTATATACAAACTCTTGTCTATATTGTATTTTATATAAACTCTTTTGTAATATTGTCTTTGCCTTCTGATCGACGATGTTTAATTTATGTCACTTGACATAATATAATATGTAAGATATTTTAATTTTTTCATTATATTATTTTACTTTATAAAACCTAGAATATAAGCTTTAAATGTTGTTTCTTTTGTATTCACAGGTGAGTGAATAATTTGTAAATATATATTTTTTTATTAAATGCAAATTAAAATATATTTCTTTTGTAAATAAATCTTTTGTATTCAAACGCAGTTGCGCCTTATTTATTCCCAGTATAAACGATTGATACTATTATATATATTTACATATTTATTTTATTTTTATATATAGGGTGATCCGCTATTTTTTTAATTTTTTTTTATTGCCATAATTAAGTAAATCGTCACGTGACCATGGGTTATATCAAACAATTTTATATTTCGGTAGCTGGTTACTACAAAGTATTTTTGTTTAAAAAACTGAATATGAATACTAAAAAAAAATGAATCACAACACCGTTTTTTCAAAAGTATCATCGGTCTCTTCATCAAAGCGTCAACACAATTCGACAGAAACGTCGTTAAAGGAGTGCAATTACACTAATTTAGTTTTTAAGAAAAATAACTACTTAATACTGTAGGGTAAAATAAAATTTACTTGAATAATTAATTATTAAATTCGCCGGAGAAATCGAATTAGAGTCTTTAAAATAAAGTCTTACATCAGCATCTTGGACTAAGTCAGCACTAGGTTTATAAGTGCGATCTCTTCTTGGTCTCCGCACTCGGGGCTTCGCCTTGTCTTCCGTCGTCTGCATCTCCTCAGACTCTGCTGTGAACTTGGACGTAGACACGTCTCCCTCCTGTAAAACATTAAAAACACATTTATAAAAGCGGATTGAAATATCCATCAACATATTTTTTTGAGTACATATATTATATATGTCCCCGTGGATACCTAAAAACTAGTGAAGCAATTTTAACCAAACTTTGCTTTTAGTTTCCGAGAAATTTGTTGACAACACTTAAAAGATAACATACTAAATTTAAAATTACAAGTCAAGCATAACCTTATTTTTGAAAGTTGGTAAAAGTAGAATTTTTGTAATTGATTACGGAGGAAGTAATATACGATTCATGTTTCTAGAGCATGTACTATGCCAATTTTACAATAAATAAGGTTGGTTTAAGTGTTAAGAGTGAAGGAAGGAGGGAAGATGATATAAAAGGGATAGCGGGAAGAAACTGGAAAATTGTCGCATCAAATAAGGATAAGTGGAAGAATTTGGAGGAGGCCTTCACTCCATCGGAGGTCGAGTACAAGTGTAAAACTTAAAAGACATGGACTTACTGTAGTTATAGTGTACTCGAATAAAGGCTATTTTTTTTATTTATAGTGTTAAGAGTGTATTAAGTTGATTTTTTGATTTAATACATATCATCACCATAATCAATATTACGGTAGAATTATGAAAATGGATTAAAAAAACTTTACTAACGTAATAAGTAGATTTAGCTAATTACAGCATTACAATTGATTTAAATTCAGGAATATTGAACTATTAAGTCAACTTAAAATATTTCCAGCATGACTGCTTGGTAGAGATATCCACAGTTTTTGAAACAAAACCTTTAACGGTAAATTATAGATACTATCAAATGCATTTATATTATACGGATCATATTTACCATTAAGTGACTATAATTCAGTTATGAAGAGAATGTTATAAATTCCATTTAATATTTTATAGTTTTATTTAAATTAGGGAGCGTTCTAGTATTACGTAACGAATTTTGGGAGGGGGGTCCTTTTGTAAAACGTTACGATGCGGGGCGGGGATTGAATTACGCGTTATTGTTAATATTTTTTTCGACTTACACCACATAATAGTAACTAAAGAGTCACTTACACTGTTTTACTATACTTGGGTACTGAAAAACGTTACGGCGAGTTACATGGGGGGTCAATAATCTCCAAAATTTGCGTTACGTACTACTTGACTAAATTATTTTACCCATAGCATATTAAACCTACATTTAAGATGCCACCCACCTCCTCATAATCTTCATCCTCTGAATCAGGTTCAGCCCCGATCCAGCCCCTACAATTCTCAGCGCCACAGTAACACCTTTGCGCCACTTTGCTGCGTGTAAAATATAATTTGTTACCCTCACCACACTGGAAATTTTGCCATGGCCGTTTTCAAATTCTTTTTAGTGAAATAAATTATTTTAATTTAAGCTATTTACTAGTATTGTAGAAAATTAAGGCATAATTACTTATTAACTGTAGTAACTCTCTTTTGTAGATTAGAAAAAATATGTGTAAAATGACTTCTAATACAATTTTAAAGAAAATTTGTGTAGTTAATATAATCAGATAGTTTTTCTGTGAATACTACAAAATTCTTACTAAATGTAAAATTTCCTGGAATAAATATTACACACATGTCAAAAGATATTTTAGTTTTTTAGAATTGTGGATTTTAATCTCTTATTTATATAGATTTAAAATACTTATCAATAGTTCAGATGATTAGATGCTGTGCACTGATATTATTATTATTAACAGATTTTAAAGAAAATGTGTGTAATTTGAATAGAGAACACCAAAACATAAGACAAAAACCTTAAAATTACATGAAGTAAAAATAATAGTAATTCAAATGTCAAAAGGGTGTTTCTTTAGAATTGAGTTTGAATCTTTATTAAAAAGATAATTTATAGGTAAATACATGATTGGAGAAGGATGCATTGCAACTAGCCCTTATATTATTAGCATAATTTAAAGACAAAAGACAATGAAAGCGAATAAATCTAAAAACTCACCCAAATCTTTGAAACTGGTAGTCAAATGTAATTTCTTCCCCAATCGGAATATCCCGCTTACTGAAAAATCCTATTCTGAGTTCTCCATTGACCGTCCATTTCTGAGTTTCTGCATTTGGATCACAGGAATGATTTATGAATCGCGAGATATTTCCCTTCACTGTAGCATCAATTACGGTATCGCCTTTGAGTGACATGAAATAGTGGTGGAGGTTATTTTCATCGGAGTAGGCTTGGGCCCTTTTGTAGAATTGTTCATAAGCGAGCACTTCACCCACATATTCCATTAGAAATTCCCCTCTGTAACCATAAAAATTATCATGATAACGAAGAACAGTTGCCAGTTAATGATTCTTTTACACTTAGAGCGGTTTTTAATAATTACCAACAATGTGCATTTTAAAGAGGTGAAATGGAGTTTGAACATATTTCGCAGAGATATTGTTCTTACATTATCTACCATGTACTATATTTATTAAACATAAAAATTATGCATTGCAATAATCCAAAGTACATTCGCTATGTCACAGCTTTAATTAACACATCAGAAATATTTGTTGCATGTAAATAATATTCAAATTATATAAGAATTATTATCATGAATTTTTAAATATTCAGCCTTACATCCATATTGCTAACTTAATGTATCTGATAAAATTATACTAAAAACTACAGTTAATACAAATCTTATACTCAATACTACAATCGTTGTTTCTAAGGCTGCTAAATATATAATAAAAAAAAATAATAAATTAAATTTATAACTTTTTATAAAGCATGCTAAATGCAAGATCATATTTACACAGTCATTTTTACAAACTCATTAAATTAGTTATAGTGTGTACTAGAGTAATAATAATACTTTGTGTAGTTGTCTATATTATGTTCATGCATATATTGGGTTAGTGTTAAAGATATATATATCTTTATTAATACATAGCTATGAAGTACTATGCGATTAATACTTACGCTGGAATGTTACCACTAGCTTCTACACCACACCCCTTTTTTTCAGCATAAAACACTTTTAGAGCACCATTCTCTTTCTTCTGAAACCGTCTGTTTGTACATCTATCTCCAACAGGACATCTTGAATTACTGGAACGTTAAAATGTGTACATAACACCAATTCTCTATGTAATCAGGATAGAAAAAACATATTTCAGTACTTTACGTTGCTGTATCGCAAATGTCAAATATAATATATAATAATAGATACTTGAAACACAATTTTTCTCAATAATCAGTATCTTAAATAACTATTAAAACAATAAATGCATAAAGTTACAATGTAACTCATGAAACTATAAATGAAATATATACATGATAAATTTATGTAAACAATAAAAAATCTTACCATTCAATCATAAGGAGTCTATTCAAACAGTCTTCTCCACAAGCGAGTTCTCCTCTCTCCAACTCTTCTTTGGTCATAAAACAGTCACAAATCATCTTCTTTGTATCCCTACTTATCATTCTATCACATAAATACTCATTTTCATCCAAATGTTGGTATTGGTTCATTCTTTCTTCAATTATTCTATCATATGCTTCCTTACTCAGGGCAATAACTTCTTTCACTTCTTCAACATGCTGTTTCTCTTCAATAGGAGGTATTTTTGGCAAACTTGGGCTTGCTAATGGAGAAATTGATGGTGAACTTGCCCCCATTTCAAGTTCACTTGAACGTCGCCACCTAGATTTAACTTTAACAGGCATTTCTGTTGGAACAGGAAACGGAGGAGGATTAGAATTAGATTGGTTTAAGGCATCAGAAGGCTTATCTTGGCTTTCGGACCCTGACTCTTCAAGTTTTAGTTTTGTTTGTGTTATTAATGTTTTTTTCAGTGTATTTCTAACTAAACCATAACCTTTAGTCTTTTGCTTTAATGTACTTATTGTTTTTATTCTATTAGATCTTCGAACACCTGATGGAGAGGACTCTGAGGAATCATTTGAATTGTTCTGCACCTGGTCTGTTGCCCTTGAAGAGTTACTGTCATCAGAAATAGTTGAGCTTGGTGTTAAACTTGGATCAGGCCTATCCAAAATCTCTTTAGGGAACTGTAAATCTGGAGTAACACAATTAGAATTTCTGATAACTTCTTCACAATACTGCATTGGAGAACTAGGATTTATTGTTGGTACTAGATTAAGCTTTTCAAAATCTTTTTGAAATTCAATATCTTGATTTTCATTTTCCCTTTTGTTTTCACTTAGCTCTTGATCCTTTGAACTATCAATATCAATATTATAATAACCCTCTTGATTATCATCATCTAATATTTGAACTATAGTTATCACTTCATCATCATCACCATAAAGATGCTCATTAAACATTTGAACTTGATCTTCATTGTTAACTTCATTGGCCTGATTGTTTTCCATTTCTTGGTGGTCTATTGGTGAACAAATTTCTTTTTCATCACATGCATTGCCTAAGTCCTTTTTATTTTCTATGGTATCATCATTTGGTAAAGGTATGTCTAAGCTTTCAACTGACGGCAGAGGAGATGCATCTCTAGAACTAAAACTATGCAATGCGCGATCTGGAATGTTCATAGGACTGGGACAAGCGCCACTATTTGTATCAGACTGAGTATCCACTGCAGCATTGGAATCTGATTCAGAACTTAAACCAGGATCTACGACTCTTACCTCATAGCTACTGTTAGTTTCACTGTCACTACCAACATCATATTTTTTTGTGAATGTATCATCATTATTAAATAAACATCGATATTTACCAAACTTCTTGTGCAGAACTACATAAGGCAGTTCTTGAGGTGGTTTAGCATTTGTGTCAGAAGTAGTCTGTCCACTTATGGTTTCTTTAGTTTCAGGAGGCGGGTCTTCTGAGGCAGGTGCAGTGGCGGGTGGTTCCACCGTAGTTGAGGTTTCACCTTCGATCGCACTCTTTTGGATAGGCTTACCACGCCGCGCGGAACGCCGAGAGGCAACATTTGCTGGTTTCTTTTTCTTGGCCATTGTTGCCAATCAACCTGTAAAACAAACAAAAGGGTTAAAGACTTTACCCGCCACGGATTGCGGTAACAGTGACCTCTTTGCTAGTTACACATTTTTGACAATGCCATTTTGTTGTCGCATCGTTACATATATTATTACAAAACTGTAAATGTAATTGTGTTTTATATTCAAAGTACAGAAAACCTTGTTTCATCTGTAAGCGGCACCGGTTATTTTGTAATTGAATATTGCCAATCTAAAGAGACTACAAACAAATATTATGCTAATAGCTGATACAGCTTTTTTATACTTACCATAACTTTGTGCAAGTTCCCAAAATGATACCCCTTTATGTTTAGGTTGTAATATCATTCACAAATCTCTATCACAAAACAGATAAAATTAATATTATTCTTATTAATAAAACATGTTAATTTTTACAATCCCTTTTTTTACCCAGTACATAGGCATTTTTGTCGATTTGCCATCAGAGTGACCATCATAGAAATAAATTATCTGTCAAACACAAACAACATTCAACAATAATAAATTATTATATTATATGGTTAATTTTTTATTTATTGAATTTTACATTACCCTTATCAAAATAGTGTATCTGAGTGGCTGTTTAGATAGTTATATATTATAATTGTCTTATTTTAAAGAAGTGACACATAATTTTTAGAATATTAAGCATTAACACTTTCCATAGGACCATAGTCATTGCTTGTGAGTTCTGTTACGCTGAGTAGATCTGCGTTGTATATTGTCATCGTTTTGCGAGATATTCTACAGTTTGTTGGCGATTGTCAGTTGTCAAAAAAATTATAACATTACTTCGTAGCGTGTATTTGTATCTTTAACTTTTAAGTATTCTAGTATTGTTCATCAACATTAAAGAATTTGTATAACTTAAAAAAATGGCTGAAGTTAATGAGGTAACATTACAACTAAATAACATATTTGATCTGATTGTTTTAAATATAAATAAATTGTCACTAAAAAGCCGCTTAGGAGCACAAGTCTACCGCTTAGGACACGTCACTGTTTTGCAACTCTATATTATAAACATGATAATTTTTAGTGTTTACTCTACCTTATTATTATTTTCCTACTGAAGTTTTAATTACATTGATCGCTTAGTTCAATTCTGTCAAAAATTTCAGACAGTGAAGATAAACAAATGGGATGGAGCCGCCGCAAAAAATGCTATTGATGATGCTATTAGAGAGGTATAGATTATTCCTAAAAACTCATTTTAAGTCCGAAACTGTGAAACCTTTTTGTTATTGTCACATGCAAACTATTGTATAGATTTTATACCAATAACTGTCAATCTTTGAACAGCATAGTTTTATACTGTACTGGGAGCATGTTTCTTATTCATACATAGATCTATTACTATTATAAAACCACTGAATTTAGTCCTCTGTCCTATGACCCCATAATGTGGCATATGACTGTTTTATTTTAACATTGTCATTCATAATTTCCTTCAAAGACACATTTAATTATGACATCAACCTAAATGTTTTGCAATGAATTGAACCCATGACCTTCAGTAGTTTATTCAATGAGCAGTATCAAGTTGCCAGCAGTTGGATTTTATATTATGTATGTTTATCATCTGATACATTTTTACAGGTGCTGACTGGAGATTTAAAATGCAATGAAAGTTTTGCACTTATTGATGGAAGATTGTTTCTTTGTGCTCTGGCTGTAGGTGTGGCACTTTATGCCCTGCTATGGGATTACCTTTATCCTTTTCCACAATCAAGGTAAGATTTTTATTTTAGAGTATGGGTGAGAATTCTCATATCTAACACATTTAATTAACTAATATATAAATTAGCTAAAAAATTAATGTCACTTACTTTGATTATCAGCTTACCACATTATTTACCTAAAAATAATATATAGTTCAATAAATATTGGTGATTGAATAAATGCATATGATGTTAAATAAGTTAAAAAAACTACTACCTTAACTATTTTCCAGATTGGTCCTAATTGTTTGTGTGTCATCATATTTCATTTTGATGAGTATTTTGACTCTATACACAACATTTAAGGAGAAAGGAATATTTGTAGTTGCAAAGGAAAAAGTTGGAAACAATACCAGAGTTTGGGAAGCCAGCTCTTATGTCAAAAAGTAAGTTGTGTGTTATATATTTTTTTTAAAACAATTAAATTGAATTACTAGATTTTACAACAATGTTCATTTACTAAATAAACATTTAAAGTATAGGTAATTTCTTGAATGTTTTAATTTTTAATTAATAAATTAAATAACTATGTGTTTAGACATGTATGTTGTGGCCAAATCTTAAAATTGATTTCTGATTTCTATTTTATTAAAAGATCAGGCCAGCTCAATAAATAATTATTAATTGATTATAGCCAGTGCTTGTTAGATATAAATGGTAATAATATATGACCACTTATGTGGCATTATTATTTTAATTTTTAAAAAGAATTAAAACCTTTCAGGCATGATGATAAATACAACTTGGTTATTGTAATGCGTGATTCCACTGGCAAGAGTCGGGAAGCGTCGTTCAACAAGTCTTTCGCTAACTATATTGATACAAATGGCGCAGTTGTTCAAACCATTGTGACAAATGAAATCACAAAACTTTACAACTCACTATCATCAGAGAAGAAGGAAAAGTGATCTCATGATCTTTATGCATTTAATATTATTTCAAATTAAGCAAACAGTTGTGTAAACTAATGAATAAATGCTGAGAATATATGTTTTATAAATTTTAGTTGTACAAATATTGTGCATAAACAAGGAAATCCCTCTTGAACTAATCAGTGGCGTAACAATAGGGTGGCAGGGGTGGCAAAATGCCAGGGGCCCCAGCCCAAGAGATATTATGTTCTATGGATGGATGTAAAGTCTCCAATACGCTTTGGGCTAGCGTGGGGACTACAGACCATTCCCTCTCGCCTAAGAGAGGAAGCCTATGGCCATTAGTGGGACATATACAATGTGAACTTAAGTATGCTGAAAATCTCAAAGTTTATTAAAATTAAACTGAGTAGGGACGATTTTTACTGATAGGGCCCCATCAAAAGAATTGCCACAGGCCCCAGGTGGTATAGTTAGCCACGGCTCCTAATCAATTTATTATTACAATATTTAATTAGAATGAGTTAATATGTAAAAATGGTGTAAGAAATACAATAATGTAACTAATCCCTAACAAATAGATTCACACATAGTCAAAAGATGTTAGAAAAACTTATCTTTAATTCATTCGCGAAAATTAATCCATTAAAAAAAATATTCAAAACACAAACTTTGTCTTTAAAAAGTAGCAGGCGCCTTTTTTGTAGTAGGTAGAGAGAGCTCACCTAGTCAAATTTATAGTATTGATTAGTGAAAACTAGTGATGCGCACCTCATACATGAGGCACCTCAAATGTCACACTCAAAGTTGTCAAATGTCGCATCACCTCAAACACACATTTTGTACCGCTTCAAACTCGTTGAGGTAAGTATTTCAAACGCGGGCTAGGCGCTGAATGTGATTGAGGCGGTGAGTCGTATGTCATGAATGAGTTGAGATGAATTGTTTTGTCTTATTCTCCCATCCCAAGTAGGACAATGACAATAGTTAAAAATCGTGTCTGATGAGCAACTGATTAAATCAATATTATTGAATGAGTGACAGTGACTGTTCACTGTGACATATTATTGTAATTGGTTTTTGTTTGCATAAATAACTTGACTTTTTGAAGTTATACTTCTTTAGGCGCGTTATGAAAAATTGATGAGAGTGAAATTTTACGTAGCGCGCGCACCGTTACACAAAATTAACAGAATGAAGTTGCCCACGGAAGATGCTACGGCATTGGACATAATTTAAAAACAACATTCGAATAATAATAGAATTTATGTTACACTTAATGTAAGAGAATAATAATAAATATTTAATTTTTCAAATGTAAACTATAATTAATTATTTGCATGCAATCAAAAACTATTTTTAATAATGCCAAAGAAGTATAACTTCTTACGCGCGTACATAAGTACTGTAAGAGAATAATAATAAATATTTAATTTTTCAAATGTAAACTATAATTAATTATTTGCATGCAATCAAAAACTATTTTTAATAATGCCAAAGAAGTATAACTTCTTACGCGCGTACATAAGTACACGCACCCTTTTTTATTTATTTTTTTATGGTCGAAAGACCTGCGCCATAGAGACAATGGATTCGTACATAAAGGGACTAACAGTACAGAACAGAATCCTCAAATGAAGTGGTACAATGTATTAACTCATTTTATAAAATGAGGTGGGACATACAAACACTTCAATTTCGTTTGTCCTACCCATCTCTAGTGAAAACTGAAAAGGTTAATATAAACTCACTTTAAATGCCATGCGCGGATTTTCGTTACTCCCGCCAGGTTGCGTGGGTGAGTGAAGTTAGGAACGTGTGAATGATTCACTATGCCATAAAATCGAAACAAACCATAGATAAAATAAAACATTATACCTACTGCCTTAGTGTAGGTGGGTCGGCTTACGGCTAGCAAGGGCATTGTAATGCCGCGCCGCGATTTCGTTTAGTTATAGTTACCATGTATTGATATCATTAATAGTGACCATAAAATAGCTTTATTAGAGCTAGTGTCAGTAATAGATCGTTAATATAATTGGATCTGATTTAAATGAGTCCCCTGGTGTCCTTGTCCTAGAAATATTTATGTAACTAATGTGCTGCTCAGCTGTTTTTATTTAAAGGAAATAATTAAAAGGTAAGTAACCTCCTATTTATAATTTAAAAAATCTTTATATTTTGAATGTAAAAGAATTGTTCCAGTATTGCACGACATTACGTCTTAGTTAAATCAATACTTTGTTTCACTTTTTAATTTTAGATACCTAGCTAGATACCTACTTAGGTACCTAGTATTATTTATAAAAAATTTTTTTAGAATATTGTAAGAATAGTGTAGGCTTTTTATCCATCTTGAATAGCTTATCCTGTTATAATGACATCATGCCGACGCTCTTGAAGGTCATATTTACGGTGAACGAGTTGCATCGGACTTACTGTTCTTAGACCGTTCGTTAAAATAACCGGTTAATTACACCGCTAGTTACGTAAACGGTTTTAGAGATTAACAAATGTAAAGCACCTTGGTGAAGATTTTAATAAGCGTAGGACAAGATTACTGGCAAGCTGATTCTATTTCAGTTTTGGCTGCGATCTACAGACCTGAGACACTCTTTGTATTATAATGTACGTAGAGTGACATACATAATACATTGTTCTAAAGTAGACTATATTTAGTGTATTGCGAGAAAGATATATTTTAGCAGATAATTATACTGTGCATTAAACAGAAATATTTTTTTATTAGGTGACGGATTGATTAAAAAACCTAACATGTAATAAGATAAAATTGATTAGACCTACACTACATAATATGGTCACATGCAAAGTTATATTTTAAAAAAAATTGGCGCCAATATAATATTTTTAAAAAGAATGAGAACGACCTTGACATTGTATATTTTTGTCACATTCGTCTGAATGCATTCTAAATACAAGCACGCGTTTGGGAAAGTATGTGTTGCGTAGAGACGTTAGAAATACTTAGGACTCATATTTGTAAGCAGATTGAACAGGAAAATTATATTTTTTGTTACTTTAATTAACGAATTATTATTCGTTAACGAATAATTTTACATAATCTATCTTTTTTATGGTTTTTGGTTATTCATTATACAGTTTGATTAAACTTTCTGAATGCTAAATATAATTAAGTACATTAATGACCTGTATTATCTTTTAATGAAGGTTTTGTACTAAGTTATTGAAATTTGACCCGCCTTTAACTTGTACCGCTAGTTAGCCATTACTTGCAGATAACTTTTATAGTGGTTGAGGTGTGACACAATAACGGCACACCTGTCACCTTGGCTGGCTTTAACATACGAAATAAAAAAAATTACTTTACTCGACACATTTTTAATAATTGACCGTTTTTATGCATATGACATATTTCAGGGGCCTTAGTCAAGATGCCTTAACAGTAGTGTATGTAGAAAGTCGAAAACTTAATTTGTATGGAAATGACAGTTCGTGTCGAAAAGTTTTCATACAAATTTAGTTTTTGACGTTCTACATACACTACTGTTAAGGCATCTTGACTAAGGCCCCAGATAATATATTCTTGATTAAATCGCGGTCTAATCTTGATTTGAAAAGGAATTTGAATGAATGGAATTTATGTTTAATTATTTTATGGAATAGCTGAATTGATACTCATAGACGATAGAGGGTACGCGGAAATCATAATACATAATTACTTAATCTTATCTGTGACATGTAACGTAACTACAATTTTCCAGACATTTATTATCAGCATGGCATGCTTTTCAAGAGTAATAATACATTAAATATGATTAGAAGTAATTGACTATTCACTTGTCTTGATATAGGATGTTATTAGATTAGGTGTTTAGGTGTAACAGTAAAACACTAAATTCATACACATTAGTCAAAACTCAAAATCAATTGTGTTTTGTTGAAAGAGTTGTAGGGGTTTAATGTATACCACACATTTTGTATTGCGATTTGCGATATGTAGCGTACTTGATGATTGTAATTGGTAGCGCCGGTTGCCCTTCTCGCGCGCAATAAAATATTAGCTACAGATATGTTTAATTACCTACACACTCCTAATAACTAGGTGACCGCAATATATGCGCACACCTAAAGAGTTACCATTTTTGTTAAGGTTAGTGTAGATAAAAGTAATTCGATTAGTTTTTATAACTGGCATGAAAAATGTACCAACTGCGCAACGCATTCCATTTTCAAATAATTAAGATCCACCGGTAATCTAACATAGTGCGTCTAGTAAGTACGGTCAATAATAACAAAACCTTTTACGTACTTTTAGTAAATGCTTAGACTTAGACGATGTAATAACATAGCTGGCTGAAAAAAAAAATAATTATTTTCAGCCAGCTCTTTTTATAACATCCTGTCAATTATATGATGAATGAATGACGCGAGCTTATGGTTATCACATCGTCTAGTCGTGTAGTATTCGTGATAATCATAATTTATCGTTACTAACAATAACGAATATATAAAGGACTGTACATAGCAATTCAAATGCAAATTTAACTTTAAACTGTAAACTTTTAACCTTATTCCGATGTAATAGACGTCAATAAATCAAAATAAGTACGAAAACAATATTGCTACTTCATGGCTGTGAACAAATAAATGTTAAGTACCCCTTTTCAAAAACACAAAAAAATATATTTTTAATTCGATGTCTTATCTTTTGTGTGCCATTGGTGCAACAACTGGTTTGTATAAAATGCATTGTTTGGAGCATAATGAATTGTAAATTTAAAGTAAACTATTTTTGTATTAAAAATATAGACATCATTCTCCAAAAACAGGGTGCCATAACTAAAAAAGTGCTTACAAACCGCTTTACCACAGGACACGATACACCCTATTACACAGACTACAAGAAATCATAATAATAACAAGTTATATTAAAAAATGGGGACGTGCCTTTCTCGAGGGTCTCACGCACAGGTTTTAGTCAGGGTTTTATCAACTTCTGTGTGTGTACCTTGAGTTTTGCAACACGTAGTACACAAATAATTTAATAAGAATAA